AACACCTACCACGGAAGACGACGACCCGGCTACGGCAGATGCAGATGACACTGAATCGCTCAAAGAGATTCCTCTTGAATCCGCACCCGCGAATCCATCTTCCAGCGAAGCTATGGATGGGCTGTTAGCCATCGTCTGTGAAGAGGTAGGTATAGACCTGGCGGAGCTGCTCGAGGTGCAGCAATTTGCTGAAGCTGGTGTTGACTCTTTGATGTCACTTACCATCACTGGGAGAGCTCGCGAGGATTTGGACATGGACGTTTCGTCCTCGTTCTTCGTGGACTATCCTACTGTCGACCAGGCAAGATTAGCCATTACATCTCTCATGGGCAGTGGCGAGCAGACCGGAACCACTACACCATACAGCGTCAACGATGATGCGAAGTCATCAACGACCTCTTTGACTGCTAGCTCGGTGATTTCAGCCAGCGCTAAGCCTGATGACGATTTGGAAGTGCAAGACATTAGTCAGTCGACTCGACCTGCAACATCAATCGTACTGCAAGGCAGTCTTAAATCTGCGTCAAAGACTCTATTCCTTCTACCGGACGGATCAGGCTCGGCAACCTCATATGCTGCTCTTCCCAAAATTTCACCAGATCTATGTGTCGTCGGTCTCAATTGCCCTTTCATGAAAACTCCTTCCGAGTACACGACCGGAATCGACGGCGTTGCTTCACTGTATCTTTCTGAAATTAGGCGAAGACAGCCCGAAGGTCCATATATTCTCGGCGGATGGTCTGCTGGTGGTGTGTTGGCGTATGCCGTGGCATGCCAACTGACTGAAATCGAAGAAGAGATTGAGGCTCTCCTCTTGATCGACTCGCCTTGTCCAATCAATCTGCAGCCATTGCCATCTGAGCTGCTACATTTCGTTGACTCACTGGGATTACTGGGGGTTCAAGGATCAGCGCCGAACTGGTTGATCCCCCATTTCGAGGCATCAATCAAGAACCTTGCCGATTTCATGCCATATCCCATGGACCCGGAAGAAGCACCAAGAACACATATCATATGGGCTAGCGACGGACTTGTGTCGGAATCGGATGAGAAGCAGTTTCCGAGATCTGATGCCGAGATGAAGAGTGTCAAGTTCTTACTTGATGATAGACAGAGCCTCGGAACCTATGGATGGGAGAAGTTGGTTGGCTCGGAAAACATCAGCGTGGATTTCATGGAGGGCAATCATTTCACAATGATACGCGAACCAAAGGTAAGTTAACCCGTATCTATCCCTCACGCATGTGCAGATACTAACATTCCCGGACAGGTAAATCAATTGCCAACTATTCTAGATCGCATCATTGGTGCATAAGGTGTTGGATTGATATTTATCAGAGAAGAAAGGCCGGAGGTTGTAAACTTATTCTCATAAACGCTAGGATCTCCTATTTATAGAAATTCATCTGATATTTTAACTACTTCTTTACGATCATGCGATGGAGTAAATCAGTAATGACTGAGATTCTGGTAAAATGAACGCTTAAGCTGGTGTCAAGTGTAGCCATTTTAGGCGTTCTATTCACAGCGACTCGGCGCTGTGGTGTACGGCGCTCGGTAAGCGCAGGTCAGTAGTTGTATATAGGGTATTTTACCTGACCGTCTTGAAAGCCGCCTCTAACTTCTCAATATAAAATATAAAATTACCAATGTTCTATATACAATTTTGAACAAAACTACAGTAGTACCGCAAAAGTTTCTACTATCTAATTATCTACTATCATTGACTATTGGTCTAGGTAATAGCAAACTAGTACCTACCTAAGATAGAGTAGAGTAGCCAATATATTTCATCTCAGGTAGGTACTAGTTCTCTTAGAAAGGGGAGGTTAGAACAGAGAAGTTACAGGCGGCTTTCAAGACGGTCAGGTAAAATACCCCTATATACAGCTATTGACCTGCGCTTATCGAGCGCTGTAGTGGTGTAATAGGGGAACAGTAATTAGAAACATGTCAAAATTCAGATATCAGATCGATTCCTGGAGATACAGGGTATCTTCAAAGCAGCATAAATCGTAGAGAAGCGGTCCCCAAAAAAGGAAAAAAAAAAACTAGAACGTTTAGAAATGGAACCCCTGCGCCATGCTATGCAATACGCCAAGGAAGTTATCAAAACACACAGAGAAACGCCACCAACCCAAGAGAAAGGAAGATAAAAAAAGACGCGGAAAGTGGATTATGGCCGCGAAGATGGACAGTGTTCCAAAAATCATACCAACCCTAGCGTGGCTCGGAGTAATCGTTCAGAGCAACACAGACAGCGCCGCGGTGGTGTCCGCTGTATTGCCGGATGATGTTACCAGTGCTGAGTTCCCATAAACGCGCGTAGTGATCGCTCGATACTGTGACCAAATAGGCCGAGTCAGCTGAGAACGCGCAGTCCCACACCCAGCGCTGGTGGTTGACGAGGGTGGTTTCGAGGAAAAGGGTGTTGCTGGCAGGATCCATGGGCGGTCCATCTGGGGTGGTAGTAAAGGTCTGTTGCGAGGTATCCTCACGGGGAGTGCTATCGGTGATCCGCAGGAGGTCTCGGTCTGTGGTCGAATCCCCGAAGATGCGCATCAGTTCGTTGTTCTGATTCTTGCTGGTGGAATCGCCATTGCTTTCGCTATTCTCGTCAGGGTCTTTCTGGGCCTGTCGCTCATTCCATTCTTTGATGGCGACCTTTGCTGGCGCGTACTCCGCGTCCAGATTCCACACCTTTGCGGTGTGGTCTGCGGCGCAGGTGGCTAGGTGTTTGACGTCGGGGGATAGAAGAACGCGAGTGAGGTAGTCCCTGTGGGCTTGGAAGCTGCAAATCGGAATTATGCGCGTGGTCTCGTCAGTGATGACCATTCGCCAGATGTAGACGTTTCCCTAGCACCTCGGGTTAGTACGGGGTCACATAGCCGGGGATATTGGGAAACATACGACTTTGTTTCCCGCGCAAAGCAGAGATCCATCGCTAGCGACGCTAACGCTGAGTACGGATGTATCCTCGGCGGGAATCAGCTGGTGGGTGCAGACACTCTCACCAAGATCCCACACGCGTACCATACCAGCTTGATCTCCACTGATGAGCTCGCCCTGGTTCGGATGAATGACCACATCGTTGACGGGAGCCCGGTGCACGTAATTGCGTTGCAGACTACCCGTGCGTGTATCCCAGACTTTGACAGTGCCATCTTCCGAGCTGGTGACCATCCACTTGCCTTCGCAATGGAATGCGACACCGGTGATGTTGTTGGTGTGGCCCTCAAAGGTCATCACAGGGTTGGGGTTTGTGGACTTGATATCATAGAGCTTGACATTATTGTGGCCAGCAGCAGCGAGGAAGCGTTTGTCGGGAGTAATGCAGAGTCGGTTGACCTGGGAGTCGGGGTGTTGAATGGTTCGCGAGCAGATGCCGGACAGCGCTTCCCAGAAGCTGTTGCCGAACGGTTAGCATTCGAGATGCCCCACTTGATCGAATTGAAACATTCGGAGCTTGAGAAAGCTTTGACTTACCGGATGGTATGGTCATACCCCGCTGCGACAGACAACTGCGATCAGTTCGAGCTCGGGAAGAATGCGGGGAGCTTCTTGATAAACACGGTTTACTTACCAGTGCAGAGAATAACGCTCATACTGGCACAATATTATGGAACAACGGTAGATTGGAGGGGAGATATATGGCGCTTTCAAGGCGAGGAGACTTTGAGCGACTGGGGACCTGGAAAAGAGGCTCAATAATTCGGAGGAGTTGGAGTCGGCGATCGGAGGCCCGTTGCACTTGGGACTGTAGCGATCACGTGTTGGAGGCGGTGACACGATACTGCCGCGTCAAGTATACGACATACGAGTATAGAAATGTACAACCCCACGGACAGTACCATGATGCGCTATGTCGACTGTAGATATTCACCAGATGTTAAATAACACCAGGCGTGTGGCTAAAGTGTTCTGGGTTCTACTGGAGCGAAAATGCAGAAGGCACTGTTGTGAAACGATTCCATATTCAGGGCAATCGCTAAGCTATCGAATTCTTAACTAAATACATCGTGCAGAGAAGTATTGTTGCCTCTCCATGGTGTACCGGCTTATGCGAGAGAAGCGAAAAGCCGTAGCATTATGATTCTTGGGTACTGCACCTCATCGGGCCAGCTCTTCTTCCATCATTCGGGCCAGCTCGTCATCATCTGGATGGTAGTCCTCCTCTCCATTCTCATTATGGTGCTCATCTGACTGCCCAGGTAGCTGTTCCACGAAGAGCGACCAATCATCATCGAAGCAATTATCTGCTAGAGCTTCGTACTCTTCAACAGAGGGAACTGCAGTGGGCTCAGGTTCCTCGTCAAAAAGGCTATTGAAGCTGGAACTTGAAGTAAGCACGCGGTTGCTGACTTGGACATTTGACGCGGAAGTCCGTGAAGAAGGTGTCTTTGTAGCCGTGGAGGAGGAGGGCATCTCCTGGCTACGTCGGATTTGAAGATTTGTTTGTTCGTAGGATTGCATGCAGGCGACGTCAGATGAAATGAGAGCAGCATTCTCGTCATTCCTGATCTTCTTCCTCTTGGGATCCGGTAGCGGAGCTACCAACCCTTTGCGCTGCTTGGACACTAAGGCAGAACTTGAACCTTGAACGGGGGAGATATTGTCGAATAGAGCTTGAGCGGCCAGTCGGACATTCAACGGCGGTCGGATCCAATCAAGCTTCTTGTGTCTGAGGACGTGACGAAAGTCGGTTAGCTGGGTTTCAATTGCTGGTGGGCCGAGTTGAACAGTTGGGAATCCTAGGGTACTCACATCCTCTGCGCCGTCGTCGGTGAGATCAATCACCACAGCATCCTGGTGGGGCACAGCAGGGGTTCGGTTTGGCATCGATGAAATCGAAGCTGGTGACGGGTAATTGGCTGAAGAAGCCTTGTTGCTGGACTGCATGCCGAGTCCCTCCAGAACCTGCATCGGATCCACGCCTGGAGCCTTCAAAGCAGAGATCAAAGAGCGATGCTCAGCCAAGAGTTGATCATACGCGCCTTTCCATGGCTCGGATCCGCCCCAGGAGTTTGTCTCGGGAGATTGCCGGGATGGCAGCGCGGGCGATTTCTGAGAAGCCCGGTAGTCGGTGAGAAGGCTATTGTGTGTTCTGGCCAGACTGGCATACTCATTCTGGCAGCTCTGGAGTTCAGTTTTGAGGTTCCTGGTGCGGGTCTGCTGTGTAGATGTCACGCGTCGTAGCGTCGTGATTTCTGCCTCCATTTCGTCGATCTTCAACTTTCCCGTACGCGGATCAGGCTGGGTGTAGCTGAGGAGTTTGTCCCGATACCTATTGCGCTCTATGACGAGAACGTTGATCCGGCGTTGGGAGTTTTTCAGCCGATGCTGAAGGGCCGAGCTCGAAACTTCCACATTGACAGTACGGGTGTGCAGAGACGGGGCGGAAGGGTAATACTTAGAGCACTTGGTAAGGTGACAAGAATGGGACCGCTCGTTGAACAGTTGGGATGGAATCCGCAGTGTCATGAGGGTCCAGTCCGAACCGAGTCATCGCAGCGACGCTGGCTGGGTTGCTGGATCCTGCAGCCGAGAATACATTCGTGGAGATCATGGGCGAGGCCCGATTGGCGAGATCCATACGGGACTGCGTCTGCATGGCCAGCGATTCGAGGGAAGGCGAGGGAACCGACTGGCATGAACGCTTGGGTGGTGTCTCGGCTTCGTTGGGGAGAGACCTCCTCGAGGGAACGCTTGGCCGGTGTCGGAGCAAGGGTAGGGATATCGATTTGATGGACGATGGGATCAAAATCAGTCAGAGGATCGAAGTTATCCATGAGACTGAAGTCGAGATCCATGCTGAGGTCGAACTCTGAGAAGTCCATTGTATGGGCGAAGGATTGTGACTGTGATCCAGGGGAGAGTGTAAGCCCCAGATCCTCAAGTGCAAACTTGCCTGACTCGCCTGAGTCACCCAGGGACAACTCACATTGCTCCATGATGTCGTTCATTTTGCACGGTGGATACGGTGATACCATGCTCAAACTTATTCAAGGCATGTTGCCTAACGATAACCGCCGTGCCTTTCTGCCTGCAGGTTCTCCTGATGAAGACAAAGGCTGAAGACTGGCTATTTATTGTTAGACAGGCACACAATAGATGATTCAAGAGAAAGATGGGGTTTGACCTTCGCTCGATGTTCACTGGGATGAGTTGATGAAGTGAAGATGACTGCACAAATGTTTACCTTTTTCCTTTTTCTGCCTGGATGATGCTCACCGCCCCGATATTTCTGACCGCCTGCTCCACTCAACCATGGCATCAATCAGCCATCGTCCCTGATAACCTCACAGGGGCTGGTATGGGGGATTTCCGGTGAACTATATTATGATTTTTTTGTTGATGGACTTCCTACTTATGAGATGTTTTATGCTTGATTGAGTTATGGTCTAAACTGCTTCAGCTCCTTATTGATATTTATTTCCAGCGCTATCCAGTACATGGAATTGTGTCGGAGTAAGACCTTTAAGAGGGAGTAGCCTTCCCATCCAGCTGTATCAGCCACTACTCTATAACGCATGTAAACATTGGAACTTCTTCAGGGGCTGACTCGGAAGTATCCGACACGGGCCCAAAGCAGAAATAAGCACTCCTGCGCCTGCAGTTGAAACGCCACAATTCACAAAGAAACGGCTAGCCAACCTTATTTCGGCAGCTGTATCATAAACAGGCCATATTTACATGGTAGAACTAAAGACTCCATGGAAAACAAAATGATTTTATCTATATTGATGACTATCCACAAATCTAAAGCGTAGATATCAACCCAAAGTAGGCAATCCAAGCATGACCCAGCGCTATTGATCGTTGAAATCGTAAGATGTCAAGGCAGAAAAAAAATAATAACTAGAGAATCCGGCCAATATGGCACATCAAAAAGGTTGTTCAAAAATAGACCCTTGATAAAGGGGAGTCTGATCAGCTCAGCTCAGCTTAGCTCAGAGCATATCACCACCCAACAGTAGATGCATTGACCTGGCAGAAGACATACAGTATACCTGAACAGATACACTCTAGTCCGTTGTGACAGCATGAGGCTCGACGTGTTGTCTCTCCCGGTCAACAGAAGTCGAACGGCCAGTCGAAGAATCCACAGCGGAAGTCTTCTCCATCTCGCGCCAGTCAATTCCCTGAGACTTCAACTGCTTGCGCGCCTTATGGCCGCCACAGCAGGACGCGCAGCAGGAGCCGAACTGGACGATGAAAGCGATCAGACTGAACCCGGAGGCAATCCACATAAAGACCAGCATCTGGGTGCCGACGTGGGCATGAATGTTCAAGCTGGGGTCAGCATTGGTAAATACGGTAGAGAAGATCTCGAACATGACGGTTGCCACGGCGGATGCGACGATGGTGACGAGGGCGGTGAAGAAGGCGAAGAAGAGCATTGGTAACGAGCGCAGCCAGATAAAAGTCCTGCGACGGTGCGGAGGTTGACCGGCGGGTGTGATTTGTGTGCCGTTGGTACTGGCGGCGGCCCAGAGCTTGATTGTTTGTGGGGGCCGCGAGGATACGGCGAGTGGGCTGATGAAGATCATGATAAAGTTGAATACGGCGGCGGCGATAAAGAGGCCGAACATCCAGTGTGAGGCAATCCGAGCCAGTTTAAGAGGGTCCTCGATATCACTGGGAAGAGCAACTGCGGGGGAAGAGGTTAATATGGTTGTTCATATTGACATGATGTATCCTTATATCAAGGACTGGGGTGGGGTTGATGGGAAGAGGTAAACGTACTACTAGCGCCGGCAAGCAGCTCATCTAGAATGATTTCGACTGGGTTGAAGGCATAAAGAGACTTGGGCTTGGAGCAACTGGTAATTCCCGCATTGTTGTAGCCCTCGCAGAAACCCCACAGGCCGACCTGGTAGAAGTCGTGAAGGCCGATTGAACGGGCGATGGAGTTGATAAGGACGGCATTAGGCACGGAGACGGGGATAATATCTGTTAAGTCGAGGTAGAGAAAGTAGGTACTGCGCAAGACTGGTTTGTTGGAGAGGTTGCCAATGCAGACGAGAAGGACAAAGATCCAGGCGAGGAGATATAGCATGGACCGTATGATGCGATGGGTGTGTACTGTAGACGCGCGGCGGCGTGCGAGAGGACCATTGGAGCTGCGAAAGAAGGGCAGCTTGCGGGTAGCGCCAGAGCCTGAGCCTGAGCCTGAGCCATTGGTACTATCTGGCCCGTCGATCATGGCGAAGATGAATATGTTGCAGTGCAGTGCAGAGCAGAGCAGAGCAGAGCAAAGCCGAACGGGGTAGGCAGGGCAGGGCGGCACTCAAGCAGGCAGGTGTCAACGGAAGCAGGAGTTTTATTTCTCCTAATCAGATCGGGGCTTGGAGCTGCCACGGATCGTCAGTGGCGTTCCACTAGTGGGCCTTAGTGAGGGCGATCATGAAATCAGTGGAGTGAGTAAGGGGGGGGGATGGATATAGAAATTAGATAGAAGGATAGGATGCGAGGGAAGAGAGGGAAGAGAGGGAAAAGAGGAAGAAAATTGGGAGCCAGGAGAGGGATGGGGGAGGTGGTGTACAAAGCTGGTACTCCGTAGGGACAATTGGACATGAGAAAGTCAGAAACTCACGATGGCCAGACCGGTTGAGATGTGAGATGGGTGGGTTGCTCAGGGTCTCTCATACTATTATTGGCTTATCGGCCGGGCACCAAGTGGCGACAACGTCAGCACTCATGGGCTAAGTGGTTTGTAGTGGGGAATACATGGAGCAACTTCGGGATTTAGTGTAGCCTAGAATTACGGCACTGACTAGCGACCCAGTGACGGTGAATATTACGGCCATTGGCGAGGTGGAGGTGGAGGTGGAGGGTGTGACGGTGCTTGATCGACAGAGTCTCGTCTTCCTCTCTTTTTCCGAGTTACTCGTACCTCCTCCTCTCCTCCATCATCATCATCACCACACACCCACATCCTCACCACCCCCCATGAGGTATACCTCGCTGCTGGCCCTCGGCCTAGCTGGTCTGGCTCTAGCCAAAGATGGTACAACCACCGAGACCACCGAGTCCAACACCAACACCGATTTCTCCTCCACCATCACTGGTTCTTCCACCTCTTACAACTGGTCCGATGCTTCCACCATCACCAACGCCTCAGCTCAAGTTCCCACTGGTACCTATCTGACCTACACCTCCGTCATTACCCTCGGTAATGGCGACCACAAGACCGTGGTCTCCTCTTCACTCAATGCCAGTGCCACCGCGACGGGCAACCAGACCCTTCTCCACACTTCGACCTCAGACTCCGTCACGGTGCTGGTTGGCGGTGGTGGGACAACCACCCTGGGCAACAATAGCATGAACGCGACTCAGACACATTCTTCCACCAGTTCGATCCCGACTGAGACCAACACCACCCCTTGCAATGGGTACAGCGAGTTCTGCATGCGCAACTACTCCAACATCACCAATGTCGCCGCTCATAACAGCCCGTTCGTGGTTCCCGGCAACGCTGCCTCCAACCAGGCTCTCAAGGTGACCGACCAGTTGAACGACGGCATTCGCATGCGTATGTCTCTTCCCTATCCGCTGCGACTCAATTGACCTCCCCTCTGACCAAAAAAAAAAAAAAAACAGTTCAATTCCAAGCCCATAATAAGAGCGGCGAGATTCACCTCTGTCACTCGAGCTGCGACATGCTCGACGCCGGCACTCTGGAATCCTATCTCGCCCAGGTCTACCAATGGATGATCAAGAACCCTTATAACGTCGTCACCTTCTTGATGGGCAATTCCGACAACCTCCCACCAACCGCCTTTGTCGACTCCATCGAAAAATCGGGCCTGAAAAACATCATCTACTCGCCCCCGAAGGCCCCCATGACCCTGGACGATTGGCCCACTCTCTCCGAGATGATCCTCTCCAACAAGCGCGCCGTTTTCTTCATGGACTACGGTGCAAATGAGACCGCCGTGCCCTATATCATGGACGAATTCTCTCAGCTGTGGGAGACACCCTTCTCACCCACTGACCGTGATTTCCCTTGCACCGTGCAGCGTCCACCGGGCCTGAACCACAAGGATGCCACCAACCGCATGTATATGATCAACCACAACCTCAACCTCCAATTGAACTTTGGTTCTATCAGCCTGCTCATCCCCAACACGGCTTATATGGTCGACACCAACAGCGCCAACGAGACCTTATACGGCAGTCTTGGTAACATGTCGGCGAAATGTACTGGTAAGTGAATAACCACCCGCTTAAACGAATTCCCCCCCGTGACCAACTTCGTTCGTTCATACTCACAATTTTCCAGAAAAATATGACCGCCCTCCCAACTTTCTGCTCGTCGACTACTATAACTGGGGCAAGCCCAATGGCTCTGTCTTCGAGGTTGCGGCGAAAGCGAACAACGTCACGTGGAACGGTGACTGCTGCGGCAGCAGTTCGGCCGCTGCGCACATGGCAGTCGCCAGTGTCTCGACGATGGTCCTCGTGGCAGCAGGTGTCCAGTTCCTTCTCGCGGCGTTCTAAAATGACGATTCACGATCTAGCTTTTTTCCCCTTGATTTATTTCGACATATTTGGGTGTACATATCGTAATATAGATGGACAGCAAAGCGCAGTATAACAAGCATTAATTCGATTCCCCATCCAACAAATACATCAATTAAATCTGAAAGTACTCAAACCATATACAACGTAATTATCATCCTCTGTGACTGAGTATACAAGTACTACAACTTGAAGTACATTCTGCTCTACACAGGTTACACCTATATCCACCCACATCACGTGTCCCACCCAACCGCAGCCATGAAAACGAAGCCAACCACCAAACCCCCAAACGACCACACCATCCCCACCACCAAATCCTCTCACAAGACTCGAATAGAGAGAGAGAGCGAGAGAAAACGAACCCGTCACCCGTCACCCGCACCAATCCCCCACCACCAACCGCCAAAATGGTCGACATCGTCCCCCTCTCCAGCTACCCCTCCTACATCGACCTCCTCCCCTCAATCCAAACCTGCAACATAACCAACCTGCCCGAAAATTACTTCCTAAAATACTACCTCTACCACGCCCTGACCTGGCCGCAACTGAGCTTTGTAGCCGTCGTCCGGCCGAAGAATGGCTACAAGAACGGCGGCGGCGCCAGCGGCAACGGAGCTGGGATCGCGGGGGATGTCTCGGGTCAATACCCCAAGGTCGTTGGATATGTCCTTGCGAAAATGGAGGAGGATCCTGCGGACGGGAAACCGCATGGTCATATTACTTCTCTGAGTGTTATGCGCACGCATAGACGGTTGGGAATTGCTGAGAGGTTGATGCGGATGAGTCGTGAGTTTTACCCTGCACCTTTTTACCCTTTAACCTCTTTTCTCTATACGTTTTGATTTGTTCTTCCTGGTTCGGTGAGGGTCGGTTGGGGTTGTCCGCGTGTATTTCTCGTTCGAGTGTGAGAGATCAATTGTCTTGTCTGCTCTATTATCGACTGGTCTGCTTGGCTGGCTAGGTGAAATTGAAGCTTGCACCGGCGATCCCGACCCAACCCCAATATCACTGCGAATGCGAATGCGAATGCGAACCCTATGACTACCGCAAGCAAAAGCAAAAGCAAATTGCTAACTCATCCAGAACGCGCAATGGCCGAGTCCCACCGCGCACACTACGTTTCCCTACACGTGCGTGTTTCGAACATCGCCGCGCTACGCCTATACCGTGACACACTGGGCTTCGAGGTGGAGAAGATTGAGAGCAAGTACTACGCCGACGGCGAGGATGCGTATGCGATGCACCTGAAGCTTGAAAATATGTGGATGGACTGGAAGGCCGTTGAGAAGCGGGACCGGGCGGAGGCGAAGAAGAATAAGAAGGAGGGTGAGGATGGTGCCGATGCGGAGGAGGAGGATGCTGATGAGGGCGAGGCGGTTGGGGATCTGGGGAAGGCGGAGCAGAATGGGGAGAAGATGGTTAATGTTAAGATTGGGAGGGCGCTTGGTGTTGGTGATTTGGTGGAGAAGAGTGATGTTCAGTCATAACTCAGGTGGCCTGGTTCGATGGCCCTGCTTGTGCGCTGGGCTCTGCATAGTAGAGTTCTAGGCAGTACTGGTAGTGCTACCAGCCTAATACGAGTATGCTGAAGAGACTCGGGAAAAAAGAAAGAAGGAAAGACCAGGTAGTAGTTATAGTTGATGAATCTACTAGGTGTATATCAATCAATGTATATGCAGTGACTATCGTTACTTCGTTGATGCTATCTTACTCTGGGCCGTTCCAGATCGCGCCTTGAAAAATATATGCGCCAATAAATAGAACACTGGCAGAACAGGCAAAGCGAAGGAGCAAAAAGAATCAAAAAGACATATACAAAAATGCATCAAGCTCCATCCTTTTTCTTGCCCTCGTCCCGCTTCTTGGATCGCGGTTTGAGAATATCCTTTATACGAGAAGGCGCTCCACTCTTCTTCTTATCTGGAGTATCGGCCTGCGTTTCATGCATGCTGGCTTGCGAAGAAGAAGGAGTATGAAGGCTACTCCTGTTGAACTCTGAGCTCGTCTCCGAGCGCACAGGAAAGCGCTGCGGTTGAGGTTGTGCAAGAGGCGGGGCAGGGGAATCTTCCAGCGAGACGTTGTTCAATTTGCCATCCAAAGAAACTTGTTGGTCCCTGGCACTAGCCTTCGCCATTTCATCGGCTTGGGCAGGTCCGTGTCGGCGGCGATTGCGCTTCACGCGCCGTCGGGCGCGCTGTTCTTCTCTTGCTCGCTTGACAACGTCCCGGAATGCTTTTCGCGTGGCGCGCATCTCCTCTTTCATGGCACGGCGGTCTATAGATGCGCGTTGCTGTTGCTCGGGAGATTCCCACCGGCCCCAGTCATTGCTGTTCGTTGGCTGGGTTTGCTGGGGGCGGGTCCCTGGGCGCCAGTTCCGGCGTCCGGACGCGCGGGCTTCGCGGCGGGATTCTTGGAGGATTGTTAGTTGTTGGCGGAGATCGACGGCTGCGTCGTATAAGATTCGGTCGTGTCTGTCATCGAGGGATTGGAGCTGTGTGCGGACTGTGGTGAGGTCCGAGGCGCTTAGGTCCGAGGTAGTGGAGAGCGAATCAATTGAGCTTAGGGAAGATTCGGATGAGGTGGATACTATAGAAATGCGGCGCGTTTGTTCAAGGGGAGGTTTATCGTCATCTTTGGGGAGGGGTTGAGGCCGCGTTGTAGGCTGCAACGTTGGTTGACTAGGCGGGGTAGGGTTGCTGGTAGGGATGCTCGTGGGAGTAGTCGGATTTGATACTGTGCCGGTGGTTGGAGGACTCCAGGTTGGATATGGAGCGTAGCCAGAAGGAGGATATCCCTGATATGCAGGTTGCTTCCGCCCAAATCTTGCCTGCTCTTCGATCCAGCGGCCGTGTGCGAGAGCTTGCTCCTCGACTTGTCGGCCATAGTTCATGGCATGTTGACCGAATTGGTTACCGTAATGCTCTAGCCGTTCACCATACTTCTGTGCTTTAGAAGTAAGATCCGATAGCCACCCGCCTTTGCCGCTACTACTATTCCCATATTGTGGTTGTTGATAACCCCAACCGTTCCACTGCCCCCATGGAGCGGCTCCAGGAGGTGGATATGGATAGTACTGCGGTGGTTGGTGAGTTGGTGGTGCACCATGGCCGGGAAATTGGGGGACTCCATATGGCGGTCCAAAGGGCATTGGCGGGTGCGGCATCATGGGCATCGGCGGAGCAGGCCAATTTGTGGGTGAGGGGGTATTCTGGCTGCTTTCAGACTCAGGCGTATTTTGAGCTCTGCTATCTGTATTTGCACTGGTCCCAGTTCCTTGATTCGCCTTTGTCGCGGCTGGATAACATCGCGGACAGAGGGCAGAGGATGGCGCGGCGTCGGGTTCCCCAACATATACAAAGACAATTCGAGTGCCGCGTACCTCAAAGAAACACTGGTTCCATTCGTCCACCACGGCAGCAATTCGAGCCCGTCGTTGCTCATCTGTCTCTTGTGGTCGATCCTTTCGGTCCCGCTGGATTTCCGCCCGTAGCTGTCTCGGGAGATGCTGGGACGCAGCAGCCAAGCCCAATTGAGGCGGGAACAGATATCGCAAAAAGGTGTCCCAGTCCTGCTGCACGACCTCATTCATCCGCGTCGCCCAGCAACGGGGCCTTCGTGGGAAATCTTTCGTTTGACTGCGAGGATATATCGTTATATGGTGGTCTAGCAGGCCTTGGCTCTCGTCCAACCCTGTCGCAGGCCGCTGCTCAAAGTAGCTCGCGGCGGAGACGAAGTGGGTTGGCACAACGGAGGAGGCTGCCGAGGAGGAACTACCTGCCTCCGCCGACGGACCTGAAACATTCGCACGCGATGGGCCATTGGCGTTAGCCTGGTCGCTATTCCTATTGCTGGCCGGCACAACTAATGGATCAACGGCGGCATAAGGCGGTGGTGGGACCTCCTCCTCCTCCCGGTCCATTGTGACAAGGCTGGAGGGAGATCGTCGGAGAAAGGAGAAGGGAGCAGAAGTTGAGGCCTAGGAGGATTGCAGATATTCGGCAGCCTGTCAAGGCACGTCGCCCATGCTGTGCGACTCGGTGGATGATCTAGAGGATCAAATGGGGATGTTGGTCGAAGGCAGCAGAATTCCGGGCTAGTAGGTCAGCACCGAACAGCTTGGCGCGGGGGATCGGGCTGATCGGAGATGCATGTCTCACCGGACTGGAGGGCCAAGGGGAACTGGCCAGGACGGGTATATACTTGCGCGGTCGCAAGAAGTTGCAGAAGTGGAAAGAGGTTGAGGTTGAGGTTGGGTTGATGGTGCCATTCCTTAGGAAATCCGCCAGCGGGGCGATAAGATAGCCCACCTCCGCGGAGTTATGAGACCCCTACCCTCTGGGTAAGGAAGGGTAAACCATGGATAGAAAGAATGAATATAAATGGAATGATGGATATTATTTTAGGATACACAGACATACAACTAGACAGGGTCTACCATGTAGGTAGCGGCTCCCCTAATACCTTAAATAGTACTGGAAAATACTAGTATCCCGGGGCAAATCCTACTCCGGTAATACTATGTAGCCTAGTAGTAGTAACCTTAATACTTTAGTAACAGAACAGTCTATAATGACCACAATATTTCTATTATTTGGACTAGGACATTTATGCTCCCGGGTAATTAGCAATTGTCCAGGAAATACCATATATACATTACCACAACCCTCAACCTGACCCTCAATCCCAAGCATCACCCCACCCATCGTCTTCATTGACATCTTCCTTCGGCTTCGTATCGATCTTCTTCGCTGGTGCCGCTACTCGCGGCTTGGCAGCAGCAACAGTACTTCTCGTAGGTGCCGAATTGGTGGAGGATGATTTATTCAAGCCCTTTGGAAGGGGCTTCTTCGCCTTTGATTGGTTCTTCGCAGCCAACCACCCGGCAAAATCAGGCTCACCTCCATCATCGAAAGATACGGCCGGGACTTGGCTTGTGACTGGATCCGGTGATGAGGGATTAGGCGATGCAACGGCTGCAGTGAAGGGATCGGTCTCTTGATCGTCGTCGTCCATTGCACCCCATGCATCGAAGACATCGTCACCTTCGTCTTCAATTTCCTGCTGTTGCACAACGGGGACCGGTCTATCTGAGAGCGATCGGCCCAGTGGCTGGGCGGTTGGGCGCAAGGGTGTTTGCTTTGGAAGTTCCAATTGCGTAGATGGTGATGATTTGGCGGGGCGAGGGACGGACGCGGATCGGGCTGCCTCTGTCTCTACTAGTTTGTTGGTAGCGCCTGTAGGTTCGATCTCGCCGTCTGCGGCTGCGATCTTGTTGGTGAAGGAGGATATCGCCCAACCAGCCCAGGACTTGTCGTTCGAAGTGCCGATCCGAGCACCAGGGATGTCGGCCTTGCTGGGTTCTGCAGGTAGCGCAGAATCGGTCATGGTGGTGGCAAACTTTCGAACACGTTGGATATAGAGGTCGAGGGTTTTGTTGGCTTGGTCGCGGATCAATCTGGAAACTGTAAGTGGGAAGAAGGGGTTGCATTATTTGTTGGTAGACTCACTTTTCCTTGTCTAGCAAAGCTGGGCAAATGGCGGGAAGAATCTTTGCAGCGCAGTCCTCCTCGGTGAAAACATCAATTGTGGCGGCCAGCGCGAGTAGACCGGCAACTCGGGCATGCTGAAATGGATCGCGAATGGCTCTTGTGAATGCAGCAATGAGGACCTTTGAGCGAGTCTGGAAAGATGTCAGTGGAGATCAGGAGTCCAATCATAGTTTCAAACTCACGCCCTGGGAAAGATTTTTGGCAATCCGGCCAAGACAGATCGTAGTGTTCGTTCGGATACCAGGTTGTTCATCGTTAGCGGTGCGGGCGAGGAACCGGAGCAGTTCGCCGTTCACGACCCTGTCACTAAGTTTGTTGATCACCGTCAGAACTGCCTTTACGGTCTGCTCTCGGACCACGGGAGCGGCGTCGGTGAAACCAGAGGTCTAGAGAAATGTCAGTATAGGTCAGAGGTCTGAGGAAGATTGATAGACTCACCATCGGGGGGGAAGATCTTGTCATTGACAACTTTCTGAGGAAGATTATCGATCATTAAAGGGAGGTTATCCAATAGACACACGCGGAGAGCTCGATCAGGGTTTCCGAATAAGCGCACGATAACAGGTGTTAATTTGGCATTGAATTCATCCGCTGATAGCTTAGATCCAATCTTGATGGTAGAAGCAAGGACTTTAGGGCCACCACCGCCAAACTCCACTGACTTGAGCAGCTCGGGGAGAACCTTCATCTTGAAAAAGTCTTCTGGGAAATCATCCGAGAGTTTGTTGAGCTCACTAATAGAGTTGGGTCAGTAATGAAAAGAGTTTCATGTCAGAAGGGATACATACTTTATGAATTCCTCTCGTTCTTCGTCACTCTTCAGTCCCAGGTTATCCATATCCTCTGTCAACCGAATCAAGGAAGTTTGGAAGAACCCGCCATGCTTCTTACCCTGCTCAACAAAGTGAGCGGGGCTCAGTCGGAGTTTGGGATTGGCTGTGCAAAGCCGCTTGTAGCTCTGTTGCATAGATGGAGGGATATTGGTCGTCTTGCCAGCTTGGTCTCCACCTGAAAAATGGCCATTGAAGACCTCAAAGATCAATGTGCCCAAACCATAAGCATCAACCGCTGACAATGGATGTTTTTTGATAGCGTCCCATCCTCCCTTCACAATTTCCGGCGGTGTATACCGATGTGAATCTGGGACGAGACTTCCGTATGTCTAGGTCATGGTCAGTTTTCTCTTTCTTCTGGCGGTCCTCCATAAGGGCACTGACATAGATGATAGCGTCATCTTCTTTCATGGAGCTCAATATATCAAATCCACCCAGTTTCCATTCACCACTCTCACTTGTATAGACCGAGGCTGCGCGGACAGCACCATGGACGGACGAAGCGTCTTCATTGATGAATTTGAGGGTAGACTATATCGCAGTCTGGTTAGCAGCTGCGCAGACAGAATGTTTGAAGCCCACTCACCGAGATGCCGTATAATCCCCATTTCGCGGTCTCTTCACTCAAGCTCCGGCGCTTGACTTGCCACTCGAGAGGAGCGACTCGTTCGGTGACGATATAAAGATTCGATTCGGTCTGCAGTATGAGATAAATTAAACCTGCGCTCTCAAAGGAGGCCGAATGGATTGCCAGCATAGAGCAACAAGGTCAAACATACCTCGATCGTATCCAACACCTTGATAACACCAGGATGTCTCAATGTCCTCGACTTTCGAACAGCGTTTTTGGCCAGTGGCAATCGCGACTTATTCGCGTTGATGTCGAACGTGAATACACTGCATGCAGAGCTATCATCCTATCCAACCATCTCATCAGTACAAGCCATGCCACGCATTCGCCCGCGGTCGAAGCGCATATCGTAGTGTTGGAAGCCATCCTACCCGTTTCGTACCGTTGTGAAGCGTCCAGATCGAATCGCCGATGTCGACTCGATCACCCAGTGAAAAGGGTAACGAGGAACCCTTGGCGATCGCGGAGGCGACGGCGGACTTGAGGAAATCCATGCCTCGTGCGTGGCGGTGATTATCTGGCCGGAGTGTTTGGGTACTTTTCGCCTAGGAATTCGGGGCGGCCAAGCCAATGGCTGGTGAAGTTGAGTCGCGCGGGGTCGGGGGCGTGAGGATGAGAATAGAAATAGAAGGGTAGAAAAGAACAGAAAGAAAGAAAGAAGAGTATGGAGGAGTAGAATAATTCAATGGGGGAAGGGAGTTGCGGCCCCGCGTTCGGCCTGAGGCACGTGGATTTACTCCAGCTGAGCTGCAGCTCTCCGTTTCTCTGCTTCTCTTCTTCTCCTCCCAACACAACCACATTTCCACTTTCTACTCGCCAACGCCAGCTCAGTCTTTTTAATCATCGTGAGTCCTCTCTTCTCTACCCCCACCTACACTACACACCCCAATTCGGCTCTCTCTCCTATGATGTGAAACCTGGTAAAAGGTCAGACCGCGCAACACCACAACCCAACAACCCCCCAAATCCACGAAAAACCGAAGGTACACGAGATATCCACCAAAGTGCCACCAAATCAACTTTTCCCCTCCAATCAACCGAAAACCCAAAACAACGCGTCTTCCCCAAACCCAGCCCCGTTCATCACGGACAAGCTCCCTGTTACCCCCGGGTAACTATCTTATACCAATGGTCCCTGCACCAAAGGTATAACGAGACAATGGGATCTTGAATCTTCTACCCAAGACGAAGTCCGCCAGAGAGCACGCGCCTCCCAACATCTCAACTCTACTTCTATATTACTCTCCTTTATGCCCGGTCCTTAGTACACCTACCTACCCAGCACGCCTATTTCGAACCTTCCTCTCTCCCCGCAAGCAAAGCACGGTTTCTAAAAGGCAAACGAGGGCCCGAGTCTACGAAGTGGCTCTCTTCGGGCACGGTGGCTAACAGCCATCGTGGGACCTTGGGTGTAATGCCGTGTACAGTGACTGCGATTTCCTATCCCCGCTTGCGAGGTGAGGTTAGTCGTGGAGGCCGTTTTATCTGGGGTTCCTTTGTCCGCTTTTCTCTATGAGGACTGTATAGGAACCAATGGCAACGGCTGACAGGCTAGAAGGCTCAGTGGGATTTGTTGGAAATGCTTGCGTGGAGGGGAAGGGTTTGCATGGTGGGAATGCTGGGTAGGATAGATACTAGGGATTGGGTGTGGCGGAGGAGGGTATGGAGGTGGAGGTGGGAGGGAGGTCGTGTGTGTGATACCCACGTATCATATCTGGCCGGGTGGAGTTTGGGAGAAGGTGAGAGGGGTGTCGGGGATGGGTTTGGCTGGGATGCGGCGGGTTTTCGTGAGATTGGAGTGGGTTAAGGGGATGAGGTTGGTTTTTTGGTGCATTGTTTCTGCACCGCGGGGGTTTGTGGTGGTTTTTGGGTTGGGTTTGGATGATGATCTTTTGAAACTGAAAAGACCTGAGGAGAAAGTGATAGCTTCTTATGCTGTGTTGTTCTTTGATTTTCTGCTTTGACAGACTCGGACTTGATTTGGTTCTATTACTGACTTGTCTTGAAGAACAGGTTGACGGAAGTGGTGTTTATCAAGTGGGGTGCTGTATGATCACTCCAGGGCTAGTTCATAGATACTTGCTACTACTACGGGTACATAGTAGGGCATGTTTCAAGGTTTATTCAATATATATTTGTATTATGGCATTTAGTCGGGATCGAACTCTACTGTAGTTTGTTGTTGTGTAGCTCATGCTCAGCCATCCAGGCGTCCATTGTTCGCAGCGGGTAGCCTAAAGAAGTCTAGTCGTATCCTCGCCGAGGGGGGGAGGCTAGCCTAAATTGGCCTAGTAGCCCCAGGTAGCTTCCAATCCTAGGATCAGGTACTGTAGTTATCAATGGACATCTACCCTATAATCAATGGAGTCATCTCTTCCATCTCTTCTATCTCTTCCATCTCTTCTATCTCTTCTATCTCTTCTATCTCTTCCATCTCTTCCATCTCTTCCATCTCTCTTGTTGATTTCACATTGCTGATTTCTTCGGTGAACTTACCTCGTCAGTATCCACAGGTCTGGACATTCTCAATTCTGTCAATATCACTAATTACCCTCCCTAGGCCCCAGGTTGAAGTGACGGTTTATCTCACTGATTTTACCTTACCGATATCCACAGGCTCAAACTTCCTCATCTCTAGAATAATTCCTAACTATCCTGTCTAGATTGAAGCTACACGATGTCGTACCCGGCCAGCCCTGTATCTGAGGCGACTACGCTCACAGAGATTCGCACAAACGCCCACTCTATGGCGTTTGTCTCCTCATCAAGCTCTTCAGCAACCTCGCTCTTAACTTCGGACTCTGAAGTTGACAGCGGAGGCTTTCTCAAGTCTTCCTTCCGCGCTGGCGGCCCTGTGATCTGCTCCCTACCTGCCAGTCTAGAGCCTCTTAGCCGGCGCCTGCGAGAATTTATGCTTGAACAAGGTCGAGAGACTCGATGCCTTCATCTCGCAGACCAGATTCTTTTGAGATATAGATTGAATCCTTCTGAGCGGTATTTCACCGGTCGTCAGTCTATTATTGGAAAAGAGCCGCAACCAATCCTCACACTCCTCATCGTTATGCGTCGAGAGCCAGTTCCGGATTCAACAATATGGCGCGAGGTAGCCAAGAAAATTAAAATCACTCTGCACTCTATACTTACCCATTTATCGGTTGAAATAATTGATGAAAGATTATTACATCGTGGACAGTGTTTCCCTGTTGAGTCCACACATCCTATCTTTCCAGTATGGTTAAATATTTGTGAGCAGATTCTACAGGGTGCTTACAACACAAGGGAATGGGTTGCATTAGATTGCTGGCGCTATGGATATGAGGACAATGCAAGCAACAACGAAGTCAGTGTCATTGTCAGCGTCCAAGAGACTGCTGAAGGTTCATTCCACACTGCTGCTCAACAAGTAAAGGAAGTCCTCGCCAGGAACTCTGTTGAGAACGTCAACGTATTGTTTATAAAGAGCGATATCTGTTTTATTTCTGATAAGCCTGAAATAGGCCCTGAACTTCCGGATAGTGCTTGTACTCAATATGTGTTACCTGGGGTAAGCATAGGTATTCGAAACAGTTCCGCTGGCTTGTCTACCCTGGGAGGAATTGTAGAGCTTAAGCAACGGTCTGAGTGGCATCAGTTCGCTCTAACCTGCTTCCACTGTGTCTACCCCCCGGAAACACCAGAGACCCCGGACAGACACCGCTCAATCCTACATCGAATCCCAGGTGCCCAAGCATCATTCGCAAAATGGATGTGGAATCCCATACTTCCAAATGATAATATGGCCAAACAACTCCTCCGGATCGAACAACCATCCACTTTCGATCTCAAGAACACAATTGTACACCTCAGTAATCGAATTAAATCTCTCCGAGATCCTGAATATGAAAGATTACATAGGTTGAAAGAAGCAATAAAGAAAGGAAGCGATGACTTTCTGACGCCCAGGCAAGAGCTCAACTACGAAATGGACTCGAAAATCATTGAGCACTGGGAGGATCGCAGAGCATTTTTCGAGGGTTTCTTGAGCAAGAACTCCCACAAGCTGGGGCATGTTTTCTGTGGCAGTGGCCTCCACCACCAGATAGTCGCTGCAGGTGGATACCGGCAGATTATGGACTGGGCCCTAATCCGAGTTGACAAAGAACGGATCCCCACCGATGCTCATACTCTTGCCGAAATCGGTCGGCCCTTCGCATACGGTGTCAATGAAGTTCCAAATCGGTTTTCTTACGAGCCAGCGGTAGATACAGGACTGTTCGATAAGATCTTGTTCAAGACGGGTAGATCCACAAAAAAGACCTCCGGAAGGTACCACGGGTTGCAAAAGTGCATGCTTCATCGCGAACCGGATGAAACTGCCCCTGCTGGCTATCGAATTGTCCCTACGTTCACGCATTCGGTCAGCATTTTAGATAACCAGACCTTTTGCGAGCCAGGTGACTCCGGCTCTCTTATTTACAAAGAGTCCGAAAAGGTGGTGGGCATGTTTTTCGCTGTCAGCCAGCGAATAAACACATGGAACTTTCAATTGATTTCGGATATTTTTGATGATATCAAGATAGTCAGCGGCGCATCTGAAGTTCGTTTCGTATGAACCTGAAGTTAGTTATCTTGCTTTCATCTCGCTCCAGGTCGATAGACGCTTCGATTTTTGGTGACTGTTCTCGACTACTTTAGTGGAAGGATGGAATTCGTGCCCTGGTTTCGGTCTTGCTTCCGGTCAAGACCATTCCGCTCTTTCGTTCCTTTGCTCAACTGCTTTAGTGTTAAGATAGAATCGGCGCTCTTGCTTTGTTTTCTTTTTTTTATGTTGATGAATATTTCGATCTGTAATTACTTTACTTTACTGCTTTAGAAACAGTATGAATTTATCTCCTTCACTCAAATTTGTGCAGCGTCGTGTATTTGCTCAACGTACAATAAGAGAGTACAAATAATATCCGAACTCCCCTTGGGAATCTAACTACTAAACAGCCCTGGAGACAGGATTCCAGAGAACATCATAGCTACACAATATCATAAACTTAAAGCAACAGTCTTAGTGCAATTTTGCCAGCGCTAGTACATTGTCTGCTTCATGTATTTATCAAGCCTACTGCCAGTTATACTGAGTAGTAGGGCCTACTAGAGAAATAAACTACTGGATACAACTTGAGCATAACGACCAGAAAAATGTGGATTAATACATACTAGGTAAAGATTCAACAAGCTGAGGCCTAGTGTCCACATGTCAGAATCCCCAAAGTTTGAAATACGGTCTCTGACCCGGGACAGTATTTGTCTAAAATACCGCCGGAACGACCGTATGTTGAAACTTGAACTGGCATGACGGCCTGAGGGAGGTACTACTAGAGGTACTAGTACTAGCCCTGAATTACTACTACTACTAACTAGAGTACTGGCAGTACTGGTAGTATGCGTCCAGTGTGGATCAACTCTCCGACTCGGAGTCGCAGTTTCTAGCCCAGAGTCTAGGAGTATAAGCAAACTACAGCTACAGCTACAGCTACAGCTACAGCTCTACCCAAAAAGGAGATTTTTTATAATCATTCATTGGATCCCGCAGGACTGCTGACAATCACCACCAAACTTCAAGTTATCATGAAGTCGGTAGTTCCTCAAGTGACCAGACCTCGCCCCGATACAGCTCACTCTCATCCCATCCCACACTCTCTCACCTCCCTCACAAAAGCACAGCCACGACATTCCAATCGTTTGAAGACATTGGAGAACAAAAGAGGAGGACCACAATGATTCTCATCGGAGAAAATTCCATCACGCTGAATATGAACAGTTGGGAAAGGGAAAGTGGAAAGAGAAAAACGAGAAGAAAAGAAAAAGCCGGAAAGAAAACAACACTGATAGAAAATCACCGTCACCTGTCACGATGTGGCAGATTGAGGTAGCACGAAATTTCTAGGTGCGATAAACTTGGGGGTGCGGAGCGCTAGAGGCGGCGGCTGAATTGGAAGACAGTTCAGAAGAGCTTCACTTGCACAAAGCGTCCCAATCGAATGCGAATGATGGTTAAGAGACATTGCTACATGTATTTCACTCGGTGAATCTGCGAGTTTGTTGTCAGCACTAGGTATGCAGGGTGGAAGCATATCTACTCACATCCCAAGCTTCTCGGTGGCATTTCCTCATTGCGCGATCCCTAAGTGTAGTGCGCCAAACCTGGGAGGGCGGATGGAGATCAAGACATTCCAACCTTGATCCACATAGTTGTTCCTCAGATCACATGACGGAATGAATATCTAACAGTGAGACGGGGAACCCAAATCTCATCATCAAGTCATGTCATTCATTTGCCCTCGTCCGTTGGCTCCGCTGAGTGGGAGCCAGCAGCAGCGTTGGCACCCGCATTGTTGGCCATTTGAGGAGGCATCTGAGGCACCTGGTTAAATCCATTGCTGGGCGTTCGGTGCTGATTCGGAGGGAAATGATGCGGCTGGTGTGGACTGGAGGAAAAGTGAGGTTGCTGCTGGGCGTAACCGCCACGACCTGAGGGCACTGAGATGGTTGGGTAAGCCGCGTGAACCCAGATAGGGCGAAGGATGAACTCACTGTGCCCGGGTTGCTGAGCTCCATATCCTGGCTGGCCGGGTTGACCGGACGGCATGAACATCATCTGCGGAGGTTGACCGGACTGCGAGTTTTGATGCATCATCATGGGCGCGCCACGGCTTGGGCTGGGATAACCGCTGTGTGGCTGTGGGGGAGGAGCATGCTGGGGGTAAGCGTGACCTGGGGAAGGTGAGTACATCGGCATCTGTGGGTTATAGGGCGACATTCCCTGGGGAACGCCCATGTAGGGACCGTTAGAAGGTTGTTGCATCATTGGGGCTCCTCCCATAGCGACGCCCGAGTTCATGAATTGGGGTCCACCTTGGTATCGGGGCAGGTGGCCAGGCTGAGGGGCACCGTAGAATCCCGGCACCGGTTGTCCAAATGCCATTTGGGCATGAGGGCCCATGGGGGATGGATATCCCATGCCGCTTTGCTGCATGCGAGGGGACGGGAAGACCTGGGACGACGACGCGGAGATCTGCATGCGATGCTGATCGTCCATGTGGCCAGACGCGGGGCCATGTGGGCCTTGATGGAGGTGGGGTCCGTTAGGGGGACCCGAAGCAGGAGCCATACCTGGGTGGAAGGGCATTTGGTGTTGTTGAGGCAGATGGGGATTGTTCGAGGCAGACCGTCCTTGGGGCGAAACTGACTGGATGCCACCGGGGTGCTTGAACATCTGGTCAAAAGTCTTGTCCTGGTTCGCGTCTGGGTGATCCCATGTTGGGAGCGTCTTGTAAGGGGGGGGAATACTCCCGTTGAATGCGTAGGATTTCTCCGCATTATCACTGCTCTCCTTCTTCATGCGTTTGATCGGATTGAACTGGTTATCGATGGAAGGTCTTTCGGAGATGGGCAGAGGTTTCTTGTTGCCGAAGAATGCAGATGGAGTTGTCGCACGAGAGGCCGATCGATTGCGCGAGAATGGTCGAGGACTGGCGGCAGCCGCGTTGGTGCTGCTCGCAGGACCGGCAGGAGCGGCGCTCGGAGGGCCACCCGGGGTGAAGGTGCTTGCCGCAGGATTGGGCTTAAATTCCATCGCGCGGACATTGAACTTGGAAGCGAGAGAAGATGTGGGAGCCTGGCTCTTCACAGGGCTAGTGATTCGAGGCTGCTCATTTGCAGGACCGGTAGGTGGGCCACGAGCATCCTGAATTGGTAGGGGTGTGGGAACCGGGCCCATGCCTGCACCCTTGCGCTGCTGAAGGTTATCCGCTAAGCGATGGCTGAGCATACCGGCACTAGGACGACCGGGCTGCATGGGCTGCTGAGGGAATCGGCCTCCAGCTCCATTTCCAGCCGCATGTGGACCGGTGGGGGCATACACTTGGCGGTTCCGGGGGAAAGCATTTTGGCGATCTGCGGGAGCGGCTGGGGGCACAGCTCCAGTGGGGCCGCCTCGTCCAGCTTGTGGCTTCTGCTCGACGGCGACGGCTGGAGGAGAGATCTTCGGGCTGGTCTTGTCCTCGGATACACGATTGATAATGGATTCTTGCTTGGTGCGATCCTTGGCTAGAATGGGAACCAAGTCCTTGGGAACCGGGGTGTGCAGCTTGAAGTTCTGGGAAAACTTCATCAACTCATTGAGCTTGAGAGTTCGGTCATAGCTGGCTTGGTTGCGACGGCGTTCCTGCATTTTCATCTTCTCACTGTTGGCAAACTGGCGGAAGTGATCCAGCACTTCGGTCTCGACATTAGCAGTGACATTCTCGGGAACAGTACGCTGCTTCACAGAGGTGCCAGGGGTGTCGGAGCTAATCTTGGCAGAAGTGGACTTCTGCTCAGTTCCAGTGCTGGCAGATGATTGAGTCGATACTTGGTCCTTTGGAGCACTCTCGGTGACGGGGGGCTGAACAGTAGCAGGAGGAGTAGTAGCGGCCGAAGCGGCCGGAGTAGCTGGTTTCTGGGCAGCAGCTGGAGGTGCTCCAGCTTGTCGGCGCCCCGGTGGGGTGTATTTGTTTGGCTGTCCAGAGAGGAGAGGAGGAAAGATCTTATTCTCACGACGAACACCACTATACTTATCCTCTTCATCCTGATCACCGGTGTCGGGCGCGACTTGACCTCTCTCCTCACGCATGTGAGGATTGTCGGCACTGGCGCCCTCAATTTCCGCAGCAATCTTGGCTGCCGAGGCCGCCTGTTGACGATAAGCAGGAGAGCTGCGATCGAGCGAAGTTGTGTAAATGTTTTCGTCGTAGTCAGTCTTCGCGCCGAAGAGCTTCTCGTTCGCTGCGAACTGGTCCCATCCAGCGGTGTGTCCCATCGAGCTATCCAGAGACATATCGACTTCGTGTTCAGCGGGCTCCCAGCGTTGCAAGGTGCGCTCCCGCATGGCCAGGTTACCCGAGATATCAGCATCGGTTCTGAATTTGGCTGCCCCTAAGGAGAAGATGTCAATCATCGATCGGAATTGCCTTGTGACTTTGCGCTTACCATTTGTCTCTTTCGCCGACACCTCTGCCGGTGATACATTGGGGACTGAAATGTCTGCGATGTCCTTCACATCAAAGGCCATGCTGTGTTCCGGAGTAGCACCAAGATACGGAGTTGTCACATCGCTCACGCCGTTGGACTTGGGCTGGTTTTCCTGAGAGGCACGCTGCACCATCTTCAAAAGGAAGGACGAATCGCTGGCCTCGAGAGTTGAGGACGAGAAAATGCCGGTATATTTGTCTCCATTCTTCGTAGTTATGGTGGTAGGCAGACCCTGAAATACGTAGTATGTTAGTAACAAGTCGTGCGCGCAAGATGAACTGATCTGAACTGCACTGCACAGAGCTCAACTTACAATGAAAGTGGCAAACAAGAAAACCAATCGGTCATGCGCATGGTTGTCGAAAGTGTTGGATTCCTTCTGGCCCGGGCGAGGGGAACCAGACTGCTTCTGCGCCATGTTTCCGTTTGATGAGGCGTGTGAGGAGCGTTGGGTGATGGGGTTCGTCCCTTGAGACCAGGCCTTGTGGGAGTTGGAGCGTCTATAGGAAGGTACATGGCCCGGTTAGCGGAGTACAACAAGTAAAGATGGAGCCAGAGAAGCAGATGAATGGTTGCCATGAAATCCGACGCCTGCAATTGGTTCTCTGGGGCACACAATGCCATGCCAGCCCACAATGCGAGAGAGATCGCGAGGTCGAGGGGCACGTGCACGGAGTGCCTATTCATTCAACAAGGACGAGCGGGGGGCAGGAAACCCCATGGGCATTCGTCCCAGGGGACAAGATCTCAGACAAAGTGATTGTCAAGCTTGTGGAGGGCGAGGAAGGGAGAACAGATAAGGGGGGCAAAGGGCGTGTTGGAAGTGGTCGAACGTACCGTTGACCAGCGTCACCAGGGCTGCCGGATTGTCGGCGGCCGTCTGCCTTGGAGTTGGCGCTTGATCTGAGAGTTGGTCTTCCAGGGTTCTGAGAGGGGTTGTTGGGATTGCCTGAGCTGTTCGCAGCCGGCGTCGAGTTGAGAGTGGAAGCCATTGATTGACTCGGGAGTCAGGGCAGGCTTGCGTCGTGGAACTTAGCACGGCGGAAGCCGCGAGGAGGCACAACCAGAACCACCACACACCGCCTGCACAAACAGGACAAGGGGGGATGGGGGTGGGGAAACGATGGTATGCGCGACGCACTGGGGGTAGATAAGGGGGCTGAAGGGGTGGTAAATGACGAGAGGATGTTAGGAAGACAAAGACTGGAAGGAGGGGAAAAAAGGAATGGAGAAACTGGAAATTGATGGAAGTCACGGGGAGGAAGGAAGGAGGAGAGCAGGAGAGAGCAGAAGGAAGAGGGAATGTGTACGGGTAATACCATGATACATACAATACGGTGCGACCCTGGACTCGGACAATGCACAGGCATTAGTTGGTATGGTGATGGACAGAGTATAAAGTAAGGACATGTACATATATGGATGTATTGAATACGTTTACTTTTTTGTTTATTCTCACATATGAATTAAATACTATCTATAAAGATCGACCTTCTTCTACTATTTATTCTTTCTTCTACTTCTACTTTGGTGGGGGCGCAACCCCGGATGACCGTATTGCCAGTACAATACATGCTACTGTACTGACGTATGCAGTGGGATATGATTGATTATTATCCGAACATCTCATGGACAGGTCCATTTACATACATGTATACTCTGTGTTTGTTTTTTATTTGCACACAGAAATGGAGATGGTAGTCTGTCAAACCTAGCTTGACCCACAATTCAATAAAAGAGATGAGAGTGCATACTCTGTACGCCTAACTCCATACTCCATAGTTACTCCATACATATACACATACATAGGGGCACCGTAGGTATACACAGGGATAGGGCAAGATGTATGGAATTGTCCTGCATTAGGGCACGCTAGATGACCCGCGTTCATTTTGAGTCCAGTCGATCATGTCTGTGACTGCGACTAGGACTCTTGTGTGCGATTCTTATATGACCATCCTAGTTAAAAGTCAAAAAGAAGCAAAGTCTTAGGGCGACCGGTTGGTGTGGTCAGATTACGGTGACGCCCAATAGAGGAGACTAGTTAATTAGCCAAAGATGCCCTACTGGGAGGCTAAGAATAGAGAATACTATACGGATACTCTATGGGTAGGTATAGGGCTAATACTCATTTTGGTCCATATGTACTGCCTTTCTTATAACTACTCCTATACATAACCTTAGGTGAGCCTGAGTGGATAAGCGCGGGAGCTGCCGCGGCCACAGCCAGCTGAAGTGGTGGTACAGACCAAGGAAAAGGTGCCTTAGTGCCGTGGATCGACGAAGGCCTGCTGTAGGTCGAGTGAGCCTAGGCTAGGGCCTTAGGGCCCGGGAGTGCTGAGGGCCTTTGCTTAGTGTTTAGTGCTTAGTCTGCCCTATACGGTATGTAACCGTATCTTACGGGCTGGGCGCACCCTGCACTCCGCTGCGCTCTGCACACGCAGATCCGGAGGCTGGGCCAACCACCACCAACCACCAACCACCAACCACCCCCCCTTCTCGTGTCAGTTCTCGGTTCTATGCAGTCGACTCCCGCCTGGTCTCATCCTTCCGGAGACCAAGATCCTATTCCTCGTCCTCAACACCTCTCGGTTTCCGGCAGCACCGACACCTCCTCCATGGCCTCAGCGTCAGGTCGCAGTTCGTCGGCCTCTGGCCGCTCCCAATCCACCAAAACAGTGGTAGGTGCTATTTGATCCCATCTTCTCACTTCCTCGTCAACATGTCCGAGTATCTTGTAACTGTTCGCTGACCGAGGCCGCCTCATCGCACCCTCGCACAGCCCGATAAACAGATTTCCCAAATCGAAAAGAGCGTGACGCACCTCCTAGTGGCAACCAAACAACTCCTCGAAACCTTGACACAGTGGTCTCGAAAAGCCGCCTCGGAAACAGATGTGTCAGATGTTTACGTGCGCCTCGGCTATGAATTCAACCTCGCCTGTCGCGCGTTCAATGCGATCGGTGTCGAGACCTCGGACTTGGGTCCTGTGCCCGACGTACTGCGCACAATACTCGAAGACACTCTCAGCCAGGATGCATCCCCGCAGAGCCTCGACCGATACCTCCCCCAAATTCGCGATATCATCATAAACCTCCTCCACGGCCTGAAGAAGAAGCAAGCGCGCCTACGGTCTCGACAGCAGAAGGAAGAGGGTCGAAGTGGGATGCCCGGGCGGCAAGCGAGTGCCGGAAGCCTGTCTAGCGAGAAGACAAATATCGGACAGCTCTACGATGAAACCGCCGCCTCAATACTACCTCCGGGTAGCGTGCCATCTCCCAAGCGCTCGGCGCGTCGATACGGAAGCAATGGTTCGTTGGAGGACTCTCCCGCCCAACAGGGCACCTCACCAGGGCCATCTGGTTCAAGCTACTCAGAGCGAGATGCCTCGCGCAAGGAAACCCAGCAGTTGCTCTCCCAAGCGACGTCAGATAACGAACCGACCCCCCGGGCGACTCCATCGGCAGCGCCGCCAGACTTCCCTGCCCCGCCGCCTCCGCCGAAGCAGGACGATGCGCTTGGCGCTTTACAGAGAAGTGGTGAGCTAGAGCGGCGCGCCTCGCGTCGTTTCTCTGCCTACCAGATACAGAAACACTTGGGTACCTCGTCAAACGGTGTGCCTGTTATCCCCTCACAAAACTCACCAGTCCCCAACCGAGGACGTGATGTGCGCGAATCGCTCAACGCCGTGCGCCTCCGAGGTCCCTACCAACACTCGCGCCAGCGATCCACGAAAGGCTCCCAAGACGTCACCAAAGGAGGACAGGCCCAGGCTGCTGCAAACATCCCCCGGGCGGTACAGGAGGAATCTCCGAAGGCTTCCACTGAAACCGCGGAGCCTTCCCCCGCACCCACACCTGCACCCGCAGAAAATAAGCCACCACCTGTCGAAAAGGAGCTACCAACGAGCCCTATTGCTGATTTGACCCCCCCCTTATTTCCCACAACCACCTAAGACTGGCCCCTCTCTCGATGATGCCTTTGACCCCGAGAAGAGTAGCTCCTCTCCCGTTCGCGAGACAGCCCCGGAAACGCCAAAGAAAGATCGAATTGAACCAGTTGACATTGCCACGCCTCCTCCGATCCCTCAGCTCGCTGTCGACCAACCGTCCCCAGGGAAAGAACTGACCCTGTTCCTGCAGTACAAGAGCAAGATCAAGAAGTATGTTCTGCTAGAAGGCATCGCAGAACTGACCATCGGGCGACTGCAATTGGCATTCATCGAGAAATTTGCATGGAATGTCCACAACAACGGCATGGACCTTCCTGAAATCTACATACAAGATCCAGTTTCCGGAATTCGCCATGAGCTGGAAGATTTGGGCGATGTCAAGGACCGTTCGGTTCTCGTGTTGAATGTGGATAACCTTGATGAAGTGAAGAAGCACTTTGATGATAGTTTTGGAAACGTGCGGACTCTGGTGGAAAGCGTAAAAGAGGCGCTCAGTGGTCAGGGAACCGTCATTCAACGTCTCTCAGATCGTCAACTGGAGGCCGCAAAGGAAATGGCTCGCCTCGCAGCAACGCCCTCGTCATCATCTGCCCCTGGCGTCGGTAGCAAGATCGCCTTGACTTCAGGAACTGGTATTCCTATCGGTGAACTTCAAAGCCTGCGCCGTGACTTAGCTGTCGTCAGGCAAACTTTCACCAACTTCCAATCCGACATCACTGGCTCGATGACTGACCTTCGCACCAAGGCAAGCCTGGTCAAGACTGCCGCGGAGGACGTCGCCGTTACAAGCTACGAGGGCGACGCCGGCCGAGCACGTGTTGGAACCGGCAAAAAGGAGTTGGCTGGTGAATCCGAGCGTCTTGTCTCACGCGTCGACGACCTCCAAGATCTGGTTGAAGATCTGCGCAAGGACGTGGTACAACGCGGTGTTCGCCCATTGCCACGACAACTGGAGGGCGTCAGCCGCGACATCAGCAATGTGACGAAGGAAATCAAGAAGATGCAAGACTTCCTGGGACGTGAGAAGCCCATCTGGACCAAGATCTGGGAGAAGGAATTGCAACTCGTCTGCGAGGAGCGAGACCAACTCACAATGCAAGAAGACCTCGCAGCGGACCTGCAAGACGATCTCGAAAAGGCGGCGCAAACTTTCGCCCTGGTCGAACAAGCCACCAAGGAACAAGCGCAGGAGAAGGTCAACGGTGCTGTCACATTGCGCGCTACCTCGCGTACCCTTGGGATTGACCCCACAGTTGATCCGGTGAAAGCCAAGGACGGTGTTCTCGGCGAGGTGCGCGCGCTCCAGCCCAATCACGAAAGCCGAATCGAGGCCATCGAGCGCGCGGAGAAGGCCCGCAAGAAGGAACTCGAGAATCGCCGTGCCAATCTCTTCCAGAAGGAGCTCGGTGCTTTCGTGCAGGAGGATAAGCTCAAGAAGAGCGGTGGCGTTGAAGAGGCCGAGCGTCTGCGTAACGCTAAAGACGACCGCATTCGCAAGGAAGTCTGGGACAGACAACAAGCCCGCAACGCGGAGATGGAGAAAGCCGAAGCCGAAGCCGCAGCAGCACAAGCAGCAGCAGGAGAGCAAAAAACCGAAGGCGAGAACGAGGTCTCCGGAGAAGCCGCGGTCGAAGAAGAAGCAGGTGGTGGCGAGGAGGCAGCACCCAAAGATGAAACACCGACAGAAGAAGAGAAGAAGGAAGGAGATAATCCCGATGATTCGAGTGCGGAGAAAGCGCCCGAGTCTTAATTTTCCTTTTCCTCCCTTCTCCCCAACACCCTACCCTACCCTACCCTACCCTAAACCACATCACACTCCCCAATTTCATTTCTGACGATTTTGTGCATTCTTTGGCGATGGATTTGATTTCGCATCTCGCGTCTATACCTGTGGCGATCCCCATGTTATACCACTGTTTTGGATTTGTTTACCCCCCCCCCCCCCATTATTCGCCCCTCGCCATCATCACCACACACCCCCCATCACCATGCGTTGTTTTTGCCCTGCATTCATGTCACTTATTGACGATACCCTGCCACGACTGTGGTTTGTTTCAAGAATATCTTGTTCACATTGCGCGTGGAGTTGGCCCGTGGGTTAATAGGTAGTTTTTACATTTGCCTTTCAATGCTTAATGCGATGCCAGCCTTCATACCCCCTTTTATTCGATCTTCAATATCCAGCGATTTTCTAGGACCTCCCGTGATTTTTTAGTAGTTCTTATCATAGTGATAAATGTACTAGACAAGAGATTCTCTTTACAAACAGATACTAGTATACCAATTGGCAATGGCTGGTCATATATCCCTCTGCCTGAACGCTTTCGTGAAGTATAAAATTGCCAGTGTGCACTCAAGCTATGTTCTAAGTAGGATAATGCAAATTAATTATTGATTTTGTTTTGAAGCAGATGTTCTGTTCAAGTTGTTTCAACATGAAATTAATGCCAAGGTCTCGACCCTCGACGACGACGAACTGGTTGCGTAACAAAGGGTCTCACTCCCAGCCATCCAATTTCCACACCTTAAAACCCACCTCGCGCCTGTCCCTTTTTTAATCATCAGATAATCCTGGACCCTGAATCCATTTGTATTACGAATTTTATGAGCTTAATGATCGACGATTCCCCAATCCGACCCACACGAATCCACAACATCGTGTTTCTCAGCCTCATCTCCAACCCGGCTAACCCGAGTCGGTCTACATAGACATATCTCTGTACGACGCTTTTCCTCCAGTGTTGTTTGCTTGACGCGCTCGTGCTAATAAGATTACACAGATCTGACCAAACATTCACCTGAAATTTTCTGCATTTGATCGGATTCACTGGGCTCTTGCTTCTACACTACTCCCCGCAAACCACGAGCGCACGATCACTCTTTGGAAGCGCCCCCATGCATCTCCAACATGTATCAGCATTTCTATTGCTCTTATCCGGTTTAAGGCTCAGCCATGCAAACCCGGACGAGGATACCATTCTCCGCCGACATGCAGAAATCGAAGCGCGATTTGCAGACTCTCCCATCCAAGGCGTTCGGAAGATGAGCGAGGATGAAGGAGAGAAATTCTTCTTCGAATACTGGCAATTCGAACAGGCTTTGGACAGTACTACTGGGAATCTTTCCTCTAATGCGGAAGTGGAGAGTAGGTCTTTGGATCAGGACAGGGAAGAGGAGGCTGGTTTCTCACCAGCCGAAGGCCAGGTCCTCGCTCGTTCACATCCACTCACACCTTCTTTCTCTGGCGTCGCAGACCCTGGCTTTGACCTGCGCAACCTTTTTGGACGGGATTTTAAGTGTCCGACTGGGACAAATGCGTGTTTGAGTATCAATCGGTCTGATCGTTGCTGCGGAACTGGCGATACGTGTGAAGTGATTCATGATACGGGCCATGGGACTGTGGGGTGTTGCCCCAAAGGACAGAGCTGCTCCGGGAGAATTGGGTCCTGTCAGAGTGGGTATACGGCTTGTTCGAAGGCTTTGGGTGGGGGGTGCTGTATTCCGGGGTTCGCGTGTGTGGAGGGTGGATGTGAGTAAACCGATCCTCAATGAGATTCGATCGGAATCATAAGTGGAATGCTAACTTGAAGAAGGTGCATATACCTCGGTAGTTACAGTGACAGACGGTAACACTGTGACAACTTCTACAATTACCTATTCGACTCGACCGCAGAATACCAACTCTGGATCGACGGAGACTACATCCACCACATCCACTGCGTCCACTGCATCGACCGCATCTACTACATCCACTGCATCTACAGCCAAGTCAACCTCCACTGGCACGGGAACAGATACTTTGGGTGCACCAGGACGCCCGATCATATCAACGACAACGACTGGCACCCATACAACGACCGGACGGACGGATATGTGTCCCACGGGGTTCTACGCCTGCTCCGCTGTTTACCATGGCGGTTGCTGTCAAACAGGAAGGAATTGTGATACGACCTCATGCCCGACAACTCAATCCACCACCTTCACCTCGAACGGCGAGACCATTGTGGTTCCGGTGGCTACAGGGAACTCGGGTTCGCGCTCAGGGAAATGTGCGCAGGGGTGGTTCCGCTGTGCAGATACGGTGGGTGGGGGATGCTGTCCGCAAGAATATGTATGTGGTGCAAGTTGTACGGCGACGGGATCGGCAGCGACAACAGTGGCGAAGGAGCAGCCGACGGGGGGAGCCCAGACAGTGCGAGTTAGCAAAGTGATGGCAGTGGTGTGGGTGGTTGTGTTTTATGTGTATGTGTATGTTTAGGTGTGGATGAATGTAGATGCAAATGCAAACATCAGGGCATTTCCTTTTTCCCCGACCCCACGGGGGCTGAGTAATACACCAAAAAGTGGGCAGTAGCGGCAATTCGTTCCTGCCCTGCGGTGAGCTCCTCTCAGTTAGAGTCGCGCCTTCCGTCTGCGCACTCGCACTGGCACTTGCCGTACGGAATATCGCCGAATTTGGCCGACCGTCACACCGGATTACTCCACTCCACCTTCTCTCCCCATCTGCCCCATCTCCATCTTCTCCATCTCCTCTCCTCTTTTCCCTCTCCCCTCCTCATCCTGCATTTGGTAAGTCATTCCGCCCTTGCTTAGAATTGGTGTTTTTCTCTTTTCTCTCAGCCTTCGACTCTTATCCCTGTCCGATCTTGCCCAGTCTATCGCTGAACTCCCTCATCAGGTCCATCGCCATCATGTCCGACACACAACAGAAGCCCCTCCCCTTCATCTACCAATTCGCCGCCGGTGCGGTGGCCGGTGTCTCTGAGGTATGTCACAGTATTCCAATTGCTCGTGTAACTCGTTTTGAGTCCACCCCCAAGACTCCAACCGCCCGCGAAGCGCGCACGCAGTGGCTAATCAATCTCCCCGCACGACCAGATCTTGTTGATGTACGCTCCAACCTCCGTTTCCTTCGTCACAACCATTCTTCCGGAGCGATATCCGATCAATGAAAAACTGAACAATCAATTTTAACCACATATTATTGCAGGTACCCATTGGACGTCGTCAAGACTCGAGTGTAAGCGCCACCCACTCATCCGCCCTCGGGAGCGTCACCCGAATCACTCCGCAGTGACTAACTTTCTCCTCCCCTATAGTCAACTTCAGAGCGGTACTCCCGTTCCCGGCGCCGAGCACTACAATGGCATGTTCGACTGCTTCCGCAAGATCATCAAGCAGGAAGGGTGAGTGTTGACGAATACCCGAGTTCCCAGGCAATGGCAATGGCCATCGGCATTTGCTCCGAGACTGACCAAGACCCACAACAGTTTCTCGCGCCTGTACCGCGGTATCTCTGCCCCCATCCTGATGGAGGCTCCCAAGCGTGCGACCAAGTTCGCCGCTAACGACAGCTGGGGTACCTTCTACCGCGGCGCATTCGGCGTGACCCAGCAGACCCAGTCCCTGGCCATCCTGACTGGCGCTACAGCCGGTGCCACTGAGGCCTTCGTCGTTGTTCCCTTCGAGCTGGTCAAGATCCGTCTGCAAGACAAGGCCTCTGCAGGCAAGTACAACGGCATGTTGGATGTCGTCAAGAAGATCGTCCAGCAGGAGGGCCCTCTGGCCATGTACAACGGTCTGGAGTCCACCCTGTGGCGCCACATCCTGTGGAACGCCGGTTACTTCGGTTGTATCTTCCAGGTCCGCGCGCAAATGCCCAAGCCCGAGCCCGGTAACAAGAGCCAGCAGACCCGTAACGACCTGATTGCCGGTTCCATTGGTGGTATCGCTGGTACAATCCTCAACACCCCCATGGATGTCGTCAAGTCCCGCATCCAAAACACCACCAAGGTTCCTGGTCAAATTCCCAAGTACAACTGGGCCTGGCCTGCCATTGGCACCGTCATGAAGGAGGAGGGCTTCGGTGCGCTGTACAAGGGCTTCATCCCCAAGGTGCTGCGTCTCGGACCCGGTGGTGGTATCCTGCTCGTGGTGTTCACTGGTGTGATGGACTTCTTCCGGAAGATGCGCGAGGAGAAGTAAAGGGGACCGGGAAGGAAGTAAACAAAAATTTGCCACGTCCCGATATACCCTGTTCTCGTTCTGTATCACCGGTCATGTATCACAAGCTAGAGCTTCCGCTAGATGGATATATACAAAAGACATGTTTCGTATTTTCACAAAAGGAGCATACGAGTACCAATACTCCGATCAACTCCAGTCCACAGTAGTAGTGCTAGTACTATTTACATTCAAACTCACCCCCCTAGACCCAAAGCCAACATCATCAACAACCTTCACCCACCTAGGCATACTATTGCAAACTCCATGGCTAGAACTAACTAGTACCACACTGAAACTTGAACCCAACCTGATATCCCCAAACCCCCACTATTCCAACTCTAGTAACGCCTCTTCTTCATAGAAGCAACAGTAGGAATAATAATAATCAACATAAGAGTTATCAGAAGTCCCAAAAAGATAAATGTCTGTGAGACAGTCTTGCAATGCTGACGTTCGGACTCTCTCTTCTCACGTCTCTCAAGCTGCAGATCACATGTCTCGCAGTGGAAGTGTTCCCGCGGTGGCTGTTGCCCGGCAGTACGAGTAGCAGATGATCCAGATGCTGGAGCCTGTGCCTGTACCTGTGCCTGTGCGGGCAAATCATGCTCGTACTCGTGGGTAGTGTGAGCCTGGTTTTCTAGGTCGGCTTCTGGGTCCGTGGGTGGGATGTGCGAGTACTGGTAGTTATTTTGTTAGACACTACAGTTTACTAGATCCAAGGTCTAGCTTGGATGCCACAGAGTGGGCGAGGCTTTCTGGGTGACATACGCCTGTTCTTTTGTTTTGGGGCCTTTGCTCGAAGAGATCTTCGTAGGCGGGGACTGGGTCGGTTTGTTTGGAGCTCATATTGATTCTTTTTCTTGCTTCTTTTTGGTTCCTTGTTGATGGCTTATGCGGATTGGGGTTGCTTTATCGATGAAAGGTAGAGAGGGGATACTATATAGGTGAGGTCAGATGTGAAGGGTGAAGTATGGTGGCGGTGCTCGGACCGGTGCCCTCTTCCAGCTTGGGGGCTGAATCCAGGCATCAACATTATCAATCCCGTGACCGCAAGGGGGATATACTATTGGCACTGCCATTGCTAATTTTATGGGAATTAATGACCTTACAGATAACTTGAATCCCCTTTCTAATATACGGAGTAATCTGGGCGGACTTGTACTAGTATCTAGACTGTTTCATGAGTCTTATCATCGGCCGAAAATATTATCCGACTAAACTATAAAGATTCAAAGTAGGTGATTCGCGACCTTCGTGATTAATTTCATCACTCATATCTTCTCGATCCTCACTAGTGTCTTCCTGATCATCACTCGCGTCTTCCTCGTTCGCCTTTTCCGAGGTCGGCAGTGCAAAGAATGCTAGTTCTTCCATATGGTGGCCTAGGTGTCTCTCAAACACCTTTCCAGATCGAACAGACTCTCGGTAGAGTGGACAGTCTGTATATCCATAATAGTGTCCAGATACGGAATGCTGAGTCCGCAAGTGATCAAACCAATCCCTTCGACTCTCATACAGTTGATTTGGTGCTGGACAATTCGGGTAGAGACAAAGGTATGGCATGAGATCACCGAGGACATGGCGAGCCCATGACAGCCGATTCGGCATGGAAATGACAGAAAAGCAAAATCTGCATTCGAAAGGGGTCCCGTCCATTGGAAACCTTGGAAGGGGATAAGAAGCCCCTCCTCTTACACTCGCCGTGGTCCCAGAGAGACCGCTTGGCGACGGAAGTTTGCTTTCGTCTTCATGACCGTTGTTCAGAATTTCCGCATCTTCATCGTCACCAGTGGCCTGATTGAGACTTTCGTCGAGCTCGTCTCGTTGGCGCTGACAATATCGTATCACTGAGCGACGCCGGTTTATCGCAAGCCCAAGACGGTCCACTATCGCTCTATCAGCATTTGGATACTTGCCTGCAACATGGGATCGGTCGAATTCCAAGTAAAAGACTGCGTCTGAGCTTCCGCTTCCGAGAAAAGCAGCTGCATAATTTAGCAGCTTGTTGATCTGTTGGATGACCGAAGCGATTCGTTTTCTTTCGGTATCGTCATCACCCCTGTCATAAACGGACGACAGAAAGTGTCTGTAGCAATCGAGCCTCCATCTAGGTGACTTTAGATGGGTGTCAATGTCGATTCCAACTTTTGAGCCACCCTCAGATTCGACTTCTGGCAGATCCAGCGCATATCCTTGTCTTAGAACTTCTGAAGCTGCTTCAAATTATTCCATGAAATCGAATTTCGCATGATGAAGCCAGTCCCCAAGGGTGTCAATGTAGCTTTCTTGCTGCTCATATTGGCGACGGGGAAGTTTGGAAATCAGGATTTCATGTTGGCTTATCAGTATGCAAGCCGGAGTCGAAAAGTGTAATTTTCTTGTTTGCCCTTCAACGCAATGCCAGTCTGATAGCTTCTCACAACGTGACGCAAATAATAAATGTAGCCCGCCTCAGAGGAGTGTACAGTCATTCTCGAAATCGCCTTGACCAATACACACTTAGAATCTCTTTTCTGGCCTCACTGCCAAGGCATTAGCACATATTTATTATTGAGCTAGCCTTAAAAGATGAGGGGTGTGAATGAATGTGCTGCTTTGTTACAGTATATGATTTACAGTACCCTCAGAAAATCCTATAATCCATCCTGAGAAGATGGACCCCAATGGACCTCTGTGGAATTATATAGTGGATTCCTGCACATCAGACAAAGCGACAAAACAACTTACCTACGTTTTTCCCTGTGGGGTTTCTGTGGGTTCTTCATTGGCGTTGCCTTAACGGTGTGTCACGCTCGCAGTACTATTGTTGGCAATTTTCCTGGACTTGATTACATCTTCAAATTAAGAACCGATACCACTTTAGCGATTTTGTTTTCTTTGGTCCCTTGAACTCTAAAGCTTTCTGTTGCGTACATAAGTTGGAAAAATTCAGGGCTTCTTGGAAATGATAATTTTGTAACATGATCCAAACATGACCAGCTCTCTAATTTATGACCATTCTTCATGTGCTTCAGCCAGTCCTTTTTTGAATTGAAGAGCGTAGTCTCCATTGAACAAGATTCCAAGAGACAGATGTAGGGCATGATGTCTGCCAAAATGTGTTTCCTATTGCGACGGGTTAGTGATATTAACAAAGGAGCGGGCATGAACTCCGCAGGGCAGAGGGGGGTAGATTCTCATGTCATATTGAGTAGTCGTGATGTGGACTTACTTCCAGTTATCCGGCTCAAATTCTTTGACAGGACAAACCACCAAGCAATAAGGACACTCCCACTCTTTTGGACCAAACGGGACATCAGGTGGTCGTGGAAGCTTCAGTTCCTCAACCGAAATCTCGAATTGTGGCGCAGCTATTGTTGACTGAATCGAGAGATCCAGTGGGACTTGATCGATTTGCGTTGTCGTCGCTGTCATCAATGAGCGCCGCAAATCTAGGCAAGGTTGAAACTTGACAGGCTTCTCTTTCTGCCCTACCGTTGTCACGGGCATTATGACGCTGAAGCTCGGCGCGAAAGTTGATCTCGCGTTAGACGGCATTTGTTCAGGGACTTGTATTGTCGCGGACCGATTCCTTTTCTGCGATTTGAGGTAAAAAGAATTCCTTTGGTTTGGCATATCGTGTCCACCAAGCGCTCCGAAGCTCCTGGCTAGCGGTACATCCTTTCAAGTAGTGATCAATGATTCTGCTGATCGCCGTATGAAACTCTGAGGTCAAATTTACCCCGTCAGGCCCATATTCGGTATGATTCGCGATTTTCACGTGGCGGTGAAGCATGCCCGAGCGACGAACGGCTCGAGAAAAACGGAATAGCTGGTCGAGTGTGTCCTCAACATTTGACGCAACGGTTGAATCTTCGTTCGAGGATTGTTCTGTTTGGCGAGGCATATTTTGCGCATCTGGGTCGTTTATGAGTATAAGAAATGTGCGCGAGGAGATGTAGAGTTACCAATGAGGCTCGTATTCAAGTCGTCTAAGAGGTCATCCATTGTTGATTGTAACAAAGAGGCATTTCGTAACCTCCAATCCATCGATGCACGAGGGGATTCAAGCACATGGTTGTTGGACGTCCATAGGTTGAACCAGAAGAGTTGGTTTTCGGCGTGTTCCAGCTCTGTAGGATTGAGTGTAGATTTCTCTCGCCATTCCTCGAACAAATCCGCTGCCCCTTTTTGGCCTGAGCTGCTATAGACATCGTCGGCGTATCAGAGGAGGGTGACAGATGGTTTAGAATCTAGATACAGATGGTAGTGATTTGCAGCCTCAATGCCAACATCATTATTTAACCGAATATGCTCTCGTGGCTCTGAAACCCGACGAAGGTGCAATCGACATCCACCCCTCATTCCTAGGCAATAAGCCTCACCTCGAAGCCTGCGGGGCTCATGCACAGCTGACATTGCCAAGGAAAAACTCTCGTCTCCAGGTTCTCCTTCATCTCAGCCCTTCTGCGCCTGAACGCTTTTGATATTTTGTAGCACACTTGAAGACCTGTGCACATCCTTTTACCGGCCACTAAATTTGAATTGAGGTTCGGAATGAGAGGGTGATTTGCGTCCAGAAATGGACCCCACTCACCAAGCCGTGCTGCCAGATGCCGCAGCAGCACTTATAGAGGTGATCAATCTGAACCAGCCGACATCGCGGAACCTTTATCGGAAGTTAAAACTTGCCTTGGCTTCTTTCATGCTGAAATCAAGTCGCCGGGTGTTGTTCAGGCGTTGGTTCATCGTAAACCTTTCCAAGTCGCCTTACAACGGATCGCGACATCATTGAACGAACTTCTTTCCGCTGAATATGTCCAAACAGTATTTGGAGTTATTGAAAAAAGATGCATCTTGTCACACCGGCGGGTTCTCACTTCTTCGAGGAGTTTGGGGTGCCGGTGATGAAGGGCCATCCCCCCCCCCGAAATTATCCAAAATTTGCTCCTTCGCCCACACCCCATCCTTCAAATTTTTCATCACCTAATTCAGCGCTGCGATACAAGAGATCTTGAACTAAAGGCACTGCTAGGTGGAGAAACGGGCCAGCTCAAGGAGGTGATCACCCGCATCAAACGCTGGAATTCCATAGTGGATGAAATGTACGATGATTCGGATTCAGAGCCCTCCGAAACCGAAGCACCAGAACCGCCAAGTCTCGAACTCATCTTTAGTAAAGAGGAAAGTGTTCCCTACTCGTCGCGTGCGCTTTATGAAATTCTTCACCAAAACTGGCCCTGTGCATCTGACGCGCACAACCACGATGGACGACTGGGCCTTTGTTTCGAGGCGAATTTCTGCTTGGACCCTCGATGGGCATCTAGGAACTAAATCAATGATGACTTCTTTATGCTCTTGAATGGACCTGATATAAGACAAGAATGCAGGATATGCACCAGTACTTCTGGGTAAGTCGCATCGAGCCCCTACATGTAGTTAAACCAGGTGCATCTTGACTAAAAATATTCTCACTCAGAACTTTCAAGAATACAGCACCGGCCTGTCTAATAGACCATGACGACCAGTCTAGAAGTGCTTGCCTATATCTGACGATGGATGGGGAGCATAAACTGTGGAATGATCACCAATCTGCCCAACCGCTGGAAATCATGATGGAGGGAGAAGTATCTGTGGAAATGAGTCTGAGCGAGCTTTTGACCACAGTCAAGCCAACCTATACCACCAAACGAGTGATGGGGGTGACATTGGCTCGATGCATTTTGCATTTATTCGAAGGAAGGACCTTGGCTGCAAGGTTGTATGTCAATCAACGACATCTATCTCTATTGCAGAATCGAAAATGACCAGTCGCATTCAATATTCGACAAATTATTCGTTGCGACGAGATTTGGAAAGTCTGGAAACGAAGCGGGCGCCACACCTGGAACGTACAAGATTCACCCATTTCCTACGATCCTGGCTCTTGGGATCATTCTCATTGAATTGGAACTGGGTGAAGATCTTTCCGATATCAAAAAACACTCCATGTTCACATCTAAGAAGGGTCAACCATTCTATCTCGCACGGTACCTTCTAAAGGAATTTCAGAAACACTTCACTCTGGATTCTGGGCTCATTCGCGCGGTCAAATTTTGCATTGATCGAGCGCCTTTCTCGCGCTTCGATACCCTCGACTCGAACGCTCTTCTCTCGAACCAAGAGTTTATCAATGTTTATTATGAGAATATTGTCCGTCCTTTGGAACAAGATTTAGTCAGAGGAGATCATTGGACCTGGGACCAAGTTGATGAGCTGCGGCCTCCCTCCCAGTACTGATACCGGAGTCTGCAAATTCTTCGCTTCCAAAACATTCAGTCCTATGCATGATTTGCTTATTGATAGAGCCAGCTTTCACTTGGCAGAATCTCCAAGCAATTCAGCGAAACTAGATTTCAACAGGTGCTCAATCAGCGCGAGTGACGTCATTGAGGAGAAGTGGTCCCATAAAGACACAGTAGAAGAAGCTGAAAGAAGACGCCTGTATGACTCACTGGGCCATTCATCGGTATCTTATATCGAATATAGGCGTGAAATCCATGCCCAGCTTGATGTGGTCTTGAAAAATCTTCCCACCAGGCCGCAGAGCCGCGACGACTTCCACATCGTCATTATATGTGCTCTCCCAACAGAAGCAAACGCAATACAAAGTATCTTCGATAGACATTGGGACACCGAAGGGATATACCAGTACGGAAAACAAGCGAAAGATCCTAAATCCTACTCCACTGGTTTAATTGGAAACCACAATGTTGTTCTAGAGCACCAACCGCGGATGGGAAAAGCCACGGCTGCAAATGTTGCTGCAGCATGCTCGATGAGTTTTCCGAATATCAATCTCGCTCTCATTGTTGGTGTTTGTGGAGGTGTGCCATTCCCTGGGACTAAGAAGGAGATACTTCTTGGGGATGTTGTCATTAGCAAAGGTATCGTGCAGTATGATTTCGGAAGACGGTATCCCGACGGCTTCCGACCGAAAGTTACCATTGATGATCAGCCTGGTCGACCCAATCAGGAGATCTCATCTCTCATGGCTCGACTGGAACTTAATATGCAGCGAGTGAGTCTACAACAGGACCTCGCTAAATATCTGGATGAATTGGACCGTGCTACGTCGAACCCCTCTGGGGATTTCTATCCAGGTCACCTACGAGACAGACTATTCGACGCAGAATATGTTCACAAACTTCAGTTGGCCAGCTGTAACATGTGCACAACCAGTGTTTTCAATCTGGCGATGCAGTCTACATGCCAAGATCTCAAATGCGGGGAGCACAGATTGATAGGTCGACTGCGTCAGAACGAGAGAAACAGGCCCTCCCTCCACTTTGGATTGATGGGATCCGGTGACACGGTTTTAAAATCCGCAGAAGAGCGAGACAGAATCGCCAAAGAGGCAAATGTGATAGCATTCGAGATGGAAGGGTCGGGTGTCTGGGAGACGATGCCTTGCGTGATTATCAAGGGGGTCTGCGACTATGCAGATAGCCATAAGAACAAAGAATGGCATGACTATGCAGCCACAACAGCAGCGGCCTCTACGAAGGCCTTCCTGCGACACTGGTCTGTAGGCAGCCAATCAAGAAAGTCAATATAACGCCCGTCTCATCGGCCCATCATTTTCCCAATCCAGGGAGGCCCGCGTGACATGTTCCCTTTGTAACTACATTGCTGACCCGAACGATCCGCGAGTAAGAAGTCGATTGCGAAAGCCCCGCATGATAGGATTGGCTAATAGGAGAATCCTAGCCAGCACACGAAGCGAATAGTAGAGTCGATCAGTCCTCCCCCGCAAACCTTGGAATGCCAAATTGGGCCCTTTCCGTGGATCGGCCCACGGTGGGCCAATGAGATCAGGCAATCGCACGCATTATGACCACAACACCCGCAGGTAGATTACGTCTACGAGTCACCATACTTTGATTGTGCCCACCCCGCATTTCAGGTTGAGTGTTGTGTATATAAATCCGGGGTCTCTTCCTTTGTGAACTCGGGTTTCTCATCTCTACTGAGTTCTTCAGGAAACATCATATCAAACAAACCACATCACGATCATGGATAAACACAATTCTCAATGGGTGTCGTTCCACATCCGGGACCACCTCAAGGACGGTGCAGTTACTGTCCAGAACACTGTCATCGAAGAGTAAATCCGGCCCTTCCTGGTGTAGGTGTTGCTGATACGTGATACTGATATCCTATCCAACAGCGGTGAATTCTGGGACCCCAACGGCCGCCGCAAGTCGCTTACCGAAGAGGAAGTCGACGAGATCACCATCCCGGCTGGTGGAATCGGTGAGATCAACGCAGCTGGCCGTGGCCGCCGCGGCAGTGAGGGTCGTCTTGATCTTTTTCACGACGATGGCAAAATCTGCGAGATCCACTGGGAGAATCGCGGTGGAGAACACATCAACCTTGTTGAGACCATCGACCCCAGTGATGGGTATAGAGTCGAGTACGGAGGATGGAGCTCCGGCGAGGGACCCCTCGGACACGTCTACATCGACATTACGAAGATAAAGAAATAATGATAGATACCACCGGAGAGGAGGATAGATACTAGAATCCTCTCCTGATTATACCAATTTTTAGTTAATGAATTTTCAAATTTTACCATTTATCACCCTGCTCCATTGAATGCCTCGTTCAGTTGCTAGACATTTAGCAAAATGTCATACCAAGAAGCTCCCAGGGAGGGGTCCTACCCTTCGGAACCTATGCAGCAGATTTGTTCTGTTTCATTTTTCTTTGCTCGATTAACCGATGAAGTCCATCCTCGGCAGGTAGTAGGGAGCCTATTGACGACTCCTCGGAACAGACACTACTTTCGTCGTGTCTTCCAACAAGTTCAAGCTGCTTACCCCCTTGAATTTGGAGTTCCAAGGTTGGCCCGAACCGAACCTGCCTCAAAGTCCACGTTGGAGATATTCATTCCTGGACCTAACAGTTTCTGCTTTAGGTAGTACGCAGCGATGCACACATTCGCCAAGCATTCGGCGAGCCGAAACCACAGTGGTGATTCTCATAAACCACATCCATAGCAGGAGAAAGTCGGGTGCAAAACACCGGTCGAGAGAAGAGTAGGAGCTACTTTTGTCATGGAGGAATCAATTGAACTTTGTGAAGAATAAATAATCAAGTCATGAATTGGGTATGATGAGGGTCTATATGATGTTCAATATCACCTGCAAGACCAAGCAGGCAACCACACAAGTGCAAAGCATTGGACAGCGATCACAAAAAAGCAATCAGCCATTACCTAGACATGGCTAAAATATATTTGCAATCACCGACATAGTCGCATGAAAGTTGAAGCGAAACACCGCTACTAGAGTTAGGAGTGTCTGAATTAAACATCCACACCAGTCGAAGAACCATTCGGTGCAGCGGTCGAATAACGACGTTTATCGTTTCCTCCCTTGACCCGTCCAATCCCGACCAGTTGAAGGACCTCCCTCCAGAAACCGACAGGTAGATCAACAAAACTTGCCTCGTAGGCATCGATAAGGGGCCGCTCCCAGACAAGATCGGCCTCGTGAGCCTTGATGAACTTGGTCTTCTTGAGGAGCTTCCAGATGAGGAATAGCGGTGGGATGACAATTTGCATAGTGTAGTCAGACCAGAAGGTCTGCACGTCCCACGGCTTGTAGGATGGATATCCGTAAAGGATAGTAACGATCACCATCCAGACAAGTCCGATATATGCGCATCCGGGCTGCAGCCAGGCATAATACGAGAACTGACGGCGGTCAAGGTTTTGCGCCTTGCAGGCACGATGGAAGAAGATATAAGTGATGCAAATAGTGATATAGTTAATTAGGCCTAAGAACGTTAGCGGGGTGAGTTACAGGGGTGCAGGGTCGGAGGAACGGGGGGAGAACGTACCACCAGCGGTGACCAGATTAGCGAACCAAGTGATGACAATGGCGGAGCTGTTTGAGACTTGAAGAAAGGAGAGCAGGGGGAAGATCATAACCACGCCGAAGCAGTAGATTGGCACACCATTGCGAGTAGTGTGGGTGAGGACGCGGGGGGGCGCGGCCTTCTAACGCCAGACTGTACAGGGTACGGATTGCGCAGTAGAAGTATGTGTTTCCGGCGGAGAAGATGGAAGTCAATAGCAGACTGCGACGCGTTAGCATTTGGCCCACAAATCCTTTTCCTCGCCCGATTTCTGCTTGTCTGGATTATACTCACGCGTTAACGATCGATGGGAAGATCTTAATTCCCATGTTTGTCATGCCAATAACATAAGGCGACGCAGACGCGGAAGAATCGGACTTTTCACCAGAAGCCACGGCAACAAGGGCGGGATCTCGGGAAGAGCAGACAATGCCGACGGCCAGAGCACCGCCCATGAAGAAAAGGCCGAATCGAATGTACACCGTCTTGAAGGCATTCTTGATATAAATGCGTGGGCGTTTCGCCTCAGCCGCGACCATGGAGATATACTCGGGTCCGACGACGGCGAAACAGGCAGACCACAATGACCCGAGATAGCCCTCAAATCGACCTAGGCTGCCGGTATTCAAGTACTCCATGAAGGAGCCGGGATTATTCCAGTACCGGAAACCGTATGCGTCATGATCCGGGTTTCCACCCACCATCGTGATGAAGGTGAAGAAGAACAGGGAGAAGATGAGGATTACTTTGCCGCCCGAGAGCCAGAATTCTGCTTCTCCGTAGGCTTTCACGGCTAGCATGTTCAAAGAACTAGTACACGAGGTTAGTATAAACTACACATTTTTGATGCGCGGCGGGGATGGGGGTCGGAGCGGGGCCGCAGTGGGGATGGTAACGCAAGGGCGCGATGGCTGGGAGTCAATCAAGTAGTGATTGAGATAATTGTCTTACCCATAGCAAATAATGATTGCCGCGACAATACCCGCGACGGGGCCAGGTTCAGTTACTTTGTCACTCCAAAAGGACAAAACAAGGGTGAAAGCAGAGATCTCGAAGGGGATCAGAAGAGCTTCATAGAAACTAAATACGGAGGTCAGGTTAGTTTAGGGGTGGTCTTCGAGCAAGATCAATGCAAAACGGCATGATAAAAAATGTAAAGGAGTGAAATGGAACCACGAACAAGAAGTTCCAGCCAACCATAAAACCGAGGGCCTCATCGACCCATTTACCAGCGAGACGAATAAAGCCACCACTGACGGGATAGGCAGTACTCATTTCTGCGAGGCAGTTGTTGACCATTGCGAGGAAAATACATTGGGTTGTGAAGGCCAAGAAGAGCGAGCCCGGGCCACCATGGTATAGACCCGTGCCGATGCTCACGAACAGAGCTGTACCAACAGCTCCGCCAATGGCAATCAGTTGGATTTGACGATTGTCTAGATGACGCTGGAGGTTATCGGCATTATCGGCCATCAGACCCTCCTGCACGTCATGGTGCGGGTCAGACTTCAGGCCCACGGGGTCTAGGACACCAGTGGTTGAGCCGCCTTCCTTGTCTTTGCTGCTCAGTATAGCCATTTTGGTGGGTGTTGGCGCGAGGGTTCTGTACTATGGGTTATACGGAGAATGGCGCGAGGGAGAGACAGGCAAAGGGTGCCTGTGAAATCGAGGGATTTGGTTAGGAAACGGTGGGTTGGCGCATGGGTTGAGCTGGTACTGAGATCCGGTCCGGTTGGAATGGGATGGGATGCGATGGGTTGGGAGATTGGCGCAGAGGGGTTGAGGTGTCGCAACAGGGTCAATCCGATTTGAAACTGGGCGACGGGTGATCCGATGCGCGATTCTAGAATATTTTGGCGGAAACAAACTGGATATGGTGCAGTTCTACCGTGGCCATTCCTTGTCGAGAGGCGAGGGGAAGATCCAGAGGAGAAGAGAAGAAGAGTAAGAAGAGCTAGTCAGATGTGGGGTGTAGTAACAGTATCCGAGCGAAACAGTTGAGTGAACAGCTGAGACGAAGTAGGAGCGCAGAGAAGAAGAAGACGAAGAAGAAGAAGAAAAAAAAGAAGTCGAAAAAGTGCGGGTTGGCCAGAGGTTTAAAAGGGAATAAGTCGAGAAGCGAGAGAGAAAGAAAGTGCTGAGGTACTCCGTTCTCTCCGTACTGTATGTAATGAATGGGAGGCGGCTGCACTCTGCTCTGGGTGTGCTCTGCTGCTTCCTGCTTTCTGCTCTCTGTTATTTGTGGTACTGCAGTACCGCAGTACCGTGGGACGGTGGGGTTCAAATTGCCCCTTCCTAAAGTAGACTAGCGTTGAGTCCCAAGCCCACGGGATGCCGTCTCAGCCACGTTTCCCACGATAAGCTTACCTTCTGATTGGGTGGAATCCACTCTTCGGGTAGCCAAGACCCCGGATCCAGTAACGCTAATCTACTTTCGAACACGAATCTCTTTTCGCTCGGGGCCTCCGATTGCGTTACATTTCTGCGGTAGGGACACCTCGAGGATAACCGGGCGTGAGAGGCGTTAGGAGGCTGACTCCATAATTCTCCCTTACCCCTATCTGATTCGATCGTAGCAAGCCTCTACCGTGCGCCCGCCAAGGGCCAAGCGTCCAAGGATTGAGATTTCGGTTTTTTTGTACTATTCCGTTCCAGTTGTCCCGCACCTACCCCCGTATGGATGGTATTGTTGGAACCTAGGGCAGAGCTGGCCAACGAAAGCCGGTTTCCTCTTTCATCTTAGTGGGGGCCATTTTGCGTCATGCTGAATATTCTCCTTTTAGACGTATTGGCATAATCCGGGTCATTCCGTGGGATTGCTGTTGTTGCTACGAGTATACTCTTTCGAGTAAAATACTCCTCGAAATGTTGGGCCAGATTCCTTTGCCCCCTAGCTCCCCCGCGTGGTCTTGATAACCTCATGGAGCAAGGACCATGTGGAGGGGTGGGTCAACCTGTCAGAACCTGCCATTGAAGACCGCTGAAGCACATCTCCCGGCATGGCCACCCATTCGTAGAGTTAAGGTTACGCAGATGTCGTACGGCGGCATGAACACGGCATCTAAATGATCCTAGTCGATCGGAAACTATATTGGTACCTGATAACCGTTCACGGGTTATTTACCGCCGAGGGTCGTTTCACTGGCTATCAATCAGTTCAATCAAACCGCCACCTTGTTTTAGCTATGACTCGGTTCTTTTTACTCGTTAATTGATCATAATACTGACTGCAGAAGTGGCTGGTATTCAACAGGGATTAAGCCTTTAGAAGTACTAGTGCCTTTTCTGTAAGGAGAGAAAGCTACCTAAAGACCTAGGCCAGAAGTCTGGCTACACCGCCGAATTAGGCAATTCTGCCATATCATTACCACCACATTCAAATATATATATCTTAAGCAATATATTAGATATTATCACCAAATTTTGATATATTTTAAATTAATCAATATTTAATATATTTATGAATTTTCATTGTCTAGAAACGCGTATAAAAGCCTAGGGCTCGCTGGCAAGCAAGTACACGCGCATGCGTCGATCTAATTAAGCTATCAATTTTATTTTGATCTAGGGCATCCCACGCCTCAATTATCGCCTTTTTGAATAGCTCCCAATCAGCATCAGAGGTGCCACAATTCAAAAGATTAGGATATAGCTCATATAATTTGCGTTTGAGCATACGCCACACGGGTTCAATAGGGCTTAGATCGGGCGAATGTGCAGGCCAATCTAACACCTCAATACCGTGACGTTCAAACCACTCTTGCGCCCTATACGAACGATGGATTTTGGCGTTATCTTGCTGAAAGATAATTCCTGGTTCGTAGTGTTGAATAAAATCTTTTTCTAAGACATCAATGTATGATTGGGTTGTATAGCCCCCATTTTGATTCTCTGAAAAGTCACGCTCCATGATCACAAGATTTGTACGCCCCCCAAGCCAGATACCAGCCCAAACCATTTGACTAATATCCTTTACATGAGGCTTAACAAGCACAAGTCCCCGCCGATATGCTTCTCCTTCAAGACGTGTAACATATTGGCCGTTTAAATTCGGAATACGTTGGACGCTGCATTCGTCAGAAAAGATGAAGTCTTCGAGGCGGGAATTAAGGGCCTCACGGCGCCAAGTTCGACAAAATTTCTTTCGCTTTCGAGCAACTACCCCTGAAATAGGTATACAACGGCGCGCCCTAAATCTCCGAAGACTTTTATGGCGAAGGAATCGCTTAATTGTTGATCGAGATGGATGACCGGGTATCGTAGCACTAAGCTCACTGAGGCTTTTCCAGGGCTCTCGACGCGCTAAAAGAACAGTATATTTAAATGTTGAGAGGTCAAATGTCCTAGGGGTACCTGAGCGAGGCCTTGATTTTGTGTTGTGTTGTTGTTGAAAGCGTTCAATTGTTTTGTATATTGTAGACCGCGCAACGCCTATATCGGAAGCGATTTTAGTAGGCGATACACCACATTCACGTGCAAATATAATAGCGGCGCGGGCCTCAGATGAAAGCTCTGCCCCAGGCCTTCGATTAGCACTTATTTCGGTACCGAATTGACGCATATTGGTGGTGTATTAGGTGTTTGAAAAGGAGAGGTTGGAGGGTGGACGCGAAAAACGCGCTAAATAATTAGCGTGTGTAGCCAGACTTCTGGACCGCCTTTGTACTAGCTGACCTGCTAGCAAAAGCATACTAATATAATGGTACTAGTAACACTTCCCGTCCTTGTAGCCCTGGAACAGACTTCTCCAACGGCTATGTAAATCCATCAAACCAAGTGGAAATTGAGGAAAACTTGTCGACAATTGACGTTGGAATCCCTTTCATCTCTTTAACAGCCCGATAGATTTCAAACTCGCAAGCTACTGTCAGCAACGCTATGACGGGACCTTGCATTTTAGATGTATAAACGAGATGGAAAATGGTGGAAACGTATCAATTTCGAAGTATCGTTAAGAATCATTATTTCCCAAACAATCCGCTGCCGAACACCGTCTGAAAACTCATATTTCCACACTTATGAAGCCGCTATTTTTAAATTGGCAACCTTTGACTTGAGCCCCGAGACGATGTCGACATCATACGGCTCTCTAATTTTGAGAACCGTTGGGACCGAGTGGTCATTATATGCCGATGTCAGCCGACCCAACGACTCAACATCGACGTGTGCTAATATCTCACTAGATGACGTTGTAGCGATGGAAGAGCCGCGAGGAGCTCCTAGCAACGAAGCAACAAATAAAGCCGATCCATATCTACTGCCAAGTTGCTGAAGTGAAAAGATGCAGTGAAGCAGTCGACGAAGGCTGGCACCGTCTGCATGCGAATCGGCGGAAAAAACCTCTTGTATATGAAGGAGTCCCATCCGCAGAATCATGGGAACACTCGTCGTCGTAAGGTAAGATGTGAGATGTTTCTCGTTGAGATCTTGTAAGATTGCAGTGAATTCCACTGCACTTTGAAGGACCGGACAGTTTGGTGACTCGAGAGATAATTGCTGGCGTGGGCTATATTGTTCCGACAAAAAGTCAAGTTGTCGATGAAGAGTACTGTGCAACTCGAGGTAAACCATTTTCAACCAAGCGGCATGTGAGTAGAGAAGGAGCTCAGATTCGTTCGTCATAAACGGGACCGAAGAGAATGATATGCTCTTAGGCAAGGCCTGGAGCCAATCTTCTAACTCCAGTTTTGAGAGCCAAAGACATGACCTCCGTGGCTGAGAAACAATTGGCCGCATGTTAATAGACTGGCAGTCCCAGGCGTAAAGATCATCTTTGATGCAGCGACAGAGGTTAATTTTCTCGATAAAGATCCGAGCTAGCTTTTCGTGATTATCGCCGTAGTATGAGAAACCAAGACCGGATCGGAACCTCGGTGTCACTATATCATCTTTGCCGATTCCAAGCACCGGGATGGATGACCGAAATTGATCTTTGATCATAGGAGGTTGTTGTAATCCCAGCGACATCAGTCTATCGCGTGTAAAAATGCTCCACCATAGAATCCTTCGAAAGTTCCAATCTGGATGATCTGAGTAGTCGAGATGGAGCTCTGCCTTGTATGCGAGCGATATGCAGACTCCAATCCAATGGCGCCCATCCTTATGTCTGTCTGGATTCTCGTACCAATAGGTCATAAGTAGAAGACTTTGGACGGCAGCCAATTTGTCATCTTCGGCGTCAAGATCATATAGAACCTAACATTGACTCAGCTTCGAAGAAAGAAGTATGTCCAGATTGGTACCACTTACTCGTGCTCGTTGGAAGAGTGTATCTAACGCACTCCGCCGTGAGAGAAAGCCAGCCGCGTATAAGTATTTCAAATCAACAAAAAAGGCACCAGAAAACATAACCGCTTGGTATAATAGCAAGCTCAATTTCTCCCTTTGGAATTCACACCTTGTCCACGGGGTGAACAATTAAAAATGATCGCCGAAAATGGATCTAGATCAAGGAACGGAACATGAGGATGGACATGTCGAATATACGCTTTGAAACATTCCTGTGAAAACAGAGGATCTAGAATATCAAAGGCACCTTTTCGAACAAGAAAATTTATATCATCCTGTTGTAACCGCGACGAAGGGGACTTCAAGTATGATGGAAGCAAGAGGTTGTAAGGTGGTAAAACCCAGGTCGGACCCAAGAGTCGGTGAACCTCGGTCATCATGTTGTCCAAGGGGTAAGTAGACAGGACTGCCGGTTTCCGGGTCATACCCCGACCGGGTCGGCGTTGGATGAGGCTCCGTTCCCTCATTTTGGGAATCGCACCATGTGTTGATGCAGAAAACTGGGAAATTGGTGGGGGGATCAGAGAGAGTCTCGGCTATTTGAAAGGAAGGGGGAAAGGGCCCCCTCGGTATTCTCGGTATCCTCGGAGCTCCCCGCGCGGGGTGGTCAATGCCAAAGTTGTTCTTTATTTCCCCGGAACCCCAGATTCCCACCGCAACTTCCCCACAAGTATGGCAACAAATTGCGACAATGCTTACTTTGGGATATCTCTTGTCTCTGGAGGGATCGGATTGTGTTTAGGTAAATTGTCTATCACTCCCAGATAATACTGACGCACTGGCCAATCAATCACACCGAAAAGTACCGATCGCGAGAGATTAGGCCACTGAGGAGAATGAACGAATGAATTGCTTTAAATGCCGGACCATACACTGTGCTCCAATACATGCAACAAAACTATGAGAAGGACCAATAAAAAATGGGCGACTAAACTGGAGACCAAAATAACCTAACGCGCCATGTGGATCGAATCCTCTCTCTCGGTTTATCTCCGATCGGACCAAGATCTTCATCTCATCCAATAAATAAATAAAAAATAGAATCGATTGACACCAAGACTCGCATGCATACGATGAAACGTGACAAATAAAGGCAGTCGACGGCGAATTAGCGATTGCTATTTTCCGATCAGTACTGCAATGCTTCACATTCACAGGCTTCCTCGGATCACCTACCGTCGACCAAATCGAAATGAAAATGGAATGCGATCCAAAGCGACTTGAGATCGGCCAACGGAACGAGGGGCAACTGAAAAGATCAAACTATTACTCGAGCGGTCGTATACGGTGACTCCTTGACTGGCTATGGCGTTTTCGGGGGGGTACATCTTTGGAATTCTTGATTGGGGCATTTATAACTTCGATTGGGAAATGGACGCGGCGGCCCGATTTTCTCGTCATTACAGGAACTTTGGCTGCCTCGGCTGGGGGATTTTCCGTGCTGGTTGAATTTGAACTTGAACTTGTCGACGATTCTTCCGAGCTTGTCTCGGTCGCGACGGAAGACTCATCCTTCGCGGTATCTCCTTGTTTGGATTTTGCCTTTCCACCTCTTTTTGCTGCGCCTAGGAATGCTTGGTTCGGTCGCCAGTACCGTTGTTTCATCGGACCTTCGCGCTGAATCAACAATTGGAGCAGGCCGATGTAGATAGATCCAATCCTGCATTATTTGATGGTAGAAGCCCACATCAGAAAGAGAATTGAATGGAAGTTGTGGCAGCGGCCCACTTGGGCAGCAAGGAATGATATTTACTGTCGTTCAAGATAGGTCATGTGAAAAGCCACCCTCATGCATGCGTTGGTCGCCCTGCAATAATTTTATGGGGCAACAAATCACGTTCCACGACATTCGGATTGGATCAAATAAGATGCCTGCTCCCGCTGCCCGGTTATGCACCACGGGAACTACCGGACTTGCAAATTTGTTCTTTCTATACGTCGATGTTAAATACTCGCCAGGTCCCTGGAGTCACCATTGAACTTGAGAAGCCCCATATTATATTACAGCCACCCTTAGGCGGGTTGATACACTTGGACACAAAGGTGCTAGAGTTCTACATAAGCATTTACGTATGCTCAATATGGCAGAAGGTTCAAGTTACTAGCACTCATGAACTGATTAAATCCTATTATGTTCATTCGCATCAAGGGGTTATCAACAAACAACTAATCACGAAAAGGAAATCCCCTTGGGGTCAGTGTAAGACAAAGCGCTATCAAGGGCAGTGGTCAAATCAACATGGAAGAAAGGCCGATTCACGTTCTCGATAATAACCTTCGAAGACGAACCATTTCTTTGTTGAGCCTTGTCTGTTGCGGTACCAGTGCTGATACTATCATCCACAGACTTTGATTCCAGATCCTTCGCCTGCTCAGTGGACAGGGAGTAAGGCTCCTTCTGCAGACCGCTCTCGATATCCTTACCGTCGAGAGAGTTAAGCTTGTTCCTAACAGCTCGAGGGTCACCATGCATCTCTGCGACACTGAAGATAGGCTGCCACTTGCGGTTGGGGTCCATGAGCTGACTTGTGGGCTGACCGAATCCAGCGGCAGCCAGAGCACGTTTTGACCATCTGTTGTGCAAGTGTGCGAAATGCCACTGGACACGGTGAGGAGCGGCATAGCGATCGAGTTGATTTCTCACATCGACGAGTGTCTGAACGCAAGTGACGTCGAGGTTGTTCACGGAAGCGCAATCGAGGATGACTGCTTGAAGGGTCGGGCGGGCTAATAATGCTTCACGATCGAGAGCACCCTTGCGTGGTCCGGGGTCATTCCATGGTCGGTCGCCAGGGTTGTTATCCGCATCCAGATCAGACTTTCGAGTGTTTTGGAAGATGTGATCAACAAGGAAATCAGTGTAGTGGTTGGCGTTAGGGTAATTGAGACCCTCTGATAGTCGGTAGATGAAGATTCCAGGTGCTGGTTGCTGAATCTTGACATGGGGGTTGGAACCATCCTCGCGCGAGGTCGGCAAGTAAGCGCTTCGTGGACCAAGGGCCACTCCCTGAGGACCCGCGTGCTCTTCCAAGACATGGTCTCCGACGACAGAGTGAACGTTGACTTGGCCCAAAAATTGGCCGCGGGCCTTGGCGAGGCGGAATAGGAGAACAGCAAGGGAGACACAAATTGTGCAATAGATTCCAATCTCAATTGTCGTGAAAGTGATCACGATGACACCCATCAGGAAGATGATGGCATCGATCGGTGATACTCGCCAAAACTGGTAAGTCGTACTGGGAGGAGTGATAAGATCACCGACGGCGTGAATGATGACGCCTGCCAAGGAGGATTTGGGAATGTAGAAGAAAACGGCTGGCAATGCATAAATCGCAAGAAGGACGACAACAGCAGTGATGACTCCAGCAAGAGGTGTGCGGACTCCGGCCTTGGCTTTGATAGCAGTGCGGGAGAATGAACCAGTAGCAGGGTATCCTCCCAAGAAAGGACCAAGAAGGTTGGAAACACCGATGGCAATGAATTCTTGCGATGGGTCAATCTTGTAGTTGTTGACGCGACCAAAGGACTTAGAAATCGCGATATGTTCAATCAGAAGCACGATGGTAGCCGCGGGTAGCTCACTCGCAAACGAGGAGATAATTTCCTTGTTCAGTTCTGGTACCTTGGCGTGCTGAAAGCCTCGAGGTACAGTTCCCAAAATCTTGAAGGCAGGTTTGTCGCGGCGGTGTAGGTTTACAGCGGCACTGATCATCGTGTAGAAAAGGATCACAAATGCGGTGCGCAGGGTAGAGATGAAAAAGAAAGTCTTTGCCTTTTGAGGATACTTCTTCGCGGCGTAACTGCATGAAAAGCGAATAATGTACAGCATTGCCAATGCCGTTAGTCCCATCGCCGCATCCATCTGAGTGGTTGGCAGGTATTTCAAGCAGTTGATGATCATCTTGTATGAGGCATCGCGTGTAGAAAAGCTGGCAGTTTCACCGAGGAGTGTTTTGACTTGGCCAGAGATGATATTGATCGCAGAGCCGGTCATGAATGCCGTAATCGCGGGCAAGGGGATGAAGTCGACGATGAACCCGAGTCTGAGGAACCCAAGGGCAGCCACAATAGCACCGCAAATAATTGCCAGCGCTGACGCAATAGTAGGCCCATCGAGCTGTGGGTGTTCCGCCTGTGTTTTGATGATGATATTTCCGACGAGGGTTGACATCACTGCAACGGGCTGAAGCCAAGGCGTTAGTTTCAGAAGACGAGAAGATGAGACGGGAATTTGGGTGACTCACTCCGATCGTAATATCTTTGGACGTAGCAAAGAACCAGTAGATCAAGACACCCATGAAGGACGAGTACAGGCCATACTCGGGAGCCAGATTGGCGAGCTCGGCGTAGGCCATACCCTGAGGAACAACCACAGCGCCGACGGTGATACCTATACAGATCACAGGTTAACCTTGGAACATGCAGTGATTTTGACGCATAGATAAGTCTCAACATACCGGCAACCAGATCTCCAATCAGCCACTGCACATTGTAATAACCGATCCAGTGAATGAAAGGGAAGATGTTGTAAAAGTATCGGCCAACCTGTTGGCGTGTCGGGGTGTGAGCTACAATCCATTCGCCCGTCGTCGGATCCGGATCGACATATGCGTGAGGACTATTCGCCTCAGCGACATAGTAATTCTTTTCCTCCACCTTGATGCCGAGCACCTTTGCCAGGGTATGCCCGACCTTGCTGCGGGTACTTCCAGACATGATTGAGACTCTCCCTCGGCTTTTTGGAAGTATAAAAGGCTAGAGCAGAAGGTCCGAGGGGGGAGGTGGGAGGGTTAAGAAGGTAAGAAAAAGAAAAAGAAAGTTGCGACCAGTTGACCGGGATTCAGCTAATTACGTCTCCCTGTAAACTATAACATGCTTCCTCTGGTCATGTTTAGCGTGATGTCGTGATTTTGGAATATTAATGCAAATATCGAAGTCCGTCCCGTCAGCCAATCACAACGCCCCGGTGGGAATCCTCTCAATCCGATTCAAACAAAATTGATGACGGATTAATTTGTTTCTTTTATTCTTTTATTTTCTTTCGCTTAACTTATGAACTTTCATGCGCTGTCAGACGCCTCCCGAGGTCAGAAGGGGTACTCTTTGATATATACCAAGCCTATCCTGAGCGGGTGACCTCCACAATACAGTATACAGGTACTGAGTATAGTCTATCTGACTCAAATCTCATCGTATACTACAACAACACCTGTGGATGTCAATCCGGACGGGGCCGTTTCAAAGACCCATCATCGTACATCAAAAAAGGAGACGGCTAGGGCTGAAACCGGAGTCTCACCGAGACAATTATATTCCAGTTCAAATTTATTGTAAGATCTTGCGATCTTGCGATCTATGTGATCCCTGTTAGTACTCCGTACTACTGTCAGTTTCCAAGTCAACCTTGGAAACGTGCTTTTTTGCCGAGTCTGTCTGAACCGTATTCTTCTCGGCGCCTAACCCTTGGCAAGCCAACCAAGCCAAGTTCCAGAAAAAGGTCGACGACTCACAGTGCGCGAATTCTGCGCCTAGGCTTGTCTGTTTCGTAGCGTGGCTAGTCTCCGAAGCAATGGCCCCATATTGAGATCCATTCCCGGCAAGATCGATTGCGCAACCTCAAGTCTCATTCCCGTTGGCCATGGCACGGGCTAGTCCGTGGCACCATCTGTATCGGGGTTCGCCCTAAATTCGGTGAAACAAGGTTGCGGCCCCCGGCGTGTGTGGCAGTGCAGTTCAATCCAGCCCCATGTTTACTTATTCTACTTCGTCGCCTCTTCGCTGACAATATTTGCTTCTTTCTTGGAGCACTTCAGGGCAGTACTTTCTTTCGCCCCGGAGTCTTGAACCGTGCACATTTCTTTTGTTTCAAATATTATTATTTTTTCTAAAAAGGATTCTGAACTTTATTCAAACTCCGAGGATTTCATTTGGTCAGATTGACTAGCCACCTAGTGCAAACTAACCATACTAGAAGCGCAAAAGAATGCGATTGATCCCGGATCTAAGTTCGCCAACATGAAGAAAAAGAAAAAAAGAAAAAAGGGCCTTGGCATTATAAGCTCAAAACACAAATGCATGATGCAAAACGTCATTTCTACATATTTCGACGTGATCGCACCGAGCCCGTGGCCCTGGCCCGGGCGAATACGAGCCCTCAGGAAAGCTCAACCCCGCCTCCTTATTTTCCCGCGTGGCTTTCCCCAAATGCAAGACCCTATTCGTTGTTAAGTTGCACACCATCATGGCGGACCCTCTTTCGATCCTAGGTGCCGCGCTGGGCGTGGTATCTCTTGGCCTACAGGTACGCGAAGAGATCACCTCATACTGCAAAGCGTGGCGAGGCGCAGAGGAAGAAATCCAAGAAATCGCCAATAAAGCCGAGAGCCTAGAAGGCCCACTCAAGGCTCTTCGAGAAATTATCCAAGAATCACAGCTCTCAAATCCTGGTATCGCTTACGATCTTCAGAATAAGATCCAGAGTATCCGCGGAGGTATACAGAAGGTCCAAAATGCGGTCGATCTGTGGAAACCCGCCCTATCCGCCAAGGGCTTCGGCGAGAAGATGCGTGCGCAGAGAAAGAGAGCGGCATATCCATTTCGGAAAGAGGCTTTACGGGCTTTGGCCAATGATTTGGATAGTCTCCAGATGGGACTGCAGACTACTCTCCACGTGTGAGTTAATAATATGTCATTTCTGATAGCAATGGAAATTGACCAGCGGGGACTTCCGTTCTGCGATATAGGTTTTCGGCTCAAAATACGCGACTGATCCCGTCTTTGGTATTGGCCCAGGGGAAATTGCTTCGCGAGGTTCAATCAATGGTTCGTAGAAGCGAGATAAGGCAAAAGAAAAGCTTGCCTTCAAACTTTTTATTTTCTTTTTTTTCAAACGAACTTGCTGATGATGGAATCAGCACCTTGAATTGCAACATATATCGAAACTTTCTTCGCCACCACCGCCAGAACTACTGCAAACTTGGTGTGATGAACAAAAGCACGCGATCAACACAAAGCGAGAACTCGAACATGAACTCGGAGAGACCGTGGCCGTGTTCGACTCCAGGACTCGAGGCAAAGGGTCCTATAGCTATTATAGCCGCCTCTTGAATATCACCATATCGGCCTCCTTTTTCATGACTAGGGGTGCTGGAGGGTTTTCAATCGCCCCTTCGCTCACTCTCCGCGTGCCCCTATCCCCCAATCACCCTGGTTTCTTTTCCATTTATATACACGGGCTTAGCGCGAAATCCCAGCGCCCCGAGGAATTTGTCAATAACATAATAGACCTGCTAAAACACCTTTTCACTACCGGGCAAGCGAGTCCATCGGACCTAGGCTCGGATGGCAATTCCTTTCTGGACGTACGTTGCGATCGAAATCCTGGTTTTTCCTCTCCCTTCTTTAGTAGTAGCTGCCGGGCTAACTATTTGCCATCTTTTCTTTTTCACTTTGCTGACATTCACCCAGGCTGCGTGTTTCGCATTCTTGTGTAGTTCGCAATGGCATCCAGATGCCTATGTTCATTTCGCGAGGCTATTCGCCTTCCTGATTAACAGTGGCGCGCCGCTTAGCACTTCCACCTCACTGGGTGGAACGGGGTTGGACAAGTTCATCGGCGCTGTAAAGCTCAATGCGGAAAAGTCTCGGATGCTTACGCGTCTCGCTCATCGTGGAGGCATTGTCACTGTGCGCGGTGCATTACAATCCCCAATAAGCAAAGCGAACCTACGGCAGGTTCTCGTTGAAAATGAAGAAGGTACCCATCCAACACAGATTTTCGTTGGAATATTGCAATTCAAGGCAAAATAATAACAGAGGATATTCTTTCTAGTCGTCGATATTCCCGACATTGCCAAAGCCATCATCCAAGAGTCCGAACATGATCTCAGTGTCGAACTTCTCTCCGGCCGCGCTTCTCCAAACGATATCATCGGCAATACCGCATTAATCCAGCTCGCCGTAGGATGGCCCAGAGGGATAGAAATCCTAGCAGATGCGGGAGTCAATTTGCATAGGAGTTACCCATTATCTCCATTGCACATGGCAATGCGCGAACGCAACTACCAATCAAGCAAGGCACTGCTAGAGGCCGGTCATCCACTAAAGCCTGATGATATCTGCGCGGCGGAGTCTCTGAATGACGGTAACAAAGTGACAAAAGTTCTTATCGCAGAATTATCAAAGCGACGCAAGCGACTTGCCATAATCGCCCAAGCCAACATGTCACAGATCGACGTTGCGGGAATCGGACTAATTGACTCGGACTTCCTCCCTTCATCGATTCCCGATATCGTCGCGTCTAAAATATTCCTTGCGCTGAAAAAACGCGGTGTCAATATTGACCCTTCACTCGAAGTTGCAGAGCCTTCGATGTCCGTATATCATCAACCCTTCCGAAAGATAGACACGCTTGACCTACTCTTCGAGCACGGCTTCACAGACATCGACGCAAGAGATTCTTCCGGCAAAACACCCCTCATGACAATGATTTCCTCGTCGGGTATTTTCGAATCATCAAATAAGAGACGGCGATGGCTTATTTCCAAAGGCGCCGATCCCACCCGATCACTTCCTTGGGGTAATAATAGTGGGGGCACCGTTCTCCATTTACTCGGCACTTGTCTAGCCAGCATGTTAGCTCGGGAAATAACGCATACAGCTACATCAGAGCTTCGCGAGTTCCAATCTCCAGAGTCCGATTCTGAAGAAGACCCTTTATTTGACTTGCGCTATGCCCTCCGGGCCCCGTGTCGAGATAATTGTCTATGTGCTTGTTCAATGGGCGGGTGTACTCCGCTACTAGCGGCTCTACGACACCTTCTTCTCCGCTACACGCCTAGGTTTTACATGAAAGACGGGGTGAATCGACTACCCGGAGCCATGAATTTTCTTATTTCGCGAGCGGAGAGAAGTGTCGATATTCAGATTTCTGTTATTAGGCTCATTACGTTTGATGCACTGGATCTCACGCATACATGTTGTCGCAAAAGTGATACTTTCGCGGACGATCGGCTCCAATACATGGAGAAAGCTGAAGTTGATGAAATTCGAGACGAAGAGTCGCTTCTACTGGAAGAATTCGAGTCTCTGCTCGACGATCTTGTTGCTGAATTCCAACGGCTGGGTCTTCCTATCATAGAGTTTTTGCAGGGGCCTTGGTACAGAATGGTCTTGGGACATATCAATCGACTGGGCACGTATGATGAAATTCACATGAGCGAGGTGCGGGGGATTGGATTGAAGCTGCAAGCAACAGATGATGTGTCGGGAAAAGTATCCCTGATGCTAGGGTCGAAGGTGTTAGAAATCGAAGACTGACCTCGGGAGGAGGGTAAATAAATACGAGGGCGAGAGTGGATCATCCCGAGGTCCTAAAATAGTAATACTCTACTAGTACTTACTGGGCGAACCTAGGCTGCAGTTACTAGTACACGTACTGCACTTACGTACAGCAGCCAACACATAACCTTAAGGAACTCGGGAGATTTTAGCCGTTGGAATAATAAGAATAAACATTTGCAGTATGGCTTAGCCAATACCTTGGTTTGCTACATATCCGGAGCCAATAAGTAAAACAAAAAAGCCGATGTAGTATGCTCAACTAAAAGCGCCAGGACACAAAAGAGACTCCTGCAAACAGAGATAAAGGAATGAGAAATATTAAGTTGGGCAGGGAAGATGGGTAGAGAAGAGAGATTCAATAAATGTCAAATATATGATCTGTAACTGCATTCAAGGCTCGAAATCTGGAGACATTCGGAACAAAAACCAATGAAAAAGACAACGAAAAGAAGGAAACAGGGTATCGATGGAATAACAAAGAGACGATAAGATCCAGACATGATAGTCAAAGAAAAACGGTAAAGAGAAGAACCAGAAGGACATGAAAAAGTCAATCCGAAATCAAAAACGATCAAAAAAGTCCATCCAGGTCGGCGGACGCAGAAGGAGGTAACGGTCGTAGATAGCGTCTATCATCGTTACCATCGCCGTTAAGACTTGGAAGCACCAACGTAAGCACGTTAGAAGAAATTGCAAATATAAATCGATAGAGGAAATGCAGGGTAAGAAAAACAAGAAGAGGAAAATTCCGAGAGGAACTCTATGCAAGTTCCACTTTCCCATTATCACTCCCAAGACGCCGACAAATCGGTTCACCCTCCCGTCAAACGCCAAGTATGCATTAAGTGATTTCAAAATGCAGCCCAAGAGTCAAAAATTGTCGAAAATCGGAGCGCTATTAGGGATTGAGCTCTGCTCCAATAAAATAAAATCCAAACTCAGTTCATCTCCATGCCATACTCATCCTCCTCCTTGAAGCTCATGGCGGCATGGCCGGCACTGTTCCAGTACTGTGGTTGACCGGGGTTCCCATTCGAGACGCCATGGAAGGAGGGGCTCAGGTTGGGTGGAGTCAGGGCATCGGCGCCTTGTGCAGGGTCACCGGCGAGGTTGGTGTGCTTAGGGACGCGGAGACCGCTTCCGGGGCCACGGGTGTAAGCGAAAGAGGTAGGGTCGTTCTTCTCCAGGGCGTCGAGGATCTCGCTGCGCATGCGCTTCTCTTCCTCGGTGGGCTCGAAGGGCCAGGTTCCACCGAGGCTGCCGATCATCTCGGCTAGTTCGGCTTCTTGCTGGTACTTGACGTGAAGGGCCCACATCAGATCGCGCATCCAGCTGACGGCGCCGTTGAGGATGTCACCCTTGTTGGGCCCTTTCTCCTTCTCTTCGATGGGTAGGCCCATCGTGATATTGCCTGGAGTGGCGCGGCGTCCATTGCCGCCGGCCAGAAGAGATGTTGCGGCGTTTCCACCGGCACCGGCCATGGAGAGGGCACTGTTGTTGACGAGCTGCTTGCGCACCTTGTCATCCTCGAGACGGTGCTGTGGTACGAGGTGGGAGAGATCCTGGATGCGTTCGTTGATGTTGTCGCGACGGCGGCGTTCGACGAGATTGTGTGAAGCGCGACGTCGGCGACGCTTGGCCTCTTGAGATTCCAGGTCCTGGCCACCAGGAAGGTGGGAGTCGACTTTGGTCGGGAGCGATGCGTGTTTACCCGACTTGATGATCTCGGAGATGCCGGCATGTTGACCGTGGTGACCAGGGGAGGAGATGGGTGAATCGACATAAGAATGCGCGCTGCCGGGAGTTCCGTCCCATTGATTCGACAGTGTCTTCTGGTGACGGTGTTGCAGTCCACTAGTTCGGATCGGTTGGCCTGGGAAGCTGCCGGACTCCGGAGTGCCCAATGTCAAGGACCCCAGAGCGGGAGTCTTCGGGGTCATGGGGCTCCGGGCATCCGAGGATGTACGGTCCATCGCGGACAAGCCTGGGCGAGACTTGCTGTTCAGGTAGTTCTGATCGAATGAGCCGCTCTGGACATGGGGGTTCTGTTGGTTCATGCGGAACTGCTCGTAATTGAAAGAGTTATTGACAAAGGGACTGGCCATCGGTGCGCCATCGGGGGTGTTTGAGTAGAGATGCGACATTTGACTTTGGTGACTCATGGCGATACCGCCAGCGGACTGGTCGTGCATGTAGTTAATATTGTTGTCTCGCTGGACGCCATTCTGCCCGCTGATTTCGAGGTCCAAAAGTTCATCGGTGTCGATTCCAGAGTTTCCAAAGTTGAAGCTGGAGCCCATATTTTGTTGTGAGCCGTAAGAGTATGGCATGAAGCCGCCCTGTTGCATAGTCAAGTCCGAGGGGTCCACCCCTTCGTTGGGGTTCCCGAACTGGTTACCACCCATGGAGTAACCGGAGTGAGACATCATAAATGGATTGCTGCGATCGTCAGATTCGTGCTTGATGAAAAGACTTGCTTCTGCCATTGCCCCGACGGTATTCCAGTGTTCAGGTGAAGCAGCGACAGGGGAGGGACGCGGAGTCGAGGGAGAATAGTCGTCGTTCCGAATTACTGACCCTCTCTGGTTCAACTATTGATCGGCACAGCCAGGCAGCCGTCAATGCGGTATGTTATGTGGCGGAAAGATGGGAAGTCTGCGTGCGCAAGCGGATGTTAGCATTGACTTTTCTGGGGCGCAAACATGTTGGGGAGGGGTCGGCTAATCGGAATCAGCGTTGCGCAGCCTAATGCAGCTCAGTGCAGCGACGAGGCGCAACAAGGCAACCCAGGGCCACATGGTAGTAGGCGAGGGGGTGAACAGAGCAGAGTGACAAAGAAAGATCTCAAGAATGCCGGGGGGAGAGGAAGAGGGGGGGGTGTGGTTGATCTTTACCTTTCAACCGGAAGGGAGGTTTGTGAGGGTGACACTCGCCTCTGAGTCAAAGGAGGACGAGGACGAGGACGAGGAAGCGGAAAAGGTGGGATGAGTGGAGGTTGGCAGGGTCGGAGAAGTTGAAGGGTCGGAGGCTTGTGAGTCGGGGGTTAAACCAAGTCGAGTCGGTAAGGAACGGTAAAACAAGGACCGTAGTCTAAGACAGCGACAAGGCGATTGTAAGCCAGATGGAAGAAAGAAGATAGGGATGGGATGAGATGAGATGGAGGGGAAGTGAAAGAGATGGAGGAATGAGACAGGGTGATGCCAAGTCAAATCGAGTAAAGGGCGAGCGTGGAAGGCGATACTGCCAGTTCCCGTCTCAGCCCTGTCAATCGAAGACGAGCAATGAAGTCAGAAATTCACAAGGAAGATGAAAGTGGGGGGGGGGGGAAATCGGGGAGAGGGGGAAATGAAGGAGGGAGACGCGGAGGGAGAGCGGTGAGCGAGAGTGAGCAGTGGCAGTGGAAGCTCAGGCCGCCGCTCGGATTGCAATAAATACGGGGGGAGAGGGGAAATGGGTGAGATGAGGTGGAAATAGGTGGAAATAGTAGGAAGTAAGAAAGAAAATAAAGGAAGAAAAGGGAAATAGGAATTCAAAGGTGATAGTGGACTCGGAGGTATATCTCAACGTTGTATCTGGTGAATAACCTACCGGAAGTATAAAATTCCCGAAGTATATGAATATATTTCGGTATAGTAGTTGTAGTAGTTGTAGTAGTAAAATCTGCCAGGTGTAATCATGTTAGTATACTAGTAGAACACTTCAAGTTATTGTACCTATTAGTAGGCACCAACAGTCAACAAGTACTGAGCACCCTAGTAGGCACATAGTCACCTAGGCACGAGGCACTAGGCATCTACCACTAAAGCAGAGCCCCAGCCACATGGCCAACAACGCAGGAACATGGATGGAAATCATCCAGAACCCACCAAGTGGATGTTGCCAACGTGGCTCGACATGATGAGTGAGAAAAAAACCTAACCTTTTCACGTACCTGCGTATGATCGTGATCCACCGATCCTGGCAAATCATGGGTTCAACGGTTGTAGAAACTTCAGGTCAGATAGTACCGACAACGTCTTCTCGTCTAGAAAATCGATCCAACGGTAGATGCAGTGACAACTCAGCAAAGTGGGTTGCAGAAAATAAAAAAGGGTGAAATCACTTGCAGACAAAACGAGGCGGAGGCAGACTTTAAGAACTCGAGCCCCTCCTGCATCTCTCATTTGATATATTACAACATCGGTCATGCAGCCCGTCGATCGGTGGGAATCGATTGAGGCTTGCCGGGCTTCGGCATCGGGCGCTAATGCTAGCACTACGTAGTGGATTTGCAACTATGGGCTGCTGGTGGTGTCGCTTTGGGTCATACTTCGGGGGGTCCCAGCTGTTGGGGTTGTGGATTACGGGTTGTGGATTCAGAGTTATCTTTTTTTATCATTATTATTCTTAATATTATTCTTTACTATTTTTTTTCCTTTTCCCTGTTTGACCATTCTCGCCGGATCGTAGTGGTGTGAACGGTGGACACTTGCGTGGGAACGAACGCCCACTACGAAGGGCGAGGGAGGTGTGTGCGTGCGTGAGGGGTGGCAACGATAAACCCCGAGCCTCTGTATGGAGGTATTATCATTTTTATTTGATTTTCTATTTTCTATTTACGTTTATGGTTGGAAAGAGTAATACCTCAGTACTGGTGTTGGGGAGGAAAGGAAGAAAGAAAAAAGACTAGGACGAAGGGGGGAAGGGTGATACAGCCGGATTTAGTAAACGGCGCCCATCCCATGATGCCATGGGTGTTTGTCACCTGTACGGGCGAGTCATGACTCGAAAAAAATAATAAAGGATGATATGATGGCACAGGCGGAAGGAATGTATCAGATGGCCCCCATGGGTTACAGGCGCGCATTGTTAGGACGGTGACGCTGGAGGAAACTCTGCCGCGGAGTCCATCTAGCGTGGGTTTTAGTTCAATCTCGTCTCGAAACGGCTGCATTAGTGTCTCCGAGGGCTAGTGGGGAAGGGTGGAGGGTCAACGGAGAAGGAGGTCCGCCAATAATAGGACCATGTGGATGTAAATACCATGACCACAGGGAGGGATGATCTTCGGCAGGCATGCGGCGGTGGATCTTTGAAGTTGATAACTGGGCTATCAGAAAGAGTGAGGAAAGAAGATGTGTGGTAGAAGTGGTAGAGGTGGTAGAGGTGGTAGTGGGGTGTATGGGAAAGGCCGGAGTTGGTAAGATCGACGAAGGCGAGGCAGTTCCTGACGGAGGTGAGGGATTAGATACGAATCGCAAGTCTGATCCGGAGAATATCCCGGGGTTTTGGTTTAGAAGGTAGGGTACATGTACGAAGTAGATAAGTAGATATCCACCTCGTCAGATCCCTATATGATGTAGTTCAAGCGGGACTACGGAGTACGGAGTAGGGTCTGTTGGTTTCTGCAAATGTCGTGCAGACGTGCAGAGAGTGGCGATCAACTTGGGGGCGATGATCGACGAGTTGGGCCGTGCATCTGTTTTTCCTCCGCAGCTGCACCTGAACCTGCACGATGGTGTGGGTGGAGATGCCCGGATGGTCCGTGTGCTAGGCTCCACGATAACAAAAAAGACAAGACACTATCTTATGGAGATCCGTTTTGAGCTATCACAGCGCTGTGGTCTCTTCTTCCTTCCCCTCGGTGGCACTGGGGATTGCGCGAGACACTGATCTCGGGAATGTGGCGGAGACATGAGAGACAGAAAGAGAGAAAAGAGGGAGGGGGGGGTGGAATGTGTCTGAGACGACCAGCCAATAACTATCGGAGAAGGACCACCTTGATGAGAGGAGCAAATACCGGTTTTACAGGCTGAGCCACACAGAATCGACAGAGTTTCCCATGTGCATCTAAGCCACGGAGCTAGTAGGAAGCTGAAGCGGAGAATGATTCATAATCGACAGGCAGACGAAGGATGCACATCAACTAGCCTAACAAGATGAGCTAGGACGGGATAGTAAGGAGTACTCCGTAGTTTCAAGTCTAGTTGATGTGCATCTGAAGTGGAGGAAGCACCGTGGATCCTCCCCGCGCCGTCCCGTCAAGGTTCGGAGGGTATCGCCGAGGACACGGTTCACCTGGACGCAAGGAGACTCTTGGATAGAGGCAGAGGGAGGGAGTGTATCTCTACATGACCATGAAAATATCCTTTTCACCGCTGGAACCGCGAGCATTGCCCAAACCCGGTGATAGCAGACTGTTTACCCCCATTCTACAATATCAAAAATGATAAATGACGTCGGGTACGGCTCGGACATACTACGGAGCTATCTAGCATTCAAGTGCACACTATGTATTCGATGGCACAAGCCTATCAGATATGCGTATCAGATGCGTGTATCAGATGCGTCTCGAAAATAAGAAAGAAGCTCCCAGCCGAAGAAAAGAAAATTCCCCCTTTGTGTTACCCAAGCCCTCCCCCCCCCCGCTGTCGGACAATTATACGTGGTCGTACAAGCGGGTAGCCACAGGGCAGTCCAGAGAGGGGAGGGGAAGGTAAAGTAGGGTAGGGGAGATATCGGCTATGCAACCTCACAATGGCAGGGGAGGAGATCCGATACGGCAGATGGGTTTCTGCAGACTGTGAAGATGCTTGTGGGTTAGTTCATCTATTTTCGATCGTCAACAGGGTGCGCACCGGCCAGAGATCGACGGAGAGGGGGTAAAGGGTAAACTTTGGGCGGGAAGTCCCTCTCGGGCATGCCGTAAAAGAATAGGAGTAGTGGGAGTGGTTAGTGAATAAATGATGAATGATGAATGATGAATGATGAATAATAATAAATGATTATTTAATAGCGAAGAGTAGCGAGCAGAGTGGTTATAGAGGGTAGTGTAGGGTAGACGTGAGGTTGTTGTTGAGGGAAAGTGGAAGTGGCCCGTGTGTTCACCTCTACTGGCATCTTCTTGGCTATCTCCGTCTCTCCGTCTCTATCACATCCCCCTTCAACTCCACACCCACCATATCCCCTTCCCCCGGTACTCCCACTCCCACTCCCCTTTGGTATGTAATGATCCCTGTTTCCTGGCTCGGTCCGAGTCCACTGTCATCTGACAGCTCTCCAGTCTCGCCGATCCGGGCTGGTCGCATCGGTAGCTCCACGCCATCTCGTCATCTGCTCTCTTCCCCCCCCTCGATCCTCCTACCCTCCTATACGAGAGTTCAGCGCTTCTACATCCAATCACCGCCCCGTTCCTTCGCTGTGGTCGTCCACCTTCTGCCGTGGATCGAACTCTGAAGGCTCAACGTCCCTCCCTCCGCTTGGTCCGTCCGCCGCGTCCCTTGACGTCGTACCCTTTGCGCTCCCTCGATCTTCCATCCGCTGCTGCCGCGTCGGAACTGCCTTGGCTGGCTGGTCCCGCTTGTCTTGTTGCATTGTGCTGTGCATTTGCTTCCCGAACCGTTGACAAGCCCCTTTTACCCGACCCTGCTTGGTTACGCGCATCCTCCGCAAGGCAACCAGAACCATCCCACTCTTGATCGACCACAAGGTTTCGATCGGCTCGCCTTCTCTCGCTCTCCATATCTGAGCCGCCCCTCTTCTCCGTCACCGTGCTTGATTTGCTGGCCCTGCTATCCGTAGGGCTAGACTAGTCTCAAGCTAGTACTCTCCCCTCACCGTCGCGATTCACCACGAGCCCGGCGCAAAGCCCCAGCTGCACTACCCAGAATCCCGAATCGGTGTTTGGTTTGGCCCGGATGTCATCTGCCTTAAACGGCCTGAACTAGTCTCCGCTCTCTAGCCAATCCTCACAGATCAGCCATCATCTGGCGTAGATCATCTGCACTTCATCGTGCATAGTCCTTGCAGACAGTACTCGTTCTCTTTCCGTTGCTGAGCCACAGACCTTGTGTACAGCGGCCGTGCACCTCTGCCCTTTTACGGTTTTCTCCATTCAATTGGGAATTTAATCAATCTAAGAAGCTAAGACGAAGGTTCTTTCGACCATGGCCAACAACACCTTTCGAGACTCCGTCAACTCCCTTGGCTGGTCGCGCAGAGACCCGGATTTTCCCGTCCGCACTAATGCCTCCGCCGATACTTCCGTTCTCTCACGGCTGCAGTCCTACAACCCTTTCGGCCAGGGAGGTTATGTTCAACTCCCCACTCATAATGAAGGTCCCGGAGCACCCTTGCCAGCCGCTACTCGAAGAGAGGAGGAAGAAGGCTTTTTTGCGCGTAAGTTTCTCCATCCCCTATCCTCGTGACCATCTCCTTGCCATCATCATCCCGTCCTGCTCTCTGCCGTCCCTCCCCCCCCCTGATCCAGGTGACGAGTGTGAAGTTCCTGCGCCGGGACGGATTCTCAGACTTCCATGCTTGTCACTTCTGGTTGAAATCCGACAGGAGTAGATCGCAGCCCACGCTAACCACAACCGCGTACAGTAAGTCGATGGGATCGAATGCTCGTCTTTGCGGCATGTAACTTGGGCGCCGCCATCTGTTTCATGCTCTGTTTCTTCCTTTTCCCCGTTCTTACGCTCAAGCCCCGCAAATTCGCCATTTTGTAAGTTGCCTTCCCCTAGTACATTCAGCTGCAGGTTGCATCTCGATCGACTTTCCCCCTTCATATTGTCCATTCTTCAGCCTGGGATCTGAGATGACCAGTCAAATCCCGCTTTGTCCTGATCCTGGTCATGGGCGGCTTCTCGCTTGGACCATGTGCGCGTTCATGGCTCACACGCAGCTCACCCTATTCGTTGCCCTCGAAAGCATCGCCCTGCGCCTCATGCCAAGAGAATTCTTGTCGAAAAGCCAGATACTGAATGTCTAACTAACACCCTCGTTTTAATTTCTTTGTTTAGATGGTCTGTCGGCTCAGCCCTGTTTTTGCTATCATGGGCCGTTCTCATGGGACCGTGGACTTACGCTAAACATCTGATCTCGGGATCACGCTTGCCCTTCACGGCCGCCTACTTCGGTTCTATCGCGTTAACCCTCTACTTCGCCATCGGGGTAAGTCTGTTTCCTTTTTTGGATCGATCTACATCGATCTACTACCCACTCCTGTTCTTCCCTTGTTGTACACAGCTACGGTTGCACCCTGCGGCCGGGAAAAGAGAAAGGAGGATCTCGCATTCTCCTCTTCGGGCTGTCTCCTGTACAACCTGAATAGCGTCTGTTTCCGTCATACTCGAGATGGCCAAGGTTCCGCCTCACAGGGACGTCGGGGAAGGGGAAGGAAGGGAGCAGATATCGCCGATATCACCCTGTATCCACTGTGCAACCATGGTTCCACCCCTGGGCAACAAGACAAGAGCGAAGCCTCCGGACGCCTAAGGTGCTTGTATCACAACCTCCAACGGTTGTCCTGACCGCTCGCTTCATGTCTCCCTGTCCCTGACCTGCACGTCTCTGTATCGCATCTTGGAGCCTCCCACCACCATCACTAGACTTGTCGCATCATCTCACACTCACTATGACTTATTGCTGACTTGTTCTGCAGCTCCAAAGCCTCATTCTCACTGCCATCTCCTCCGTCTTCCAGATCTGCGCCCTGGTCTGGTACCTCGTCAGTTACTTCCCCATGGGCAGCACTGGCCTACAGTACATGAGTCGTTTCGGGGCTTCGCGCGTTACGGCTTGGATGTCCGGTTGATCGAAACTCGACCCGTCCCTCCTTCCTTCTTGGCTCTTGTCGCCCTATGATACCCTGGATATTGGGTCTAGCTCAGATTCTTGCTTGCATCAAGTGTTCGCGTCGAGGTCGATTCACTTTCCTCTTTTTGTATATGTGGTTTTGCGGATAGATAGAGACGATCTCGTTCGTATGATAGCTTCATCTCATTTGAATATATTTAATCTGAATAATGATATATCTCAGTCCATGACTTACTGTTGTTCGGAACTACGGAGCTTCTACGCAAGAGGGTTTCGACTGTAGTAGCGCTTAGCGTACCCTGTCTTGGAAGGGGAAGATTTGACCACTGGAGCCCTGGAGGTTATCGATCATCTTTGAGCTCCAGGGCTATATACGTGGGCTTCCATGTGTTTGCGAAACGACTCGGACTTCGGGAGCTTGAATCATGATCGTCTTACCCGCGTCTAAATATTCCTGGGCATGAGGTTGAGACATAGTTGGAACTGGTCTTTAAAATGTACCTCGTGCTAGGTGTCGCATATTTGATTTTATATGAAGATTATACTACTTGGTATCCTAGCCAGCTATATAATCAGGACCCTAAGTTGTTATAGTCAGGGTATGTGTATAGTAGTCCACTTACAATAGCATCGCCGAGGGAGTGGCAGCTGGGCCAATTGCGGCTATTGAGGCCGTAGTTCAACTGCTCAACCCTCGAGTATTCCATCGCTTCAACACCCACTTAGCCATTGACTCCCACAACACGATCCGTCGATTCAATACCGTATCAGTTCCTGATAACAACAAATGAGAACAACCCTGTCTCGCCGGATACCCCAATATATCAGCACAGGAATGCATTAAAGACCCATGGAATAAGGAGAGGCACATTGCGAAGCAATGCATGTGTACACATCCTCCACTTTTGCTCTCGCAGTTACCCGAGCACAGCCTGAGCACACCGAGCAGAACCAACCTGTTTATCTAGTATTTAGTGCCGAACGATGACATGCTTCCGTTGGGCGATTGCTTATTGCTGCTTACTGCGTTCCTCCTGGTTCAGCCGCATTACCCCGCCTCCTCGTCTTTCAGACACACTTGCAGTGGTGAGAGACGTGAGACGTCAATCCAAAATTGGAGGGATCACAGCGCTCAAATGGACCGTCTTGCCCGAGTCGAAGATGACATTACGCTCTCCCTGGCAGATTATACAGTGGCATGTATCTGTCCCCTTGGAGTTGAGTGTGCTGCAGTGGAGGCCATGCTGGATGAGATCCATGACCCTCTCCCAACTAGCAGTGACCGCAACGCTTACACATACGGCCGACTGGGTGCTCACAATGTTGTTGTGGCGGTGATGTCGGAGATGGGGAACAATGCGGCAGCTACCACAGCTACGCAACTTCTAAACGACTTTCCTTCCTTGCGTTTCGGCTTGCTGGTGGGTGTCGGCGCTGGCGTTCCTGGATCGGAGACTGGCGATGATATCCGATTGGGGGACATCGTCGTCAGTCAGCCTACGGATACATTCGGTGGGGTAGTGCAGTATGACATGGGCAAGAAAGTTGTAGATGGCAACTTTCTGCGAATAGGACACCTCAATAAGCCACCTGTGGTTCTGAGCGGCAATGTGAGGAAACTACAGGCGCAACATCACAGAATAAGCAGCAACATCAGCTCCTATATGGCTGAAATGATGCAGCGGTATCCGAAGATGAAGGGAAATTACCAGCATCCGGGCCTTGAACATGACAACCTTTTTCGGTCGGGCTACGTGCACCAGGGAGGGTCTAGTTGTGAGAATTGTGAGCGAGGGCAAATTGTGCCGCGCTGGCTAAGGCGAGATACCGAACCCAAGATCTTCTATGGGACAATCGGATCAGCGAACGTGGTGGTCAAGGATCCAGTGGTTCGGGATAAAATGAAGAAGGATATGGGAATCATTTGCCTCGAAATGGAAGCAGCCGGGTTGATGGATACTTTCCCTTGCCTTGTTGTTCGAGGAATCTGCGACTACGCTGACTCGCATAAGAATAAACGATGGCAACCATACGCAGCGAGCACGGCAGCAGCATATATGAAGGAACTGCTGATGATCATCCCTGCTCAGCAGGTTAAGGAAACAATGAATGCCCGGGAGTGCACGAAAGCAGGTCAGTCCAGACCTCGGCTCTTTTCACATCATGAGAATCAGTTCGACTTACCAATAACTAGTCCTCGATGCATTTTTGGGCGCTGTCGAAGAACCTGTCCGCAAGACCGAGATTAAGGTGCAGCAAATCCATAAAAGACAGGAAGGTGAGCTGGTCCGCCGCTGTGGAAATCCCACCTATTGCAAACCACTGGTCTTATTATCTTCTCAGAGAACCGTGAATCCGAGATCTTTTCGTGGGTCTCAGAAACACCATACGAAAAGCATTTCAAAACTGCCAAAGATGGGTTGCTACCAGATTCAGGCCGTTGGCTGTTCGAAAAGCCGGAATTTGCAAATTGGCTGCAGTCTAATCAGTCTGGACTATTTTGGCTGCGTGGGAAGCGTAAGTATTGCCATACATCTCCTCTTTAATCGAAGCATCTGCTAACAAGCATCCAGCTGGGTCGGGAAAAACCAAGCTCTGGTAGGTAGGACATACCCGCGCTACTAATAACCCAATCTAAGGCGTAGTAGTGCAATGATAGTAGACACATTGATCAAACAAGACGCAAATGTGACCTACTTCTTTTGCAGTCGCAGTTTGAACGGCCCAGATCGCCAGGATCCAAAGTCTATTCTTCGATCACTACTCCACCAATTATCATCAAAGCCTCAGGACGGAATTCCAAAGCTACTACGAGATGCATACGACAAAAGATACTCAGCTGGGATGGCCAGGGACGGATTGGACTTTGATGAGTGCCGTGAGTTGATCGGTGCGCTTCTCAAGGACTATCCTAGCACCACGATTGTCATCGATGCGCTGGATGAATGCAACGAGCAAAAAAGGGGCGCTCTATTGCAGTCTTTAAGACGCTTCGCGGATGGCTCTACTACCAGCGTCCGAGTTTTGATATCGAGTAGAGACGATCGTGATATTGTAGTCCGGCTCAAGGATTTGCCAAATTTCACGATAAATAAAAGCGTCACTCGGACCGATATAGAGCGATTTGTGGAGCAAGAGGTCAAGCAGAGTATTCAATCCAAAGACCTACTCTACGGTGAAACCACGTCCGAGCTGGAGAGCAAAATTATAGCCAAGCTGGTAGTCAAAGCGGATGGGATGTGAGTTTCAGAAGCATGATTTTTGTGTTTTTACTCGGATTTGCTAATGTCTTTCAAGGTTCCTCTGGGTTCGACTTCAAGTCCAACGTCTATGCCAAATGCAGACTGAGAACCAAGTGTTATCCCTTTTAGGACGCCTACCACCGACGCTAAGCGAGACATACGACCAAATTTATGAGAAAATCGAACAGAGCCCGAGTGCTCATGAGGCACATATAGCCCTGGCATGGCTGATGGGTGCTCGAGGGCCTCTTCGTCCCACTCAGTGGGCTTCTGGAACCTCATGGGCTGTTAACAAAAGTCAAGCTTTGGGAGATACAAAGCCGAGTCACCTCAGTGCTGAAACCCTGCTTGGTATGTGTCAGAACCTGGTCGTGTATGACGAACTACAGAACCATATCGTCTACACCCATATTTCTGTTCTTGAATATCTTGAAAAGAAGCCGCAGTTTTCCAAGCTGTATCTTGATACTCTGGCAGCTGAGACGTGTCTTCGATTCATGATTAATACACGGCTACCAAGGCCATCAGATCTGGAGTATGACTTCTACAAATATTCCGCACGACATTGGATCAGCCATGTCAAGGCCAGCGGTCGGTCCGCTCCCTCCGAGCTGGATGAATTTCTGGGAAGATGGGAGGCACCAACAATGGCTTACCGCGAGTGGAAAGGCGCTGTTGAGGTCTTCGGGCGTCGCCATCGAGAGTACAACTATGCAGATGAGATTGCGACTCTGACGAACGGTTTACTGCTCGTAGCGTATTACGGCATCCGACACACAGCTCTCTGGAAGCGTTCTCGATATGATCCCAACGCAACGGACGAGCGTGGAGTGTCCCTGCTTGCTTTAGCCAGTCAGAACGGGCAGCAAAGAATCATAGAGCTACTGGTGCGCAACGGAGCCACCATAAACCCGGCTCGCAGGCCTATCGATGCAAATACAGCAATATGCGCTTACAAGACGCTCTATTCGTATGCAGGTCATTTTCATGTCGACGACTGCCATCCCTTGTTCCTTGCTATTCAGGGTGGTCATCCCGAGGCCGTTCAGACTCTGCTGGATCGCGGCGCGATGTTTCACGATAAACACGTGCTTGAAGTTGCTGCACGCTGTGGCCCCCCGAGCGTACTTTTCCACATACTGGAGGGAGAACCTGGCTCTAAAATAACGACAGAGACTTTGGTAATGGCTGCGATGAATGAGACGCATCCCCAGATACTCCAGGCTTGTCTCGGTGCGTGCCGAAGCTCTTGTATCACCGGGGAAGTACTTGAGGCAATCCTTGACCATCGGAAAGACAGAATGGATATAGTAACGCAGCTTCTCGCGCCTCGGATTACCGCGAGTGTGCTTCTGGGGATCTGGCGTCGAAAAAGACCAGCAATTCTCAGACAGCTATTGGAATGGGTACCAGGCCTTCCTGTTAGTGAAGATGTCGTTGAGCGACTGGCACTGGATACTCCAATTCGCAATGACTGTGTGGTCGAAGTCTTGCGATCCCTTGTCCCTGGTGCTTCTATTACTTCTCAGACACTCGAGGCTGTATTCCGTGTGAAGTCTGGTGCTGTCACGCTTCTGAAGGTTCTCTTGAACAGTAAGAGCTGCCGGACTTCAAGTACAGACACAAAGCCAAAAAACGTCAATGTGGAAATAGCCTCTTTGGAGTCACTGGTGGATCTTTTCAATGATAATATTGACATTTGCCTAACCGAGAACTTGATTACCGCTGCCATTTCTAACCCTGAAGAGGCTCTCAGCCTCTTGGAGCTCCTCCTTTCAATAGACCCTTTCATTCCCATTACCGAAGAAGTTGTTGCAACAGTTCCGTTGAAGAAGAACATCATTGAACTGTTATTGTCGAAGAGCCGGTACATGGCGACTGGAAACAAACGTAGCAGTAAGGTTTTGCTGCAGATACAGGAGAAACTTCGTGCTATCGACTCATTGAAACCGCCTCTATCCGGACAAACGACCTCTGGTATCACGATTCCGGAGAAACCCGACTCCTTAAAGCCTCGTTCTGTGGTCTTCGAGATTCGTGCCGCTGCCATGGCCGGTAAAGAGACTTTGTTCCGCAGGCTCTTTTCCTCGGCCAATGAATGTCTCACCAACGACCAATATGGGTCAATATTTCTGGCTGCAATCGAAGGAGGGGATCCTGGTATATTACGGCGATGCATTGAGTATGGCGGTATATGGCCTGGAACAGATGAACATGGTTGGAATGCAGAACTAATGGCCTTTTACAAATGCAACAAAAGTCTTCTGTCGCAAATTAGAGCGGAAATTGGATGGAAACATACTTCTCCTTTGCCTGCGAGTGCATGGGCAGAGGACGGTTACTCTGCTCCGGTGCCATCCAATGGGAGAATACTGAGACTTACTAGTACTGGTACGTATTCTTGTGATTCGGAGGATCTGTAAACTACTCATATCTGTCTACAGAGCAAGATAAGTCTCGGGCCTGCGCTCGGGCTAATCATCCCTTCATCCCGAGCGGCACAAGCTACTTCGAAGTTAAAATCAGGGAGCTCAATGAGTCTGAATATAAGAACGAACAGTAACTGGACGCTCGCCCCTATTTAAGCTCTAAACTAACCGCTTTTAGGTGGATTCAAGAACGGGTGGAGATCGGCGTCATTGACGAGCTTCTACAATACAGGCCTGCATACTATTCCGATACTGGGTATGTGCATGACTTGTTCCTCACATGGGAAGTAGGTTGTTTCAAGGAAGGAGACACAGTGGGTTATGGAATCGACTGGAAGAGGAAGCAACAGTTCGTCACTGTCAATGGAGTACGAGGTATGGAGTAGTATCAACAGACCCACCCACCCACCCCCTCCATTCCGGGGCTAATGTCATGTAGAAGATGTCCATATGTCCTTTGATCAGCTGCACGGGAGGCGACTATTCCCCTATGTCCGTGTGTTTGGGATGTCTGGGAACTGTGAATTGGAGGCTAACTTTCAGAGCCCCTTTATGTATCGCCTGCTGCAGGAGCACGGAGTTGGTTGGTAATGGATGAGTAGCGGTAGTTCAAAATTTATACGAATCATTATCATTCAGGTAAAAGTTTGGAATGCAAGACCAGGCCTGTGCACAGCAGCAAATCTAGATCGGGGGTTCATCAGCTACAATCCGGGGACTTCTCGGAATAATGCGCATTGACCATGGTGAAACTCAGAGACGGAGTTTTCATCGCCTTGTACTCCGCAATGCTATCATACATTAAACCTTCAATCGAAGTGGTAATCTTTTGGCGGATGTCGTCATTGCCGATGTTAAATCTGGAGCTCGTACCTCGTGTGAAGGCCATGCATACCCAACACGTTTAATATCTCAAAATCCAAGTTGCTAAAGGTGCCAGTGGATTACAGTATTCCCCGGTCATGAATTGTGGCATCTGCCAAATTCGGGTCCGCACCCTCGCATTAATATTTCAACTGATCAATAAGAGAAGTCTTCTTGGAGTCCTTAAAGACAATGAGGCAGGTGGACGCTATCAAATTCCTGTGTTTATTTTAAAAAAGAAGGCCCGCGGAGGAGCTTGCGCTCGGTCCGGGGGCTAACAAGCAAACCTAAACTAGTAGAGTTCTATGCAAAAGGTTATTCAAACACCCCCTACGGAGGAGGCTCTACTTGTACTATGCGATTTCTGTTGAATGGGCCATTTCCATTAGCAAAGATCTCACTTGACAGGCTGAGTTCAGGCTCACTCATGCCCAACCAACTGTGGAGTTTTAGCTTCCTCGATCGCTTTTTTGGATCCATTTTGCGTTTAAAATGACGAGGGTGGAGACTTGCTTTTTGGCACGCACCGCCCCCAACCACGCTAACCAGAGTGTCATTCTCTTTGGGTGATGATATCTGCCAATCGGTGATCAACTAACCAAGAATCAGCCTAGGTGCCATTCCGCCGGGAGGCTTATTGAGTTCTAGAGGAAGGGGGCGACATTTTGTCTCACTTGCTATCGGTGAAAGTGGTGATGCAAGCACCGTTTTCAAGTGCGACGCGTCAACCTCCCCCCCCTGAACTCTATTTCGTCTATCGCCTCTCTTTAGGGCAGGTCCCACGCCCCAATGGCCCCTTTCGAGTGCAGATGGGCTATTTCATTAAACACTCTCCTCTCTTTTGAACTCTTTTGTACCCTTACCTCCTGTCAATAGGAGAGGCAATGCCGTCTTGCTTCTCGGCCACGCGATTTTCTTCAACCATGGCTGGCGCAAAGCAAACACCACTGTGAGATCGCGATCGATCAAATCGAATCCCCGACTGGATCCACTCCAAGAAGAAGCTGCTCACGACGACTTGATTATTGTTTGACCTTTCCACCCGCTGGCGGGGTAATTGACCACCATGGCAGGCGAAACGGGACCGATCACTGTGTCGCGGGCGATAGCAATGGTCATTGCGGCATTATTCGCTTTGGCTTGCTTTAACGTCCTCGAGATCATAATTTCGACTTTCACTACATTCAGGCGGCGTCGTGGATTGTATTTTTGGAGCATGGTAATTGCTACTTTAGGAACTCTTCTCCATGCCATCACTGGCTTTCTCCGCTACTTTGCCCTCGCTCCAAACTTCCCCATGTGCGTTTTGATCTGCATCGGATGGTGGGCCATGGTTACTGGCCAATCTGTCGTGCTATATTCAAGACTTCATCTCGTGACTAGTCACACCCATTATCCTCGATTCGTGTTGTACATGATCATCTTCAATGCCTTCGCTATGCACATACCGACCACAGTGCTTTTTCTCGGCAGCAACCATGGCCTCGATGGTTTAATCGCGCCCTTCAACATCTACGAGCGCATCCAATTGACCGTGTTCTCCGTTCAAGAGACGATAATCAGTGCTCTCTACATCTGGGAGACCCTCACCACCCTTCGACCTATCCTGATGCTCAAGGGAGAGCGCGGCCAAAGGGTCGTCATCAGTATCATTCTGATCAACGCGATCGCTATTCTCCTTGACGTCGCCCTCTTGGCGACCGAATACACCAACAATTTCTCTATTCAAACCTCCCTCAAACCTTTGGCCTACAGCCTCAAACTAAAGATGGAATTCACCGTGCTGAACAGCCTCGTCGCCGTCATCAACACAAACCCCACAACCATCCAAGAAATTCAGCAATCCCACACAGAGGATTTTCATATCCAACCAAGATGGAGTGCCGATAATTCCCCGCCCATCATGTCTAGCACTGACTCCGAAATATTTGATCACCAAAGACGATCTCTCAAACCACAACCTGATCGACAGGATTCTCGAACATCTGACTATCCCATGCTTTCGGTCAAATCGGCTGTATCATAATTTGTACATACCCTTTCATTCTGTCAACCCATCTAGAATCTGTAAAATTTAAGACTATAAACTATATGACCCATAATAGAGCATTATGTTGCTTGAAGCAGGTAGTGTCTAGTACAGCGCAAGATGTGTAGTTTCATTCACCGTATGGTGCTGGTCCGGAATTTACGAGGTTGGCTGTAAATATTTAGATTTCAACCGCTCATCCCACACTACTGGTGTGTAATGCCATTTCGTACGTTCAGGATGAGTAGGTATGGTGCGGGAAAAAGACATGTTAAATTGAGGAACCAATCGGAATTAAGATTACTAGTTAAGGTTACGCACAGGAACAGCTCTCTGGCGCTATCGCTGTTGATTTGGGCAATGGGAAAACTACATGTCGTAGTATATTTTAGGTTATGAACGTTATTATGTTAAAGACTAGATTCTGAGTAGTAGTAAAGAGATGTACAAGGCTTCATCGATAGATGACATGAGATGAATCAAGACAAGGAAAATCCCGGGAGGCCTAGAAGTCGTGCTATAGAAGGAAGGGGAATAGTAGCGGAGCCCGGTCTCATGAAAGGTTGGAACAAGACAACTTCAGTACTCGTTGCCTTCCTTGCTAATATGAACCATCTGCACATGAGCCCTAAGATTATCCTTCCGATTGAAAGACTTATTGCAGTGGGCATAGTTGCACTTGAAAGATCCACGGTCAACATGCTGCGTCAGAACGTGCCGCCGTAGTAATTCAACCCGCTCAAAGCCTGTGGTATTTGAACAGTTTCTCCACTCACATAAGAATGGACGATGGCTCCTATCTCTTCTATAAGTTATTGGCATTAGCACCCACACCCGGAAAGATATTCCCGATCTTTCTAGCGCACCTTAAGTCGATGTCCGCGGACTCACAGCGGTCGGAACGGGATGAGCCTGCGCCATTAGGCTGTAGTGGATTAGGAACATGTGCAGACGAAGGAAGCTCTACAGGTAGAGCTCCGAGGGTGTAGTAATTCATTTCCATCTCAGGCCCGTATGCATTTAAATGACGCGTGGGCGTCAGACCAATATTGCCGGACCAGAGGTCCGTGTTGGGATTTAATTGGCGCTGGACGGGATTCTCGTGGGGGCTGAAGTTGTTCATGCCCTGTGCCAGTGATGATGTGTTATTGGCAGGATGTGGCCTGCGCCTTGACGTATCCGCAGACATGGTAATATATTCCTCGTGTCTATGCAGGTGGCGAGGTTGTACAAGCGTCGACCGGTTCATCGGGCGGATGTCTGGGTTTAAGAGCATTGTGAAGAAGCAAGGTCTGAGTGGTGACCCTTTCGTTGTAAACTTGAAGGTGAGTGTTAATCAAATAAGGGAGTCATTGCATGAAGACGAGGGGAAAGGGGAGTTATTATATTAATCCGCGGGTGTCGACAGTGGATAGCTCCATCTATAGACAGCCGATGTGATCAGGCGCCAAGGAGACTAAAACGTCAACCGTTCAGAATTTGGGAATTTTGGTTACAGCTGTACAGAAAGGCGCAGGATGCAGATAGCAGCAAACATGTTATGTTAAATCAAATCAGGAATAAAGACAAAGGGAAGTGGGTCGTAAAATTGTAATTTATTTTTAATTCCCGTTTTATTTAATTTTTATCTAATTTTGGCTCAATTAAATTTTCGGGGGGGGGGGGAGAGAGACATAGAGGAAGTGAGTGTGAGAGAGCGAGCGAGCGAGAGAGAGGGGTGTGTGGAGGGGGACCATTTTAATTGAATTTAGTTTTCCTACTTCTCTCCCACACCTTAAAAGAAAAAAAAAAAGAGTCTCTGTGTAATTCAAACTACAAAGGGCGGATCGGGGCCATCCGACTGGGGGATCTGGCCAGTTAGGGGATCAAATAAAGAGAATAGTGTCCGGGCCATATAAGGGAATATAGGTCAGTTATAACGAATGACATCGTTCCCAGAGGAGTGTATTGTCATCAAAAGAAGGTAGCGCGCGAAGCGTCAAGAATAGGAGGGGGTGGATCGGGCCGCGATTTTATAACTTGGTTAGAAAGAGAGTATGTATTTGGAACTTCCTTCGCAGTGTGAAGTCGAGAACTTGACAAGGGGGATTTGATTTCTTTACATGGGAAGCAGTCCGCGCGAGGCGCCCGGACAAGAAGGAAGACTGAATAGCGAATGAAGCACTGCCAGATGACCAGAGAAGAACAGCACACAGCGCAATACAACGCATCAAGTGGCAGATTTTGTTTGACCATGATCGCGATTCACCTCGGCTATGCACCTCACTCTCTCAATGCTGATGCCTACTCAAACACATGGTTGCTAGAGCCTAGTGTCACAAAGCCAAACAGGTCACGTTGAATGTGATCTGTGGAGTTGGAGCTTGGACAACTCCGGTAGTTGAACACAGCCAGAATCCACCTGTTTTGAGCCGCAGTACTCCGTACATGCTCGGCGTTGCCGATGGGGTTCCGAGCGCCCGACATCCTGCGAGAATCTGGTTGGGTGCCTCGATTATATCGATGTCACTGAACGAACCATCCAACGGCCCTGCCCAACCCCGCGCCTTGCGGAGCAAAGACCCCGGATCATATTTGTTCACACAATTTGTACCTCTTGGGCGCGTCTGGCGCTTTTCTCCGAATAAAATCCGATTTTTAACCCAGCACTATGCGGCTGGTTGGCGCAGCCCATGATGCCAATATGGCGAGTGGTCATCCGCTGTGCAGCCAAGTTCAAGTTCCATGATGGGCCTATGTGATCAGTCAAGGGGCGGCACAAAGAAGATTATCAAGGATCTCTGGCAACGTTACGGAGTAGCTTACGCGACTCTAACCGGATAAGCAAGCCCTGGAGCTAGGGTAGTGCTACGCACATCAACCTCAAGTTGGCGATAGCATGATATTAGGCAGAAATGCATCCCAATCCTATATGCTCTCTAGCCACTACGAGCAGAGAGAATGCAATTCTATCATGACACAATGCCTTCATGAAGGAAGGAAGCAATCGAATGAGCACACGAAGGTGGTGATGAGATGACGCTACAAGAGGCTATCTAGAACGACGAAACGATGTGACTCGAGACTGATGAAACAGCCTAACACTATAAAATTCGCATTCCATCATAAATCTTTTCACTCTAACGGCGCATCGTAACGTTAATAGTACCCTCAACAACCTTAACACCAGGAACCTCCGCCTCAAAGATCCCTGTATCACCACCAGACCCAACCTCAAGCCAGCGCTTCAGGAGATCATTGCTCTCCTTCGGCTTGACACTCGGTGCAACAGTGCCAACAGTAACGTGAGGAATGGCATTGGCACAGGGGAAATCCGACTGTTCAGAGCCCTCGGCCTGAGCTTCGAAAGGCAGAATACGCACCACAAAAGCCATGATCCGGGTATCCCATACCAGTCGCTCAAGACGGACACGGGCCAGGCCTAGCTTAGGTGGGTTCTGCATCGCATCGGCCACAGGGTGAGCGGTCAGTGTGTCGATGTACTGTTTCGTATAGCGGTTCCAGATGGCGCTTTGCTCGTCCTTGGATGCGCGGTGGATGAGGGTGACGTGGAAGGCGGGCTGGACACGGCGGCTGTTGACGAGCTGGTGGTACAGGCGGGCGACCTCGGGAGTGGAGGATGTGAAGAGGGAGTGGAGAGTGGAAGTGACTTCACTGGTTGGAATGGCGATGTTGAAGAATTCAATTTTCCGGGCCAGTAGGGGTGGTTCGAGGCGTGTTGGTCCGGACTGGACTACTAGTGAGCCGTTCTTTTGCTTTGGGCCCTTGGGTCCCTTTGTCGAGTACCCGGCGCTGAGATCAACCTTCACCTCGTACTTATTCATGGCCTTTTCGATGGCGGCGTCGAGGTCCTCTGCGGATGGGAGTTCGGGAACTAGGACAGGATAGGCGTCGTGCATGGCCCGGACGATGGTCTCGAGGTTCTCACGGGAAGAGGCGCATACGTCGAGGTCAATGACGAGATCGAATGCATCATCGGGGTGTCGATTGGTGTTGATACCTTCGAAGCGGGACAAGAAGCCATCCATGATTCCGATAATCTCGTGGGAATCCTTCGTGCCTGCGCGAATAGTCTGATGGTTGTCTCCACGATCCAGAACGCGCTTTCGAGTCACCTCCTTGATCGAAGGAAATAGGTCACCCTTCGGCTCATGGACGTAATGCAAAGCAACGAACTTGGCATCTCGAAGGACCGGACGAATGTCGTTGATCAATTGCTCTCGCTCGCGCCGTTGGTGAGTGTTGCGGTCAGCAATGACAACGGGGGTTGCGCTTAGTTCATTTGTAATCTGGAAGGCGAATTGCTTTGGCTTATTCTTCTGTTTGGGGATGTTGTCGTTCTGAACGTGGCCCCATCCGAAAAGATGTACCAGAGCCAAAGCAACAGTGGTCTTTCCACATCCCAGAGATGCGATTGGAGCAAGGATGACGTTCTTAGCAACATTCTTGCCCTGGCCCTCCTGCTCTTCCATGGCGATGATCTCCGCTCCATTCAAGCCACGTTCCTTCAGGAATGCTTCTCGCAGAGAGATAATACCGTGGTTGTAATTATAATCCCGGGCAAGAGTCTTGTCTTCCAAAAACCTCCTCCGGGCAAATTGAAGGTACTCCTCGGTGATCTTCTCGTGCTTTCTGATCTTCGGGAGTCGCCCGGCAATTACGGCCTTGGTGCATTCACGCCATTGGCGGTACATCAGATAAGGTTCTTCAAACTTGTACTTGAAGAACCAATCACGGTAGTCATGACCGTCCTTGGCCATTTGGCATCTCACAACGAAACCCTCAGTCTCACGACCATCCCAGGTTCCGGTCTCCGCACACCCGTCAAGGAAGCTCTTGACGGACTCGATATCGTCGCGAACTTCAAACTTGGCCTTCTTGAAGCCCCAGGCATCAGCAAAATCATTCACTTTCTGGCTGGACTGCGTGGCGAATTCGTTGAGGTTGTAGTTGAGGCCGTGCAGGTAGATACCAGACGATGCTTCATCGTAGGCCAGTACATGCTCTTCGAAGGAGTCGTCGCAAAGCTCGCCGACCGCGGTGACATTCATGTCACGGAGTGTCCTCGCGAGATCTTTTGAGCTTTTGCCGACAGACGCGACATGCTTCTCGACCCATTTTTCACCGGCCTGCGCGTGGCTGATCTCTGTGTCGTGACGGACTCCGGTGGAGTGCTTGCTGCAGACCAACAACTTGCCATCCTCCATTCCGGAAATGAATATGATACACCCATTCTCCTTCACACTGAGCTCATAAGGCCCTCGTGTATTGTGCTCGATATTCCTCCATTGTGTGTCATTTGTCTCGCCGACATTAAAGAACTTGTCGTAGCCGCGCACAACGATCTCGGGGGGTATTGTTCTTCAATCGTGTGGTGAAGAGGCCACGGGCATATGTGGGAAGGCCATCGCGCTTGTAGTCCCAGTCCATAAACTTCCAAGAGTCAACGGTGACATGGTTGGTCCCGGCGACCTCGAATGTGTTCTTCTTGCATGTGAAAGCTCGTCGTTTTTCGCCCTTGTTTTGCTTCCGCGCCTCCTCCAGGTCTCTCACCAGCTGGGCAATTTGCTGCGGATTTTGGTCGTATTTTCCCATGATTTAGGATTTGTAATGTTCGTCTGCTTGCTTGGAGTTGTGGGTCGAAATTTATAGGATAGAGGGGCAGCGAAGGTGGGGCGTTGGTGAAAGAGATGAAAGAGAGAGTCGCAGGTAGCGGAGGTCGTCGTAGAGGGCGTGAATGTCTCGGGTCCTTTGACAGGTCTCGTTAAATTTGTAGTCAGAAATTGGCAGTCAGCCACGCTATTTGCCGTGAATCATGACCTGTCAGAGTCAATAAGAGTCACAGTTGTACGAGGTTAAGAGTCAGAGACGGCGGGGAGCAAAAAGGGAAAGGTCCAGCCTTATCTTATCGCATACTAGTTACCTTAGGCTGGCTGGGACTCGCCGCAAAGAAAAAAGTTACCTCCACTTCCACTTCCGCCTCCGCCCATCTTAAAGCCCCAAAACGAACCTTAGGAACTTTCACTCTTCTCGGTGACTCGGACATTATGGCCCAGCCCAATCCCTACCTTCTGGCTTGTGACAATCCCACCGCCCTCCTCGAACTCCTCCGCTCCAACCCCACAATCGCATCCGGCCAGGACGAACATGGCTATTCCCTACTCCACGCCGCCGCTTCCTATGGTCATATTGATCTGCTCCGGGCTCTCGTGAAGGAGTTCAATGTTGATGTCAACCTTGTCGACGAAGATGGCGAAACGTGTCTGTTCGTCTGCGAGAACCCCAAGATCGCGCAATGCCTTGTGGAGGAACTGAATGTGGACATCAACAAGACCAATGACGAAGGTCAAAGGGCAGATGAGAAGCTGGAGGCCGACGATGAGTTTCCTCGTGTTTTCGACTACCTCCGTCAGGCCTTGGGACTCCCTGCCTCTGTCCCGGCCGACTCTGCGCCAGGCCCTCTGAACGCGCCCGGGCCCATTCCTGGCAACATGCAAGTGAACATTGGAACCATGTCAGAGCAAGAGGCTAGTGCTGGAGAGACCGAAGTTGACCCTGAGTTCAAGCGACGCATCGATGAGCTCGCCGCTCGTGAGGATTTCCACAGCGAAGCTACGCAAAACGAGTTGCGCGACCTAGTTCGTGATGCCCTCGGTGGCACCAGTATCGAGACTTTAGAGCGCGAGGTGCGGAGGAGGACCGACTAAGAGGCCTTCAATCAACATTGAGGATATTTTCCTCTTCTTTCCACCTCTATTCTAAGTCCTATTATACCCACGCATCCACTCGATCACTTTGTGACCGGTACAGCAGAGCAATGCCATGAGTCCCCTTTGGCGACCTCGCATGTTCCTTGGTCCATTCACGACTCCGTTTGCCTTCCTAAAGGCAGCTCTTCCCACCGAGCATTTATCACACGGGAGCCTTAGGCTTCTGAGCCCAATGCGGGATGGGTGTTGTATAGGTCCATAGACTGACATTAAATGATGATACGAATTAAATATATGATACCGCATCGATGATGGCTACCATTCATGACGAGATATTTTCTACTCTTTGCATTTTTAAACAATTTATAAAACAATTTGTAGCTCTAAAGTGGTCCCAAAGGTCCGACCCACGCCGCAACCGCCAACCGCCAAGCTCCTCCTCGCATCTCCAACTTCCTTCACCTCCACCTCCGCCTCCGCCTCCAACCCCACACCCATCTCCTTCCCAGAGGTCATCATGTCTCAATCCGCGTCGCCTTATCCCACCCAGGCTACCTTCTACTCAACAACGCCGATAATGAACCCATCTATCAACCCCGATACCCCTCCACCACCTCCGCCGAAGCCCAGCAGCCACGAAGCCAGTCGCGGAGGCACCCCGCAAAACATGTCCTCTATGCCAACACCTCAACCACCCCAACCACCCCGACCAGACTCCCAAGCAACTCCACAATACGCCTCATATACCCCAGCATCATTACCTCCACCTCCCCCAATCGAAGAGGGGTGGCTCCCAGATCTGGTGAAGGACAAGAGGTAAGACCACGTGAAGCCGTCCCTTCAACAGCCAACCTAACAGCAATTTCTCATCTCACAGCACACTCGACCTCCAATCCATCCTTAAAGACCCATCCCTCATATCTGCCCTCTCAAACCAACACCCATCCCACACAGCCCGCCAACAAAACCTCGAATCCCTCATCCATCTAAACAAAGACCTCGCAACCCGCCTCCTAGCCATGCAAAAGCACGTCGATGAGCTCCGCGGCTCAACAGAAACAATGCTCCTCCAACACCAATCCCTCGAAGTATCCTGGCGCAAGAAGCAATCTGAAATGGACACCGCCCTGGCGCCCTGGTCGCCCAAGGCCTTGTACCAACGTCTCGGCGCGTCGATCGCGGAACAGGAGGCTGTTTGCCAGGCTGTTGAGGAGAGCTTCCTTGACGAGGATCATCACGGTCGGCCCTCCGAGAAGGAGATTGCCGATTGGATCCGGCGTGTTCGGGGCGAAGGGTCGAAGTTGGCGGCGAGGAAAGAGGCCAAGGCTCGTTGGGACGAGGGGCGAGTTGGTGGGTGGAGGTGAATTGGTGTGTGCTGGCCTTGTCTTTGTTTAGATTTATACCCCTTCAGAGCTCTAGATGACTATTTTACGATGAGATGTTGTCTATGAATATAAGCATTGTCATTTTGTGGCTCTTTGTCGAACTATATTTGCGATTTTATTAATATGAGACTTGGAGATATCATATGTTGAGTGGGGTATCATTGATCTTTTTTCATAATATACATGAGAGAGGGGAATTTCCAACATTTACTACAGATAGTAGTTCGGTCCTTATGATAACGGATCGCTAGTTCCCAAGCAGAGTTTCACACCTTCGTAGGAACCAATGTACATCGCACTGCACACTATTGCTGCAATGCAGGTCAACTGAGAACCACGGAAGAAGCCCGGGATCCCTTCCTTAGTGAACACATCCTGAGCAACAGAGAGTGCACTTGGTCTCATCCGTATGGAAGAATGGATTTCAGCAGTCCCGAGGCCAACTTTATCCACGGGGAACGGGGTAATTGCATCTCATCCCCCAGAGCCAACCGCATCCGTGTTTTGACAACGTCGATTGGAACAAAGAACCAAGACGAGCAGCCGCCAGCAACACCAGCACATAAAACACTAGCTTGGATCTGTCCCATAGTAGTATCGGCGAGGTGGCGCTGTTTTTCGTATAGCGATTCTTTAAAAGACTCGTACAAGCAGAAGGTCAGACAGACATTGGGAAGTTGACCAGCAACAAGCATCCAATATCCCGACCACAGTGCCGAAGGCTGCTTATAGAAGCTCTTCAACATTATTATAGAGGCCGGCGGACCTCCTTTTGGCGAATTTGCGGATTGTTGAGAAACCTGTGCATTTTGCTTCAATACCTCTGCGGGATTTAGAAATGCGCAAGCAACAAGCTCAGCCGCGGCGCTGCTAATAGCATGAAATATCGACTTTGGAACTCCTGGGAGATATCCAGCGCGCTGTGCTCTTTCGAATGATGTTTTTGACACTTCGTATGTGGCGAAGAAGGCGGCTGAGGAAGGGATGCCGGCAAATAGTGTTGGGCCAAATCCTTGATAGAGGCCGGTAAACAAAGCGCGTCTCAATGACCCGTTGCTGTGCTTGTACACTGTGCTGTAGTCTTTGCATTGCATTCGGGTTATCATCGTATCTAGTGGGTGAAAAACGACCTCGCTGCTCAGCGCGGCGATTGCTGCTGCCTGTTTGCCTTAGTCAAGGGTTCGATCTCTTGAAGAGTGAGTGACATACTGTTATCACGTCGAGTCCATTGCCAGTCAACATTCTTCACCATTGACTTGCGACACACTAGGAGCGAGGGTATGGGATGAAAGTGTTTGAAGTATGTCTTATTGTTATAAGCTGCCTGGTTTAGTCGAGGTGGAATTTAGGATTTACTCCTGGACTCGGCCTCCGCGGAACCCGACCTCGGGACCAGGTTGGCTATTACCACTACCAAGTTCCACTCTATTGAATCGATTGGTTATCCACACCTTCAATTCGCTTTCTTCTTTATTCCTTTGTTTTTTTCATGCTTCATTGTATTCGAATGTTTCGTCGAAACAATATGGGGCTGTCCCATTATCTCCGGCAAAGGCCACGACAATATCCATTCTCTGAACAAAAGATTCTCGCGTCCTCCTTGTTGTAATTCGACGATGCTATGTTTATTCCGATGTATTTCCATTGTTTGAATTTGAACTCAGTGTCTCCGGTCGAGTAATTAGGTTTTTTGGGTTGATGGACTGATGGTCTATATAAGCTGCATCCTACCTCGACATTAGACTCGACATCAGCATCAGCATCGTCTTCTACAACAAGCCACCCAGCCAGCTGGCCATACTACTACTAGTATAGCTTATCATTACAGTCACACAGCTTACAGCAGTACTTATATACAGCCTTATCACCCATCACTTTCGTCATCATCATGGCGATCAGTTACGAAGAAGAACGACACGTCGTCGTCGGCGATATCGAGTGTTTGACCGAGATGCTGAACTTCCCACGTGCTGACATCGAGGAGATCGCAGACCGTATGGAACAGATTGCCCAGGACATTCTCCTCATCCTCCTGCCTGTAGGTCAGAAACAGTGTCACAGGGGTTCCAACCACATCCCCGAGTGTTTTGAGGAGCGGTGTCGCATGCTATCTCTTCAGATTAGAGATTACGGTGTGGAGCTTCGTCAGAGCCCCAACCTGGCATATCATATTTCATGGGCACTTTGGGGTATCATGTTCCTTGTTGCTACCCTTACCATTTGTGATTGCAACCACTGCGATGACTATGCGAAGGCTAGTGAGATCCGTCTGACTAGATACACTCGCCAGGTCCATTTTTCCCCCCCACTACTTGACCCCCGGTCTCAGGGGAGATCTACTATAAGATCCGTGTTAACTTCCAGGTGCTGAGGTTCCGTCCTTCGGATAGCCAGTGCCGGTGTCACCAGTGCGGTATTCGTAGCATGATCTGCTAAGGTTTGCTGTCACCTCCCCCTTTGATCCCATATATAATGTTCGTTTTAGTTGGTAGAAATAGGCATTGAAATTATACTGGGCTGAGAAATCAATTCGAATCGACTTTTTTTCAAAAAAAAAATTAAAACATTAGAAATATAGAAGTCCATTCTGATTATCGTAAGTTCTTCCCACTGTTGTAGCACGTACATCTTCCCAGGTTGGTCGTGGAAACGTATGATACTAATTAAAGAAACTTGGTAGCGAATGATGAAGTTTAGATTGCGTATAAATCCGACCCTCCGGCGAAATATTGAGAATTTCGCGTTGTGGAATACGAAGCGCATCTCTGGATGGGCTACGTTCCATTATATGACTCGGCGTAAACTTAAAATAGCTTTGTTTGTTGATACCAGCCACTCCGAGTCCAATCTATTTTAGGCGTGCTCCACGTGACCCTGGTTAGAACAAAGGCAAGGGATGTTGGCCCATGCATCTTCGCCCGCGCCGAGTGAATTTTGCTACGTGAATGGCTGGCTGCCTAGAGTCATGTTTCTCGACTATCTGACAGCTGTCAAATATTTGCCAGTAACTAAACTGCCTACCAGTTCAAGTTACTGGACATATCTAGAGAAATCTCTCGGTGGGATTATTGTCAAACATCCCACACCTGGAGCTCGCAGAAGGTGGCATTGATTACACCATCACGGTTAATTCCGAGCACATCTTGCGAGTGTCCTTCCTCTCAGGCCGTGACCTTGAGAGCCATCGGGCTTCTACTATCCTCAAGATGAAAGTCGAAATCCAACCTTACAACTCCGAGTGGCCAATAAAATTCCGCGAGATAAAGAGCAAACTCCAACAAATCCTCGCTGATGTGTTGATTACTTCAATCGAGCACGTCGGAAGCACTTCAATCCCACATCTCCGAGCTAAGCCTGTCATTGACATTGATATCATTATCCAACCAGCTTCCCTCGCAGCAGCACGGAGCACCCTAAGTGATTCGGGATACACTGATTGCGGGGAGATGAACGTCCCAGGTCGATTTGCCTTTCGAGAACCAGGATATGGAAGTTACGATGGCGCTCATGGCTTAGGTAGAAACGGCGAACTACGACATAACACATATCTCATTATTGAAGGATGTCTCGCTTTGAGGAACCACCTCGATGCAAAACGAATCTTGCTTGAAGATGAGAATCTGCGCGAGGAATATTCTACGGCCAAATGTATGCTGGCAGAAGGCGAGTTTGAGAATATCGGCCAGTATGCGTGTGCGAAAACGGAAATTATTTGCAAGATTCTGCGAAAGGCTGGGTGGAGTGAAGAGGATTTGGTGCCTGTGATTCAAGCTAATACCTGAGTTGAATGGTTCCTAGATCCTTTCTTTTGGGGCGGATATTTATACGAAAAAGGTCCGTCCGCTTTGTCAAGCTTCCTTATTCCTACATTTTTACCCCATAATAAATAGCCCGGTTTGATGAGCCAACTTTGGCACCATTTGGCGTGTCCTGTAACGTCTTCTGCATCAAATCTCACGTCATCATCCAACCCGTCATAGGCATAAGAGTAATTCTTAAAGGAAGTCAAAAGGTTCCCATATTTTGAGGAAACAATTCGCATAGATTTAAACCAAAACCGATTCCTCTAAGAATGGCGGCGTCCCAATAAAAGACAGAAGCTTTCAGCGGCGAAAAGCTGGACGCTGTGAGAAAGCGATATACTGAAGAGGCAAATAAACGTCTCCAAGCGACACGACTTACGCATTTTATTCAATTGACGCAGATGGACGACAAACGTCTGCGTGAGCTTGTGGAGGATCCATGGGCCGATCACGATGCATTAAACGGAAAGGAATCTCCGATAAAGGAAAACGGTGTTTATAAGCATTTTATCCGACGATATGATGTTATCAAATGGTCGACGAGATGGGCGATTTTTGTGGAGGGAGCGAGCTTGTGCGTGGGTGAGAGTGAGAGTGAGGAAGAGAGAGAGAGAGAGAGAGAGAGAGAGAGAGAGAGAGAGAGAGAGAGAGAGAGAGAGAGAGAGAGAGTGTGTGTGTGTCTGTGTGGTTGCGGCCCAGACATGCCCTAGGCCGAGTGGACAAACGGTTTCTCGGACTCGGAGATGTCGGCTTGCAAGTTACTTCAACTTCTTCCTGCACAAGATCTAATCTGTGGCCTCATCACTTTCATTTGCTATGGTCTTCCAAGTGACCCAATTCTAGAACCTGGAACCCGTTAGCCTATCAGTCAACCTGTCCCCACTATCAAGGTCAACATTGTCGCTTCTTACTAGCACATTTCAGCATATCCCCAGTCCAGAGCTTCCCACACCTTGTTATTAGAACCTGCACGCCGATTTGGAAAGCAACAATATTAATGAATAACACAGAAGGGATTCTAGATTACATCACTGTACAGGAAAAGGTAGCCGCTATGGCTGTTGATATGATCCCACCGGCAACCTCCTTTGCAATAAACTTGGTGAACTCCTTTGTCCGTGTGCTCGAAGACAGGCCAAGCTTCGATGAGAGAGATTGACTTGATTTAGTCACGTTGCTTGTGATGACTTGAATACTTGAATAGTCGCTCAGAATATCCAGAACATGCCGTTCTGCAAGCGCGCTAGCTCGAATATGCACTACGCCATCGGCGAGAGCGACGAAGAATTCGTTGGCGCGATAGGGATTGAGACAGACAAACTATTCACAGGTCAGATCTGGCTGTATCTTCAATGAAGTGACCGAGTTCTCTACATACCACAACATCTCCTTGGTTGGTGTTTTGAAGAATCTTCTCCAGCTCTGGGTAGTTGTGATCAACTGCCCAAGTGACAGCCCCATCAGCCCATAGAACAACATAGGCGTCATTCTGTCCGAGGGAGCAATGCTTCACTCGTCTTTTACCCTTGAGGACTCTGCTGTCACTAATTCCGGTGTGTTTCCATTTCGCCTTTCCCGTCTCTGGGACGAAAACAACAAAATCTCCAGGGTCGGGTCCAAATGCTACGCGGCACTTCCTCTTTCCGTGCTCCTCAACGAACTCGTATAGTGCAGGGTAATCACGCTTGAGCCCTCTGTTGTAACCTGTGAAATGCAAGATAAGCTAATATATCATTGAAAGAGTTTGATGAAAGTGACTATGAGAGGCGGTGTGCCTACCACCCTGTCCACGGCCATCCCTATCCTCCCAACACATGAAAAGCGTATCGTTGGCATTAGCCGCGAAAGAGTTCACTGTTTGAATGGGTCGTGTTTTCGTCCACTCGTAGTAGCTTTTCGGTAGTCTTTGCCTATTTGGAGAGTTAGTCGAAGTATACTATCGGAAATAAAATCTTCCATCTGCGGGAATTTACTCGCAAGTATCTTTGGTGTGGTCCAGGAAGTATGTCCCGGGTTTTCCGAACGCAAAGAAAAGATCATAAACAGACATGTTTGGTTATTGTGTATTTGAAAATTTTCAAAGTTTCTCGGGCATAAGTAGTTGAGTTATAAAAATGGATGATGATCCACTCTACAGAATTTCGGGCGGGAACAGAAGATATTAAGCTCAAATTTTGCCTCATCGCCTTACCTTGACCCTGGCACTTCCTGTGGCTTTCTCAGCTGTGGCTGGGTAGTTCAAATTGGGTTGCTAACACGCGCTAACGGCCTGTGGTTGCTGACTGCATGTTTAGCCTCGAAAAAGCTCGATGTTTGGTTGGTTGAGAATGCACTAGGGATCCCGGTGTTCCGTTAGTTTCGGGTTTCATGGACAGACGGTCTGCCAGAAACGCCGTATCTGGATTGAAGTTCTTGCAAAACATGACCTCGTCGGGGTTATTCCCGTCAGCCACCTTTATGTCTCTTCCGTCGCTTGTGGGGGCTGGCAGTGAGTGGCCTTTGCTCACTTTGTCTCACTTATCCTACGTGGCTATGGTCTTGGCCCTTTCATGGACCCCGGTGGTGGACCCCGGTCAGCTGAGCCTCATTTTGGCGATTCTCGCCTGGCATCTTTATTGAAATGGTAGGTCCTGGAAGATAAAAAAAGCCCACTGGCACGAGGTCATTCTTGTTCAACATCTCAAGGTTAGAAGCGCTACCAATAGCTTGGAATAACCTAGCAGGCTCCCCGGGCCTTGGGAAATAAGGCCCGCCTGGGCATGGGATGAATATAATGTCCGGTGGAGTGCGTTCTCAAAGTGAACTTGAAAGTTTATCACGGGTATACTTCGTCTCCCTTCCAATCCCAACACTTGCCTCTCCCCCCATCAAAATCCGGCGACATTCCGATTAGGAATTTCAAAAGTCGCTCCGCTGAATCTAATGGCTCTAACATTTCTCTACCCTTCCAGAAATCCTTTGTAAAATCCGTGCGAACAGTCCCGGGGTGTAGCGCAACAGCTAGAGCATTTTTCCCTGACTTTGATCGCAGGTACAAGTCAAAGGTCTTTGCCAGTTGGAATACCGAGGCCTTGCTCGCACGATAGGAGTACCAGCCACCGGAAGAATTATCAGAAATCGAGCCCACTCGCGCAGCCATCATCGCATACACTGCATGGGACGGTAGCTCTAGTTGACTTCCTCCTCCTGTTTCTGATGTGCTTTTGATTTGAAATTCAGGCGTAGACTTAGCCGGAAGAAATTGAGACAGGTGTTTCATGAGCAAGAGCGGACCCAGAGCATTCACCTGAAAGCTGTCTAGTGCGCTTGCCGCATCGATTTGCGATGGCGATTTTTCAACATGAAGAATTCCCGGAACCGTCAATGCTAGACGAAGCGGTGTATCTGGATAATCCGTCCGGATTGCGTCTGCCATCGACGAAATCGTGGACTCGTCTGTAGCCATTAGAACCTCCCTTGTCCCAGGACCTTGGAAATGGAATGCTATCGCAATTACCTTTCACGTCAACCTCAAACAAGCGAAGTCGTCCTTTCGCACTGGAAGGTACATTCTTGCCGTTAAGAATTCGGTCTCGAACTCCAGTACAGTTCTTTCGCGTTGTAGCCACGACTGGAAGCTCGGTTTTCGTGAGCAATTGCTGGGCGAATGCGAGGCCTAGCCCCCTCGAGGCTGGTGCTACCAGCGCAAAGCCATGGGAAACCCCTGCCATTTTGTTGATAGAGTTTATCGAATGATTGAGTATTGAAAGTTGCAATTCGCTCAAATGAAGGAGCGTTACTTCCTCGATCGCGATGACGTCATATCGCATTGCAAGGAAGTAAAAGAATGTTTAACGTTGAACACAAAACTAAAATAAAATAAAAGCTTGAATCCGCCTCACTTTACCAGTACGGGACTTGGGTCTCCTTGTTTCACTAGCAGCAGCAATAATATCAGACTTTGCATCAGTCTAGGTATGACCCCGAATTCCCCTTTCGCCCGCTCAGTCTATGGTAGAGGTATCCAACTTGACAGCTGAGGTAAAAATTCAGGACGACTTCATTGCTGTCATCTAACTTATATTTAATTGAATATTTTCGAGAACCTGAATAAAGTAAGTAATCGCGGCGACTACAAAGTTTCCGAGGGATTGCAATGGGTCATTTCATCCACTTCTAGGATTGGTGTCCTTTTCAAACGGAATTGCCGTTCATGTGAGCATCATTCTTAGAAGTATGTATGATATAAAAACACCGAGGGCGATCTTTCGGTTAGTTGTATCTTTTCCATCGCAGAAATGACCTGTAACCCATGCTTGGAAATCAGCTCGGCAAAATATCTTTATACCGTGACTGCTGCAAGAGCTTTTTGTCACTTGCTTTTACAAACTGCCCAGGTGCGGGTATCAGTACTATTGCGGGCCTTGTCCCCGATCGGTATAAATCTATGTCACCGGCGACCACAGACCTCGGGAGCGAATACTAGTAATATGAATCACCTGGACAGGGAACACCTGGGGACCAAACACCCAATCCGCTCTCAAAAAAGGAATTCTATACCTTTTTTTAAATCCTTGTTTTATGTGCTTTGCTTTCAGTGTCTATTTCCGTAGCGTGAAATTCGTCACTCTCCCCGCAGTGATTTTGCAATAACGATTAATCGTGTTATTTGCTTTTTTCAACGGAAAATGTCGTTCCCTTCAACCATGACGAGCTTGATTCAGAATCCACAATTACGACTGCTGAATGCGCTTCGAGAAAATGCTAAGCCGATTATGACCTTCTTGGGCCTTCCGTCTTTTCGAACAGCTCAGGTGGTTGCTTTGACTGGTGTCGATGTCAGTATCTACCTTCGATTTTACATACTTCATATATTGACTAATAATAACAAAGGGCATTATCATAGATTGCGAACATGGTCATATCAGTGACGATGGCATGCATAGCTCAACTGCCGCTATCGCTGCTTTGGGCGTGTCGCCGCTTGTCCGGCTCAGAATGACTCACTCAGATTTGATCAAAAGAGCTTTGGATGCCGGTGCACAGTAAGTAGTATAAATTCTCATTATTCCAGTGCTAAAATATCTTAAGTGGCATTGTTGTCCCTCAAATAAATACCGCCGAAGAGGCGAAAGCCGTTGTCCAATGTTCAAAATTCCCTCCACAGGGACTTCGCGGGCAGGGCTCGGCATTCCCAGCAATCGCTCACGGCATCGATATTCCAACATACATGAAAATTGCGAACGAAACTATCATCACATGCGTTCAAATTGAATCTCAAGCCGGAATCGAGAATGTTGACGCCATCTGTGCTGTACCCGGTGTAGGTTAGTAACTAGATACACACCCGCTTGGAAAACTTCGCTAACCTCGGTCAAGATATGGTTTTTATCGGACCAAATGACCTTGCTCTATCTGTCCTTGGTTACGTCCCCGCAAAGGGTAGCGAGCCTGACTTTGTCAACGCCATTGAAAAAATCGTGGCAGCTGCCAAAAAGCATGGCAAATGGGTCGGTCGATTATCAAATGACGGAGCATCTTGCAAAGAGCACTTGAAGGTTTTTGACAGTGTCGCTATGAGTTACGATATTCGAGCGCTTCAAAATTGGTATATGAGTGAGTTGCAAGTTGCGCGCTCATGATGCACTGCAAATAAGACAAAACATCCTCATCTGGAGTAAAGTGCCAAGCCACGAAGGGTTAATGCCAGCATGGTCCAATGAGAGGCAAATTTCATTTTAAAGATCACCATAATCTTCATCAATCATATAAATGCTAAGCCCGGAATATCTGGTGCGTCGAGATACTCAGCTGTGTTGCTCTCCTTCTTCTTTTCCTATTGACGATCTGCTCAGTAACCAAAGTGTGTACTAGTATCCGAGGGCTTAGTTATTACCATCATGATTCTGCGAACTTGGTATAAGTTATATTGAAGTCCTTACTCAATCGTAGTTATACATCATCCCTCATGCACCTTTTGACCTGGAAAAAAATGAACAGAAAAAAGGCAAAAAGGTAATCGGGGTAGGCCAAGCGTTTCAAATAATCAACCCCGTTATTACTATCTCCCCCGGATGGGTAGAACCAAGACTCCTAGACCATTGCCAAGAGCTTTGCCCTAGAAACTGGGTTCAAGTATTTTCTATCCCTTGCGCTGCAACGTGTGATAACCGAGCTTTTCTCTCGCCTCCGCAATTGAGGCACCGCCAACGATCAATTCTCGGATTCCATCTTCACTCATTTCGATCTTTCGTGCGATCTCAGCAACCTCACGAGCTCGATCTCGAGGAACAATAACAACACCATTTGCATCGGCAACGACAATATCGCGAGGCTGTACCCGCACCTTTCCGATGCCAATTGACTCGTTAACGCCCCCAACTTGAACACGATCTTTACCGGTCCTCATCCAACGTCCAGCTGTAAAGACCGGGTAGTTCTCGTCTATCGCACGATTCACATCTCGGCATACGCCGTCGATAACTGTTCCAGCAATGCCACGTAGACCAGCATACTGGGTCATTATATCGCCCCAAACAGTGCAGTCGGTGCGGCCACCATTGTCAATAACCACTACATCACCAATAGCGACGTCGTCGATGAAGTCACCAACACTTCCCGGTGGGCTGCTGGCGGGAACGTAGCGAACTGTGAAGGCCGGACCGACTGTAACTCCCTCGTAATTAGCCAAAGGCATGATGTTGTATGCCTGGCCGGCGATTCCAAGTTTATCAAGCGCATCAGAAACTCCCGGTGTATCTGAGTTGGCGAAAAGAGCTGACAACTCTTGATCTTCGAGACTAGCATCCCTGCGATTGGGCGTATTCGCGGCAGGTACGGTGGATGCTGTCTTTGTATTCTGTTGAATGGCCTCAAATTTCGTGTCATGCATGACCTCAGACACGGGTTTGCCGGCCAGAACTTCCTTGACCATAAGGGCCTGACGATGGTCGATCCTCTCTCCCAAGTCCAAAACTTCTTCAATGCGCTCAGCTGGGACGAACACTGTTCCACATCTATCGGCAATCACATAGTCTCCTTCATTGACCGTGACACCCCGGACCTGCAGAGGCAAACCGGAGTTCAGTTGCACAATCCGATTGCGTGCGCTAATCATGGTCACGCCTCGACCATAAACGGGGTATCCGATGCCTCGACTACCGTCAATATCACGGCTCATGCCATCGATGATTGTTCCACGGATTTTCTTCATTTGTGAGGCATTGGCAACTATGTCTCCCCAGCAGGATACACCCTCTGTACCACCGGAGACGACGAGGATACGGTCATCCGTTGTGACCGCATCTATAACTGGTGTGAGAAGATGTTTCGTGGGTGCGGCTTGTTTCTTGACGCCCACTTCCACGGTGCTTGCACGTCCCACAATTTTTGGGCAGTCCCAGAGAGGTCGTAGTCCGTATGTAGCGCCTTTGAGCTGGAGAAAGTCCAAGGCGTCAGACACTGTATTGGTGTCAAGTACTGAGAGTCGTTCCAAAATGCTGACTTGACTCATGGTGTCGGTTGCGGTGATCGGTACTAGGCAATGAAAACACCTGGGTAGTAATTTTATTCAACAGTGACTTTCTTGAATTTGAAGAACAGAAGAGGCGAAAGACACACCACTCCACCCAGGCTACCTATATGTAGGTTTCAGACATGCGGGATTGTCATAGCTAGAACCATTAGATTATGGTAGGGTACGTAATGACAGTTGCACTAATGGTCCTAGAGATCGGGAATTATCCGGTATACGGTCGATCGCCTTTCCATGATCGTAGGTTACGAAATCGGCGAAAATAGGAGTTTGCCGATGTTCAACCGAGCTAGCCCAACAACCAGTGGATTCTTCAGACCTGCGGGAAGGTAAGATTACGCCGATTTTAGGGTAATCTCATACTTGAATAGTTATATCAAAATTGAATCTAAACACAACTCGGGCTTTCAAGTTGTGACTAATTTGGATTTGTAAATCGAAACGGTATATTGGTAACTCACCGATATCTGCCATTTTTGACCCCAATGAAAGGATCGGTAAAGATGAGAGATGGCTGGTACTAAGCTTGACCATAGGTTTCGCTGCGATTCGCTCGATTTATGATCCTGGCTACATAATGTTCTCTCGACGTTGAACCGCCTCGAGGTCCACTTACTTTCCAGATCGCTTCCTCGGTACACGCGTGAGACCTCATCAACACCATCTCCAAAGAAAAACGTTCACTGTCGAAATTTCATCTCAGGAACCAAATTGCAAAATGAAAACACATTTACTTGAACTTGCCATCCCTTCCGAGGATATTGCTTTCGGTTTGATGGGCGATTTTGAAGCGGACTCTCACCCCAACAAAGTGTCTTTGATCGCGGGAGCATATCGTGATGAAAATGGAAACCCCTGGGTTTTGCCCAGCGTTAGAACGGTACATCCACCAGCATTTTGAAGTATAAACCCAGGGACTAACGACCAGTACAGGCAAAGGAGCAGCTTCGCGATGAAAATCACGAATATTTGGGAATAGCAGGCTCGCCAACGTTCATCAACCTGGCAAAGGAACTTATCTTCGGCCCCGTCGCATCCAGCTTTCAAGATAACATTGGGTCAATTCAAACGGTGTCCGGTACAAGTGCAAACCACCTTGCTGCCACATTCTTGGCCGACCGACTTCGCCCAAACCGCGTGTTCATTCCATCGCCGACCTGGATCAATCACAAATCTATATGGGAGGCGACTGGGGTCACAGTTGCAGAGTATCCGTACTACTCTTCCAGTACAAAACAAGTGGATATGGCTGGGATGATGGACACCCTGGATCAGGCCGAGCCCAATGACATTGTCGTTCTGCAAGCCTGCGCACACAACCCCACTGGTGTGGACCTGTCAAAGTCTCAGTGGCGGCAGATTGCTGATTTATGTCATCAAAGAATGCTATTTGTCGTCTTTGACAGTGCATACCAAGGCTTTGCGACTGGTGATGTTGACGGCGACGCGTGGGCGGTTCGTCATTTTACAGAAAAGGTTCTTGCGTTCGAAAACCATCCAGGCTTGTGTGTTGCGCAGTCATTCTCGAAGAACTTTGGGCTCTATGGTGAGCGTGTCGGTGCTTTACACCTGGTCTTACCGCGGAATGTTTCGGCACAGGGCGCGCGTGATGAACTGAAGACGATTGTACGACGGGAATATTCCAATCCACCTCGATTTGGGGCAAGTATTGTTCAGAAGGTCCTGGGTGACCGTGGTTTGAGAGTCCAATGGGAAGATGATTTGAACACCATGAGTTTACGAATTAAGATCATGAGATGCGAGTTGAGGCACGCGCTGGAGAAAAAGACGCTGCAGGACTGGTCGCATGTGGAAACGCAGATTGGAATGTTCAGCTATACGGGCTTGACGAAGGAGCAGGTTTCCCGACTTCGAGACGAGTTCCATATCTATTTGTTGCCGTCAGGCCGCATCAGTGTGTGTGGGCTGAATGAAGGCAATCTGCAACATGTGGTCCACGCTATTGGCGAAGTTACAAAAGGCTAGCTGCACGGATGATGATCCTGTCAGTTTCAAGGTTTGCAGTGCGACACGATGAAATGTTACCGAAGTCAGAAGAATGGTCTTTGAATAATTACTTCAAGTTGTCCAGCCTTTTGATTAAATTATCTACACATTCCCCTAATCACTTCGATAACTACTCCATGCCTCTCACTTTGCCTTAATACTTACTAGTTTCGATTGCTGGCATTCTAAAGCCCACACTCTATATCGAATGGTCAGCAACTTTCCATTCAAACTGTCTATGATCAAATCCCTGGTTGAAATTCTTTCTGCTATTCGTTGCCATTCTGTCGGACCTTTAAGAGATGCTATACATGCCTATTTTATGGGTTAATCGCTTTGACAATGGTGTCTCTTTCTAACTCCTTTACTATTTCTCCATTGATTGAGCTTGGATTTCTTTCAAAAAATGACATATTCATTCATTCATCCCAGTTTCCTACTAGTTCTAGTCCCGCTCTATTCCAACTACTACCAACTGGTACTTTTCTCGGTGCTTTGGCTGCCCTTCGCTCCTCGCGTCTTTGCCAGAAACCCCACCAACTCCGTCTTCCTCGACTCAGCCACTCTGCGTAACTTAATGTTGTTTTGACCATGTGCACTATGAGACGAGCCATTGCGATGAACCTTTTTTGCCGTTCGAAGTCGAAACAATTCCCAATATCAAACCATACTTAAGCCGAGTCTTCATTTTGAGGACAGGCATGAATCTGCTTTATCTGTCTCGTGCCTCTTTTATGTGCCCCCAGCATGAAGTATGCAATAGCTCTACCGAGGGGAGAGCCCAAGAATGCATCATATTGCGATCAAGCAGACTTCCAAGTGAGCAGCCCACTTTCCCGCCAGGACTTTCCGCTAGCATTCAGATTGTCCTAGATACATGTCATTGTTTGTTGGCCGGCTCCTACACGCACAAAAATGTGTTTCAAAGACTCGAGTGGATGGTCGCGCTCGTATACAGCCTGGGTAACTTCAGACACATGAGGTGCCATAGATGTCTTTGATCTGTAGAGATTTTCGATTATTATCTTACCTGGTCCAGTGTAACCTGCCCAGAGAAAATCATCTCTGTTCTGTTTAATGCAGAATCGTTGCCAAGTAGTTTCTCCAACATATAATCGAATGATCTCTGTAGGTGCTCCGCCGAGAAACTCTGCCTTCCTGAACAGAGAAAGGATATGACACAAGTTCACATTTAACGACTAGGGACTCATTTTCATCGACATGCTGAAATATAAGACTTGATTTGGGAAGTTGAAAATCGGACTCCTTGGTATTTTCGATCAGTTTTCGCCACTTCTCCCCCACCTTTTGGCGCTCATGGTACGGGCCAGCTGAGTTGCTCTCTTCGAGTTCATCTTTATGCCCGCCATCCTTGGTGATAAGTCTCGTGTAATCTGATTGGCCTCTCGAGGTAGTTCAGAAAATGTGTGAAGAGCCAACTCAAGCCCATCACAAATGGGGCGATTGATGATATAAAATTGATGCTTTCCATCTTGTCTCACTCTTTCAGGTATAATATCTCGTCGCGATATTTCTCATGCTGGGTCCCTTTGGGTCTTTAAGCTGCCATTCCTCGTTTAAGAACAAAGGGCCCGCATTCAAAGCTTGGGTCGTACTACTTCAAGTTCTTTGTCTCCTACGAATAAAATATCCCATTCTCCGTTACCTAAGCAGTGTATCTTCAAGTTCAAAATAAAAATGGGGGTTTTAATGCTTAAAGTTGTTGGGACATCATGAAAGAAGAATTAAAATTCACTCACTTAATGAAGGACGAAAATGCTGGCTTCTAGATGCAAACGTCAAAAACGGTTGGTCAGGGAAGCTGAGCAATCTTTTTCATTCAAGGCTTTTGAAAAGTGCTGCCACGTGCTCGAGATTATTCGGTTAGCTCAGTGCAAACCCCATTCCTGTGGGTGGCTGATAATCCCCGTTTAGAGTCAGCCTTGTTCGATGGGCTAATTAACTTCTGCGGCCGCCAGTCGCCCGATGCCCCGAGGCCCTAGCTGGCATCTGGGCCCCGCTTTGACTTCAAATGAGTCAATCAAAGACTGCCGTTTGTTTCTGACTCGGGCGTAAAAACAAGTCAGACGGCCAAGCCTTGGGACGGGCGAAATACGATACCTTTCGCAATTTGCTTATAGGCAGAGCCAATTGTAACTTGGCGATCCGTAAGGCAGTTCAGGCGTCTGTTTGGCCCCAGACAAGGCGCACTAACCCTCCACTGCAAGTTAAATAGGCCGAATTCATATCAAAACGTGGACTTTTCGATAGTTTTGCGTTCTTCGCGCCATACCACGAAGTTTTCGGAGTCTACTCCGTAGCTACCCTTCTACCTGCCTTTCCAATCATAATTCAAACATAAACAACCAAATGAATTTCTCTATCGTTCTTCTCCTTGCTTTCGCCGCCTTTGTCACTGCAGAAAGTACAACCTCAATTTGGTTTTTCGGAAACGCATACCTCTGGAACTCTCATATTCCTCGCTATACAAGCGGCGCTGCCAGTGTTGCCGGCATCAATGCGGACGCTACAACATATCTTATCAGCTGCCTGAGTGATGCCCCAACTACTGACTGTCAGGTCAAGACTCCTTTCACCATGATCCAGGGACCTGGTACCTTCAGCTTCACCGGAGTCTATACTGCCGAACGGACAGGTGGATTGCAAATCACTGCCTACAGAGACTTTGACTGCACATTTACTGCTAGTTCTATATCTGCGTCCTGTTCATTCAGTTATTCGGCCACGGGCTCCGCCTCTGGCATAGAATATGCAACCTCGACCTCGGCTACAACTTCCAATATCCCTTCGAAATCTGTCACCTCGTACAAATTGACTGTAACCGGTGGTATCGATTCATTGCCTACATCTGCAGCTACCACAACTTCCAATGTAGCCGCAGGTCCTCTCCGACCGTTAATTACGGCTGCACCTATTGGAGCTGCTGCTGTTGCTGTTGCGGGGTTATTCTAATGATTGTGGTAGATATTTAATTGTTCTATATCCATTTCCAATGTATGAAGGACATGGTTAACCGCACATAATTTCTCATAAAGAAAGTATAAAATATCCACTGGTATTCAACCGTTAATCGGTCTACTTTGTTGATAAGTATATTGGATCTTGTAGTTCTTTCTCAGGTTCATGCTAAATACCAGACTTTGTCTTAGGTCATCAGAGTCAGCACAAAGCTTTCACAGCCTCAGCACCTCCCCGCTGGCCAGAGCGGACGGCACCCTCCATATATCCCCGCCAAACAGTAGCAGTTTCAGTTCCCACGAAATGGATATTCTTAAACGGCTGGGTGAGGTTCTCTCCCACGCTCGTGAGGGTCCCTGGTGTCATGACTGGACAAGGGGCACCGAGAAAGAAAGCTTGCTTTGACCACTCCATTTCCAAGTGATTCGAAGGCGCAGGGACACTGTGAACAAATTTCCCAAAAGACTGACTTATTTGCCCCCAAGCCTGATTATAGCGAGCTGATCGAGAAAGCTTCGACCATGCCCTCCCACGCTCCCCAACGATAAAGCAGGTAATTGACCACTGATCATCTGCGGGGATGCTGGTATCTCTGGTAAAGCTAATGGGCCCCGTTTCGGGGTTCAAGACACCTGAGAAGCCGGCTTTGCGCCACCAGGGCTCTTTAAAGACGAAGATCATCTTACTGTAGTAGCCCATTACTGCATTGTCACTCAAGGTGATCTTTGTTGCAGGTAATGGTGGATTGAAGGAGATTGTGTGATATAATGTCGTTGGAATCGAGATAATAGTTTTGCGGCAGTAGATTGTTTCTCCAGTTGCTGTGCGAATTACGCATTTGTCCTTTTGAGACTGGTCGATCGAAACAACTGGTGTTTGTAGTTTCACAGTGTTCGGATCAAGCTCTTCAGATAATTTCTTCGAGATTGTTTGGTTTCCTAGCCCGTTAGCTCCAGAATTACGTGTATTAAGTTTCGTTCGACCATACCTTGTCTATTTCTCAAGTACTGCCCTCCATCTTTCCCGTCGGAGAGTAGATTGTCGATGCCGGTGCCGCACTTAAAATAATGGAGCATGTAGAGTGCACTGACTTCATTGCTCTCCACTCCGAGCAATGCTGCGCAGACAGTATCTGCGATCCCAGATGCTTCTGCATTTTCCGTTCTTTGGACGCAGAATTCTCGAAATGTCAATTTATCGATGTCCTTGGCACCGTCAGAATCACAGGGATTGTTCAAATTGACTTTAGACGCTTCTGTCCGGAGTAGCTCCAGCAGTCCTTGAAGTAACTTTGCATCGCCCTATATCCGCATCAGCAATGAGAATATGAATATCCTTTGATAGGAAAAGGAACAGACCGGAAACTGGCCATAAGGGGTCTTTATCACAGATCCGTCGGCCAGCTGGATGACATCATCGCCACAGGCACGCTGAACCTCTGCGTCTATGCCATATCGCTGGAATAACTTAAACATTTCGCTCTGATTTGTATCGTTTATCCATGCTGCGCCCAAATCGTTGAATCCTCTCTCGGTTGATCTCATTGTAAGCGTCTTTCCCCCCACCTGCCCGGTAGCCTCCAAAACACAAACGGTCAGCCCTGCGGCCTTGACCACATGGGCTGCTTGGAGACCACTGAGGCCTGCACCGACTACTATCACATCAAATACAGTTTTGATAGTCATATTGCGCTTGGATCTGTGTTGTTGAGCGTGGAATGGCAAGAAAGGAAGCAGGTGGAGAAGCTGAACGTTGCATTTGTCTGCACTGCCGAGACCGCCGAGGCTGCAGGTTGCATCAGCCCATCATTCGCTGATGCTGAACCACTGAAAATATTACTGTTTACTGTTGTTTACCTACCAGGAACACTGTGTCATACTCGACTAATTTATCTTGAATTCTCATCTATGGGATATCGTGGCTTCGTATTCATATTAAACCGCCTTTGTTACCAACCATCTACCCATTCAGAAGCATTTGAAACACACCATCCATGGTTCCTTGCTATAGAAATCAAATTCTGCAGTTTTCCGCTCCAAAAGCCCCAGCGCAATTCACGATCAATTGGCAAGTCCGGTGTTGGAACGATCAACCTTTTGGAAAGCGAGAACTGCGAACAAATTATCTAAGGACCCGGAAGTAATAACTCGGTATAGCTGCCTCAAATTTCCACTTTATACGTACTGGCATGTACGATCATATTTCTTTGCATCGGAAAATAACCTGAAGTATGAAGAGTGAGTAAGAGAGTGAGATGAGAGAATGAGGCAGAGAACAAGGGACTTGGGAGTGTTTGCCAGGTTTGTGCGGTTTGTCTGGTTTGCTTCGCTTGGCAGTCAAAACTGCGCGTTGAGCTCGTCCTGCCCGCCGTACCGCAATTTATAACCCGATTTTCCGCCCACAATTTTTTTCTTCTCTCCCGTGCTCGCGAAACTTTTTTTTTCTGAGCTTTTCAGCGAGCTTGGAGCTCCAAGCTCTTCAAGCTCCCATTCGACATCCCCCTGGAGACACAAGGGACAGTTTAATTATGGCTGTTCTTGTCTCTTTCTCTTTATTATGAAAAATTAAAAGGTAAGGAATTTCTCACGCATTGCGTTTCGCAATCTGCATCTTTTCCCCCTCCCCCCTTTGGATGATGATCATAAAGACATGCAAAGGCATTCCTCAATCTTAAGTTATCATGTGGAATCTGTCATACTATTAAGTTTCAGCCTTGTCTGACAAAAACTCAACTTTGCCTCCAATTTTGCATCAGCTATTTTTGGTGAATCCATTGCTAATAAAGTTACTTGGATAGGTACACATCGAATCCCCTCTTCCATCTCTTCCTTGCCCGGCCTCTATGCCTTTACATGAAGATAATTTGAACGAACGGGCGGACATAACGTATCCACCAACCTGCGGACATCAAAACAGAGCGTACAAACTCTGGGACGTATGGAAAGTGGAATACTTGTTGAGAACTCGTCACCTGATCCTTTGCCCATATGCACTTCTGCTGGCATCTACACAATATTTCTTCACAGAATGATTTGTCTAACAAAGTGCTTATAGGTAATCACATTCTTTCTTCGTCTTCTTGCGTCGTTGCACAACATCCACATGGCCAATGTTTTATGATGAACTTTTATTCACACTGTTTGACCCGGCACTTCGTGTTGGGAATGAACATTAAACAAAAATTCTGATTTAATGAGGTATGTGTCTTTTCTCCTCTGCTATCGACCCGGACTCGCTTGCTAATTCTCGTCAACAGACTGATATAATTGCCATGTTTTGATCTTGCATTTCAACAATTTGCATTTTTTCCCTGAATGCCGTTGCTGACCAGCATGATCAATCTAGGACTTCACCATCCGCAATAGATATTCTATTCATAATGATTAATTGTAAGACTTTCCCTCAACAACATTCCCCTACACTATACCCCCGCCTACCGTGATGACAAACACTTTTGCTGTTACTTCCGAATTCACATTGAGGAAATATACCACAATTCACCTTGGAGAACTGACTGCCCTCTCATCTTACTGATGTTGCCACTCATTATCTATAATGATCCATTGCTAACAAGCTTTGCAGAACTATGATACCCCTGAGATACCCACATAGCAATGCTTGAATACATTTCCTCGTCTTCACAATATTCTTTTTTTGTAATTCTTCATATCCGTACTCAGGAGTAGTATTTGTTGCATTCCTTAAGCCCGCGCCTACCTGTACGAAATCTACTCGACCCAATGTCCATGCTTCTTATGCCACCCTTCAAGACTCACTTCCCCATTGTAAACATCATACACAACCTTCTTCCCTTCCGGCCATCTCGCCCAACTAGGCTTCGAGGCATTCATAATACAAACCATTTCGTCTGGCACGGGCAAGTCGGTGTCAATGGCCGAAGCAAAAGGGTGAACGAGTTCGGGCCAGTGAGCGTCCCAGAGCCAAAGCATGGCGCTACACTCGGAGCAGAAGTTCCGCTCTGAGGAGCAACGCTCTTCGTTCGAAGTGCCACGGTCTTTGATCGCATTGTACTTCCTGTGTTATAGAGTATCGGGTCAGTTACAATGGATATGATTTACAGTCTTTGGGAATATAATGAATAGTACTGTCCAGATGCCCAGCCTGAGGCGATAGTAGTACTCACTTGATCAAATGCTGGCCCTGAAGTACTCGCAAACTATCCGCGATTCCACCCAGATTCACCGCACCCATGTGCCCGCCCACTTTGCGACAAATGCTGCAAGCGCATAGTTGATATGGAACAGGAGTGTTGGATTGCAGGGTGAATCTCACGCCGCCGCATTGGCAGCTTCCGTCTAGTTTCCTGTTCAATGATTAGTGACACACTTCGGATGCCCAGGCGGGAACGCGGAATGAGCCTGGTACTTCAACTTGTTATATGGACATACATAGGCATGCTGGACGAGGTATATAGCTCGATGTCAAGACTTGGCAAATGGCAATGTAACAATATCGGGAAGAATTCGAATCTTGGTTATGCAAGCCACAGGTGATGTTGAAAGGTTCAAGTTTCGGAAGCCGTCGGACGTCACAGTGTAATTATATACTTCCCGAGCGGGGAAGTACACCCAACACCGAACTTGAATGCAAAATGCGAAACAAACAAGACATGCAGACACGAGATGATTCAATTGTGCATAAATACGAAATTCTTCGAGATTATTCGACAATTGCGTAGGTCCGAGTGCAGGTTGCTGTAGAACTACATCATCGCTCTCGAAATGGGCTTCTGGTTGGCTGAAGGCGGTGTTTGTCTGCTTTGCTCGGTTTGCTTCCCGCCGCCTCTGCTGCGCTTCTTCGTTTTCGACGAAACATCTCCGCCCCCAAGCCAGTCACTGCTTTTCCTGCGGAGACGAACCTCTTGATCTATACAAAAATGAGTTTCGGAGCCCCCGGAGGTGGTTCGGTCAATTACAAGCCTACCCCGTGAGTGTCGGTGGTCGAGATTCGCAGTCTTGAGAAATGCGCTCCGCTCCGCTTCCCCCGAGATGGGCAGATACCCCAGCCGTCTATCGGTGAACTTATTCGCTGACCATTTGGATATGCATTTCTTACAGGCCTGAACGCGGTAGCTTTCCTCTTGACCACGAAGGTGAGTTCGAGTTCGTTCGCAGTGCCACATCCTCTACGACCCGCCAATTAGTCCCCTACACGTCGTCCCACCACACCGAAGACGGATCGTCGCTAATATACCACTCGATTGATATAGGAGAATGCAAGCATATCATCTCCGGATATTTGAAATGCATCAAATCCAATCGGGGCACCAATGACGAGGCATGCCGGAAGTTGGCTAAGGAATACCTCACCTGCCGGATGGATAAGTACGTTGCCTCCAATTCCGAATCGTGGCGGCGAGAAAGCAAATCCTTGAGCCAGACATTATTATCAAGAGCAGTTGCGATAATTTGGTGGCTCGCTGGTCGAATGCAATGCTGACAATGGGGTTCTTTTCTCGCAGGAATTTGATGGCGCCGGACAACTTCGAGAATCTCGGGCTGATCTTCAAGGAAGATCAAAAGAAGGGCAGCGTCCCAGAAATGCAATCAGCACAAGGGACGGAGAATAAAAATTGAGTTGGAAGACACTCAAATGGAGAGGAAGGGAAGACTTGTATGATATTGTAGAAACCGATGGCAGCCGCACGAGGCCGCGAGTTTGCACTTGATTGGCGTTGATTGGAGGCGTTGTACACTAATGAAATACACTCAATTCCATTTCGATAGTCAAGAAAAAAGTAGTTATCGTATCCTGTTCTACTAGAGGTATGAATTACCCAGTATCACTGAAGCACTTGGTAATCACCCCATTCACCGATTGGGCCCGCGCATGCGGGGAAGCCATTTTGAACTCCGCCCAACCCTCACCAGCTACACATCTCCAACCCCTCCCCCCCCATCCCCATGTCCTAATATAATGTCATCAATCGCCCGCCCACCAGACCCATGTCTGGTAGCGATAATATTAATCGTACGATCACGTACCGGCCCCCGACTCGTCTTCCACTACCCGCCCAAACCGCTCAGCGAAACCCGACTCAAGACAACGACCAAGGGCGGCCGCCGCATCTCCCGCACGCGCAGCAGACAAGGCGGCAAGAACACGGACTCAAGCTCCAGCGACGAGAGCGGCCTCAGCTCCGACGATGAAGACGACGACCGCGAGCGCGACACGCAGCCGCCCACCCAGAACTCGTCCACCTACCTCGGCGGGAGCTCACATGTCAGTGCAAGCCTCATACCCAGCCGGAGGGCGAGCAACTTCGGACTCGACGATCATGGCATGATCTCCGCATCGCCGGGTGCGATAGAGCCACAGAGACCGGGCTCGCTGGGTTCTGGTCGGGGATCGACTCGGAAGCGTGGAGGTGCAATGTCCGATGCGGAGGATGATGGGGCGTCGGATCAGCCTGATGGGTCTGGGTCTTCGTCACGCGCGCCGTGGGAGTCGCTTCTGGGATTACCGGGGAGTGTGTGGGAAAAGTTACTCAGTCCTTCACGGTCGTGGCATAAGCGGCGCTACGAGGTAGGCATTAATGATCTGGCATTGATTGGGTGGCCGGTCTTTGTGCGTGAGGATGGGAATTGGCGCAAGCAGCGCCGGAAAAAGAAGAAGAAGCCTCGTGCTGAGTGGGAGGGTGGAGAACTCGGCCATAATGAGAATGCGGATGAGACGCAGGTTGAGGATGGAGTCGTTTCGCCTGACATGGGGTCTAGCATTGCTTCTATTGCGGATTCGCTGGTCTCGCCTACTGATACTAAGCGGAACTCGTTGGCCAGTGCGAAGATCGGGAAGACTGTCGATGATCATGATGATGACCCGGAAGATAAGGATCATATGACGATGTTCAATATGGTTTTTGTTATGGATCCGCCACTGCTGGAGTATTCTGGGCGCGTCAAGGAGATATATGAGAATATTATCAAGAAATTCGCCAAGGCGCTTAAGTGGGAGCAAGCTCGCACGGGATATGTGTGGAAGGAATCCCAGCACATCCTTCAAGTGCGAAGAAAAGCACGAGAATCCAGTCAGATCTGCCGTTCTTCTCCTTTACCAACTCGCAAGCTAATGGTTCTCTAGAAACACCCGTCCATAATCTATATTCAGAGTTGATCAACCAGTCTTCTTTAGCAAGGGCTATATATACGGTCTACACAAGCATCTCAGCATCAAAGATCGCTTCTGTCTCGCTCAGTCCGGATGTTTCCATCTCGCTACAGATCCCACCGTTGACATCCACGCCGTACCTTCCTGGACCGACGGATAAGGCGTATCCAGGTCTCTGGCTGACAACTGCAGACAGCGCTACACCGGTTGATGACCCTGCCGCCGATGAGAACAATGCGCCACATCAGGTTCTGGCTAAGCACTTCGCACTGCTTCTGCTAGACAGCGAGGCTTCAATCATTAAGGATGTCGAAGCTTCCGGGGGCGCCCTAGCCCCAGCACTTGCCCATTATATCCGATGTACCAAGCCAACCAAATCCTTCGCCCAAATATCCCTCTATTCGGGAATTCCACTGCATACCATCCAGATGTTGGCCAGCCATCTGGTATACTGGCGCCGTGCCCGCGCCATCCCTCCAATCCACCAACGCGACACTTATATCGTCTCTCCAAACTGCGACCTGAGCAAGTTAGAAATCGCTACGATCGCCTACCAAACAGCATTCCCGACTCTGCCCAGTCTTCCCAAGATGCTCTCCGCCCTGAGCGGCACACCCCGCCCCTATGGGAGTTTTATCCCAAGCAAAGACCACAAGGAGACCTACTTTGCCATATTGGCATGGCTACTCCGCGGCGGCTGGGTGACGCAGCTCAGAACATTCGCACGGATCAAGGTAACCCCAGAGATCAAACTAGCAGTTGAAACAGCCCTGCGCAAAGAAGAAGTCGACCGATATCTCGCCAAAGGCAACAATTCGAATTCCACTGTCACCGACGATTCAGACTCAGACAGCGATGACGACGCGTCCTCGTCGTCCTCGTCCTCCCTCGCCAGTCATGGCAGCGGAGACGAAACGCCTATGCCAGGCCGATACGATCCACATGCCCAATTGCGCACCTCGCATAAGCTCCTCGATCGATCGACCGCCCTCCGCCTCTCCTCGCTAATTCTCTCGCCGCACCGCGCATCGCCGCTGGAATCTCGATGGATGGACGAGATTGTCGCGCGGTTCCCGGACAAGCCTGGGCCAGGGCAGCAGATGATTGGAATGAGCCCGGACATTGCGCCGAAAGATCTGCAGACTTTGTTGAAGAAATACTGGCCGGTGTTTTTGAAATATTTTAATGGTTCGGATGCGTTGGAGAAGATCCCCGTTCGCGAGAGCTTGAAGCGTAAACTGGTTTGGCAGGTTCTTACGCGGTTGGGGGTTGTGACGGGGCCGGTTGGTTCGCTTGAGCTTGATGCAAGAGAGCAGGTGCTTGTCGGGGTGCGACACTGGTAACTACTAGCTTGAAGAAAGTTATCAAGTGTTTTTTTTTTTTTAATAATGACTTGGGGTGGGAGAGAAGTGATACATTGGGGGAAAAGTTTGGAGTCAAAGTTCTGGTTATGTTGTCTTTGGCGCTGTGCATGATACCAATGTTGTTTCTACTAGTACTTTGGAAGCCAATTTTCATGCAACTGTATGGATGAGTATCTAAATTATCTAAAGCTATGTCTTCAATTTGCTACATACCAACTACTGTCCAGGTGATTTGGGACATACTCGTATGTAGTACCTACTAGTACAGTCCGAGAAAAAGCCGTAATACCGATACCCGCCCATCCGCGACGCCCAGCCGCGGCGTCGCAAAAGGCCGGTCGTAACGCAATTACAAACCCACATCCATCCCGACGGATTCCGCGTGCCCTCAGCCCTAATCGCGGTGCCGAATTGGTAGTCTGTGGGGGAAAGAGCAAGCAAGCAACATATCAAGAAATGTCAGAATTGTAACTTCTGGCAGGTGAACATCATGGATTACGCCTGGGAGCATAGGGTTTATACCAACACATGCTTGGTCGCTACCAAGTATGACAAGGCATGGCCATTGCGATCTCCAGGGACCCTGCGAGAAAACCTTGCAAGCACAGGGCAATGTAGAGGGAGGGCCCCGAGACAGCCCAAGCATCATCAGGGCCCCATCACATTCCGTCGCACCGAATTGGAAGAGAGGGGTGGGATGTGATGGGATGGGGTTCTCCAGGGCGGACGTACTTCGTACATAAATTACACTTGTCAGGTACCCGAGGCCGGCCGGATCGTACTGCTTGTACGGTTTGTATATCCGGTTCTGCATCCTGTGAAGATTCAGGCTGTCTGAAGAAGGGAGTTCCAGTGTTCTTAAATAATAGGACTTCGATATGTACACCATGATCATGATACTAGTATTATACTATATGGCACAATTGATACTATTTTTAAATTCTCTGCCATCCCAGGACCACAGACCTACTGCCTACCTATTCAACATCTAACAGTACCCTGAAGAGAACCTTGGAATACTCTCGCACCCGAAGCCAGCCAATGGTCTTGAATAGAGGGGCGCCCGGTGGAGCCCCCGCGACGTTAGAAAAAAAATGGAAATGGAAATGAAAATGAAATTGAAAATGAAAATGAAAATGTGCCGTTCATGTCCACTTTTTACCCAAGATCCAGGGCTTTCGACCGAAAAGTCTGACACACAATACAGTGAGTTGTATACTGGTATACCCTTGGTCTCCCTTTATTCAACACAGGGGGGACCGGACGCGAAGATGGGGTATCTCTTTGGAGATACTGTATCCATGGGTATACTGTTAATATCAATACTCGTAATTGAATCGGCGAGGGACTCGGAATGCCCGAGGAAAACTGCAACTGCAAGTGGACACTGTCATTGGTTCCGGTTGTGACAGTTCTTGAGGCTCGGTTGTTGGGTCCAGCTCTACTACTCGTATACATCCAGACCTTAGCGACAAGATATCCACGACATTCAATAACTCCACCACAAAGGAAAAAAGAAACCTTGGAAGAAAGAGTGAAAATGGAGGAGAAGGAGAAGGACTTCTTTATGTGCCAGTTAATATATTAAATTTCTCTGTGGTGTTGTAGTACCTAGTGTAACGGGCGGTAATGCTCCAGCATGGAGATGTACGACTAGTACATGCCGTGGAAAACCTTGGGCTGTGCAACATTGAGAGAATAGGAAGGGGAGGAGTAAGATGTGCAATGCTGTCATAGATAATGGGGAATAGTGAATAGAGAATAGAGAATAGATCCTAAATCAGAAGTACTATTTATTGTTCCTACTGCAGTGCAGTAACTAGCAAAGTAGGCTTATGTAGGGGCAGGTATACCTACGTATAATACGGTAATACCAATACCCCACGTATGAACCCCCGCTACCACAGCCGGCCCTGATTACCAAAAATTATTATTTTGCACTCTTCTCATCTTCACCACTCCCCTCTTCCCCCTCACCCTAACCTCACCTTCTCGTGCGTCTCCTTCCCACCCCCAGTTTTTCTAACCTCCAAACTGATCTTTCTAGTCCCCTGCTTCCTTTGCAGTGGTCTCCATTTCTCGTTCGTCCTTCCGCGAACGTGTTTCCACCCTCTCCACTGAGAGCTTCTCCGAAACTCTCCTCGGCACTCCTTGAACGTCTCTCCAAGTGAGATCTGAAAGGACCCGATTTCTCTCCTCCTCCCTTTTCTCCGAGACTACTAGTCGTGGTGGAATTTGGCGCCTTTCTCCGGCCCACAATCTCTTTTTTCCACTAAAGGATCGACCTGTCTGCCGACAACCGTCAGGACTTTTCGTCGACCCTCATATCCCTACTCGCGTCTTCGTCTTGTCTGCTCAGCGGGACCTATTCAGTTGTCGACATCTTCTTGAAGGATCCGACAAACACTGGACACCATCCGAGTCATTTTTTTGGTTGCGACTTCTCAAGCGGATTGATTGTGCGGGCCACCCAGCTCATTTCTTTCGCAACTTGATTGTTTCGGCAGTAACAAGGCAGCGCCTGTTTCATTGTCCGGATATTTTTCTAAAGTAGCTTCTCGTTTTTTCATTCGATCTGTGCGTCTGCTAGCTGTGAGGTTTTCAGACCAACAATCACTTGAACAAGTAACCCAACGAGGCTACACATGCAACCTGTGGCTTAGATCGCCAATCCTCACATTCCTCCCATCCTCGCGATCCGCCGCTTCGACAACGTTCCTCGCGAGAAGTTTCATCTCTTCTTGCCCTCTTCGAAAATCCCCGAACATAACACAGCGTGGGAATAATCGTGAAAAGAAGGGACCACATTTCTTGGTGGAATTGCAAAAAGGCGAAGGCTTTCTTTTCAATTTACCACGATTCCGGAGACCCGCGCGTCAGCGTTTAATCGAGTTCTCCAGGATCGCCAAACGGAAACCAGAACTCCGCTTGTGAGCAGAGTAATCGTGATTCCAATCCGGAACCCTTTCTACCTCTTCGCATTTGACTCTACATCCGAGTTTTGTTAAGCTTCGTCAAGATGAGCACTTTCTCCTACGCGCAAGCCGCCAAGGGCCCCTCTGGATCACCAGTACCAGCCAAGGCCACTCCCACAGACGTGCAAAGTACCGAACCCAAACCCGAGGAATCGAGCAACGATGCTACCGCTACGACGGAATCAGTGACCCCCGCCTCCGAGAACGAGACACCGAAGGAAGTTGAGAAGCCCACACCGAGCGTGAATAAGGACGAGGAATTCACCACCGTCACTAGCAAGACCCGCTCGAAGGCCGTCCACTCGAGAACCTCTTCCCCAAGCGTCCGATCCACAAAGGAGTCGAAGGAGGGTGATTCTTCAAATACCAATGGCAAGACTGATGCCTCGTCAGAGAAGAAGTCTCAGGACGCCAAGGCTGAGAAGTCTGAAAATGGCACCGAGGGATCCAAGGACAAATCAGAGAAGTCTGAGAAGACTGAGAAGGCCGACAAGGCCGAGAAGAATGAGAAGCCTGCTCCCCCCAAGGAGCTGAAGGCCGCGCCTCTTCCCAGCGTGAACATCTGGCAGCAAAGGAGGGAGGCCCAGGATGCCAAGGTGAAGATGCCCGTTACAAAAGCTGCCTCTGCAAAGGCAGAGGAGACTCAACAGGAGTCCTCCAAGTCTAGCTCGAAGAAGAAGGGCACCGATGGCACAACGGAAGGTTCCAAGGGCGGCAAGAAGTCCGATGGTAGCAAGGGCCGCGACGATCTCCCCGCTGTCGCTGACGCCTCATCATGGCCTACTCCCGAGGTTGCTCTCGATGAGGAGAAGAAGAAAGCCCAGGAGAAGACCGACAAGACCGAGAAGTCTGAGAAGAGTCCCGTCATGCGCACCCACGGCAAGGAGAAGTGGATGCCCGTGGACTATGTCCCTACTGCCGTGTTCAACACCCCCCCTCCCCCCATCTGGTCGTGGAGGTAGCCGCCGAAGCGCCCGCGGAGGTCGCGAAAGTGGCCGAGGTGCTGCTCACGCTGCTGGTGAGAAGGCTAGCTCTGGACAGCCTGCCCAAGGATCTACTGGCAAGCAAGCCGCTGGAGAGCGTGGCCAACATGAGGCTGGCCCCAACCGCGCAGCCTCGCTTCCCGCTCAGGCGCGTCGCTCGACCAGCGCTGATGTCAACGCCCCCGAGGGTCGTAAGGCCCAGCCCGCTGAGCGTGGCCGTGGAGGCCGTGCTGCCGAGGACACCAATGCCAATGGAAAGCACACCAACGGTGAGAACGTCGCTCGCCCCCAGAAGCAGTTCGGCAAGAACGGTCAGGCCAACTCAAAGAACCCCAACCTCGCCGTTGATGCTCAAGCCGCTGCTCGTACCAACGACCGCCGGGCCGAGTCCGGCTCCAAGTCGGCCGACCCCGCTAGCTTCGAGTTCAACCGCGGCGGCCGTGCCAACCGTGGTGGCCGCGGCCCTTTCAACTCTTTCAATGGTCAGAACTCTCAGTTTGGCAATGTTGCCAACAACGGTTTTGTTCCCAAGTTTAACGGCGGCTTCAATGACCGCCAGCGATCGCACAATGGTCTCGCCAACGGATCCCAGCAGGGCAACCGCATGCCCATGCGCTCTCCCTCCCTCCCTGCGTCTGGAAACATGTACAATGTCTACCCCTTCCCCGCCGAAATCAACACCATGTACGGTTACCAGGCTGTTAACCCCGCACCGATGAGCGCTATGCCTTACCAGGGATACATGGAGCCCTTCACCCTTATGAACATGCTCTCCATGCAGCTCGAATACTATTTCTCTGTGGACAACATGTGCAAGGACATGTTCTTGCGTCGCCAGATGGACTCTCAAGGCTTCGTTCCTCTGGGTGTCATTGCCAGCTTCAAGCGCGTCAAGTCTCTCACTGAAGACTTTGAGCTTATCCGTCACATCTCTCGCCAACTCCGAACCGTCGAATACCAAACCGGCGAGGATGGTGTGGACCGCCTGCGCCCGAGAGAGAGATGGGCTCAGTGGATCTTGCCCTACGACCAGCGCGAGCCCTCTGCCCAGCACGAAGGTGCTGCCCCGGCAGCCCACTCTAGCAAGACTGACGAGAACGTCCCTTTCAACGCCCACGGTCCCAACGGCTCAGTCCCCAACGGAACCCAGCACTTCGTCTCTAACGGCACTAGCCCCCGTGGCTCCCAATCGCTGTCCTCCACAGCCCCCGAGTTTCAGCCGTCAATGCCTCAAAATGAGATTGCCAATGTAGGATACCCCATGGATACTCATCGCTACCCCGCCGAGAGTCCCCCCGCGAGAATACTCTTCCCATTTTGCCCCTTGGATCGACCCAGAAGTTAACAATAGCCCTGCAGCGTGCGGACTAGATCCAAACCCGACGAGCCCACCCTCCATTTGCTCCGGTCGTGCGGTGTTAGCTAACAGGTATGATGAGCCGGTTTCATGATATTCTCTTCTTTCAAAAGAAGCCAAAAACATGAAAGAAAGGTTGCAGCAACCCCAACTAACACTTTTATTTCTTAGCTTTGAAAGTGTTGATGACGATGATGAAACCATCCGTCCACCTTCCGTTGTCCGCCAACACCGCAACTCGGCGTGGAAAGGTAAAGCAAATAAATCCTACCAAAAGTCCCTTAATGTCAACAATTCTTCCGAGCATTCCTCATCAAATCATGCATCTGGGGGTCGAACCAACAAGAGACCCCCAAAATCTGGCCTTCTCACTGGCCCTCCCTATCACTCATGGTCAGATTATCTGACCCGCACTTTCGACTTGTCATTGTACAATGAATTTCGGCGTACAGCCCTTGATGATTTTTTCACACGACACGTCGACTATGGATTCAATGCTCTTATGTGGTTTTACAAAAGATATCTTTACGGTCGCTCTCCTATTCCTGAGCCGGTTATCTCAGATATTATTGGCCTGTCTCGGAGTTCACATTTCATGCACCATTCAGCTGTCTATGATATCCTTCGTGCAGCCATGAGCAGCGGGAAAATGGAGCAGTCTAACCTGAACAGGACTGGCATGTTCCTCAACCGTGACCGTCAGTCAAAGCCGGCCTGGCGAGATCGCGCGCGTTGAATACATACGTCCCTCCTCGTCGCGCCTCTCGAAATCGTCTGTTCTTTGTCTGCTCTTCTCCCTTCTTCTTCTTGTTTTTGCTTTCTGGGATCCATCTTCTTTTTATTATTTTCCTTTGCTCCTTCCATCAAATCATGATCAGCATTGTTGTGTCCAAAGGTTTTTGCATGCATCTTCGTCCACTTCTTCCTCCCTTTTTCCCCTACTAGAATGCCAAGTGGTCATTTCCATCGCAACAAACAACGGCTTGGTTTTTCCCTTCTATTATGAAGCTCCTAGGGCTTCTCTCATCCTATCTCTATCTCCATATCGCCCTCCCTCTCTTCGCCTCGCCATTTGTGTTCCGCAGCTGCTTGCTTTGATCATGGGCTCTTTTCTCTTCTTTTTTTCTCTCTCAAAATGTTTAGGAGTCCGGGCATGAGATTATGGGCAAAATATCCTCCCCACTTTTCGTTTCGATGCCTGGTTCAACGGTGTCCGGGGCTCAAAAAATGATTTTTTTTTTTCTCTTCCTCTTTTCATATCCTCTTTTTTCCTCACTTCCTGATTATAGAAACTTTTTTTGTGATTCATTTTCCAACTTTGTTCCCCTTTGTGTCTTTGTGTCCACGTCCTTTTCGACTGTTTCCAATTGTTCTTATCTATTCCTGCTTGCTGATGCCGACATCCCGGCTCTGCATGTTGGATCTTAGCGAGTTCAGCATAATGGTGCCTTTCTTGACACCGAGCAAAGCAAAGGTCGAGCCCAACAAATGAAAAAAAGTGTCTTGTATGATGTCAACTACCGTGCTCTGTTCCAAACGAGTGTCTGCTTCCATCGAAGAACAAATCCCAAATCCCACCCTGGGGCAACCTCCCTTACGACTTCGGCTTCCCGGGAATTTATCTGTCGCATCGATTATGTTTATTTTTTTTTTCCTAATGCGAGGAATGAAAAGTGGACAGGGCCAATTATTCCTTTTCAGTTTGGGTTGTGCATATACCAGGTCGTTCCGAGTTTTTGTTGGCTTATTTTTTTTTTCCTCCTTTTTTTTTTTTTAACTAGTCGAGGATTTAAGGAAATTCAATACATCCATGTGGATGATTCGCCGATAATTTAAACTCTTCCGTATACCCCTACTCTCGTGTACTTTTATACTCCGACCCCAGCTCCGCACGTTGATGGCCTGAGGCAGCCACACTTGGACCAACTGGAGTAACGACGATTGGCAATTGGCTTGTTCCGCTCCGACAGCTCTCGCCTTCTTGCTCTCTTCTCTCTTCTCTCATCTCCCCCGCCCCATCTTCCCCCCTTCACTCTACCCCAGAATTCGAAAATGGAGGGAGCTTCTCGCCAGACATCGAGACTGTTACGGTCTCGGGGTTCATCCCTCCTCCAGCAGCGCAGCCGCCTGTCACGACCAACCACCGCATGCGTGACCACCACGACGCAATCACGAGCCGTGTCAAATTCCCCCTCGCAACTTGGCCCCCGAATCCCTTTTTAGTGGTTTCGCAGCTGCTCCTCAGCAAAATTCCAGTGGTGCTCCCACCTATTTCAATACCCGCCCCTCTCTCCCCGCAAACACCGTCGTGCGATTCGTCCCTCAGCAGACAGCATGGATCGTCGAGCGCATGGGTAAATTCGACCGTATCCTGGAGCCGGGTCTAGCTATTATGGTCCCATTCCTCGACCGCATCGCCTACGTTAAGAGTCTCAAAGAATCCGCTATTGAAATTCCTAGTCAGAATGCCATCACAGCGGATAATGTTACACTGGAGCTGGATGGTGTGTTGTATACCCGAGTGTTTGACGCCTATAAAGCAAGGTACGTTCTTCGGCGGGGGCGGATCGAATCGGATTGGATCTTCAACATTTGCAACAAGGCCAGTCGCTGACTATCATCTCTAATTCCATAGCTACGGAGTCGAGGATGCTGAGTACGCCATCTCACAGCTGGCGCAGACAACTATGCGATCCGAGATCGGCCAGTTAACACTCGACCACGTCCTCAAGGAGCGCGCTACCCTCAACACAAACATCACACAAGCGATCAACGAAGCCGCACAAGAGTGGGGTGTTGTCTGCCTTCGTTATGAAATCCGCGATATCCATGCACCAGAGGCGGTTGTCTCGGCCATGCACCGCCAAGTTACCGCCGAGCGATCGAAGCGCGCCGAGATCCTCGACTCCGAGGGTCAACGCCAGAGTGCCATTAACATTGCCGAGGGTCAAAAACAGTCCGTCATCCTGGCCTCCGAGGCTCAGCGTGCTGAGCGCATCAACACAGCTGCCGGTGAGGCTCAAGCTATCGAGCTCCGGGCTTCTGCTACAGCTCGCGGAATTGAATCTGTGGCCAAGGCTATTCGTGAAGGAGATCAGCACGCCCACAGTGCTGTCAGCTTGAGTGTTGCCGAGAAGTACGTTGATGCTTTCTCCAAGCTCGCTCGTGAGGGTACGGCCGTGGTGGTCCCGGGTAATGTTGGTGACATGGGTGGCATGATTGCCAGTGCCATGTCCGTCTACGGCAAGATTAGCGAGACTCAAGCTAAGGGTATTGCTTCCAAGGCAATTGGTGTGGAGCAGTCGACGCCGCAGAAGACTATCGGCGATGCTGCACAGGTCGAGGAGGTAGCGGCCCGCGATGGTGTTTCCGAGCAGGTGATGAATGAGGTCAACCAGGACAACCAGTTCAAGCAATAAACTACTTGTGCGAGAGCTCTCGGAATGACCGTGACTGATGATCTCCCCTTCTCTTTCCTAATGGCATTCGCTGTTCCTCTTCTTTGTTTGCTTTCGCATCCCACCCGCCATCCGAAGGTGCCTCGCCCCTGCGGTGGTGGTCGTGGCTTACTCTGTATCACTCTCCTCAACTCATGTCTTTCAGCATTCTTCCACCAGGGTTTGAAGGTACGAAGCGGCTGTTTCGGAACCCACGGGTCTGGCCTATCCTTGATATGTGTACATACTAGGGGGAACCGCGGGGGGGGGGGGGGGGAGTCGAAAATGGGGGAAAACTGGAGAAAAGAAAGCGGAAAGGGACGATTGTATGATAGCCTGTAGAACCAATTGGAAGTCTATGAAATACTAGAACTGACCCTCTGCAATTCCTAACTCTAGATATAGCTATATAGCTATACTCGGAGATATGCGCTGCGCAACGCAAACGCGGAGCTCGGGCCACGCGCCAATCTGGAGATCGCGACTTTTCTATCGGGCGCGCCCTCTCTCCGACTGTAAACCACCTTCCTTCCACCTTCCCATCTTGCTTCTCCTTCCCCCTTCACTCCAGATTGACCCCCTCCAACTTTTTTGCCTCAACATCAGGCCCCGACACCTGAGCTCTGGCTCTGCGATGCCACGATAAACACCTGAATCTCACCCCTCCTCACGCCCTCCATTGCCTCCGCCTGAACACGCTCGCCTCGTTCCGCATCGGCCTACAACCTAACCCTTCCCCCAGTTCAAATCGAACCCTCCCGACACCTACACAGCCTTCCATTTGATCTCTTCGCTCAATACATCCGGTCCGATATCTTTCTCGTCTTTATCTCGAACCTCGGAGTAGCGGCGCATGCTGCCAGCATTGGGCGATGCATATCATCAAGCCTGTCTGGCTCACACATGGAGGTAGGTCTGACTTCACGCGGACTTTCTGCACTGGATATGAGGGAAGCGGAATCCTTTACTAGTCCAGCTCCATATTCGTCCCATTCATCGTTATCGATTGCGGAAGCTTCATCAGGCTAATTTGGGGATTCGTTTGGCGCAGGTGAACGGAAAGACTTCGAGGTTTACAGTTGTGATGTGTCGCCAGATGGGAAGAGGCTGGTGACAGCTGCTGGAGGTAAGCTCTTTTTTCCCCGTCTTTTCCTTTCATCTCATCTTTCTCCCTACGGACGGCTGGGGAGGGAAGGAAGAATATGGGAATTCGCAGTGAACTGACAGAAGCCTCGCTCTGTGCGCGTAATAGATGGATACGTTCGAATCTGGTCCACAGAGTCCATCTACAATACCGGCAACCCCGAATTCGCCAGCAAGCCGAAACAATTGGCCTCGATGAGCAATCACTCCGGCACTATTCATACCGTCCGCTTCTCCCCAAATGGGAAGTATCTCGCTTCTGGCGCGGATGATAAGATCGTTTGCGTTTACACGCTTGATGCAAACCCTCCTACACATTCGACATTCGGTACGTCCCAACATGGCTGGTCTATACAGGTGGATATAGCGCAGGCGAAGCTAACGAGTTCGGCGTGTACGATGTGTAGGTTCAGACGAGGCACCTCCAGTTGAGAACTGGCGCACAATTCGACGATTAATCGGACACGACAACGATGTGCAGGATTTGGGATGGTCGTTCGACTCGTCGATCCTCGTCTCGGTTGGTCTGGATTCCAAGGTGGTGGTGTGGTCGGGTCATACATTCGAGAAATTGAAGACTATCGCCGTGCACCAGAGTCATGTCAAGGGCATTTGTTTCGACCCGGCAAACAAGTACTTCGCGACTGCGAGTGATGACCGAACGGTTCGCATTTTCCGCTTCACTTCTCCGGCGCCGAATTCAAGCTCTCACGACCAAATGAACAACTTCGTCCTCGAACAGACCATCACAACTCCCTTCGCCAATTCTCCACTCACTGCGTACTTCCGTCGGTGCTCCTGGTCGCCGGACGGTATGCACATTGCAGCGGCAAATGCCGTCAACGGTCCCGTTAGCTCGGTTGCTATCATAAATCGTGGCTCGTGGGATGGCGATATCAACCTCATCGGTCACGAAGCTCCTGTCGAGGTATGCTCGTTTTCGCCTCGTCTCTACTCAAGAGAAAAGCCCAAAAAGAACCAGCCTGAAGGCCACTCGGGACAACCACACATTACCGTCATTGCTTGCGCCGGCGCGGATAAATCTCTCAGTGTCTGGATCACAAGCAACGCTCGCCCCATCGTTGTCGCTCAGGAAATGTCCGCCAAGACAATCTCAGATCTAGCCTGGAGCCCCGACGGCAGATGCCTTTTCGCT